TGGATCATACAGTAATTCTATTTTTAATTTTTTGAGCAGTCTCCATACTGTTTTCCATAATGGCTGTACCAATTTACATTCCCACCAAAAGTGCACAAGGGTTCCCTTTCCTCCACGTTCTCACCAACACTTGTTATCTTTCGACTTTTTGATAAAAGCCATTCTAACAGATGTGAGGTGAGATCTCGTTGTGGTTTAGATCTGCATTTCCCTGATGGTTAATGATGTCGAGCATCTTTTCACATACCTGTTGATCATTTGCATGTATTCTTTGGAAATATATATTCTTCTTTGATTATATATTTTGAGGGGGAATTTCAAGGGATTAAGTGGCAGGGACCTCAGGAGAGCCTCTTGAGATGCTGGTAGTGTTCTGTATCTTGATCTGAGTGGTAGTTACATGGGTGTATTCATACATAAAAATTTACTGAGCTGTGAACTTAAGTTAGTGACTTATTGTATATAAGTTATATATCAATAAAAAAAATTCTTACTTTATTCCTCTCTTTTGCATTTTACTGTCAGGGGGACTTTGTTTCAGACCAGTGCTAGTGGGTGGATTGCTGTTGGAGAACCACTGATCTTAAGATAAGATCCGAATACATTCATCAGGCATAGAAAATTCCTTTGCAGTCTGGTCCAAGTTCTCTTTCTGCCCTTGCCTCCTGCTTCTTTCCCTCCCTCCCATGTTTCGTATATTCTCCGGGCGGTGCTCAGACTCACCAGGCTTGTTTATGTTTCACAGCTCTTGCAATTGCTCATCCTTCGGCCTTGTATCCTTTTTCCTGTTCGTTTCCACCTGGCAAAATCCTAACCATTCTCCAAGACCTAGCTTTCTTTGGGTCCCACAGGAAACATGCTTGATGCTCTGTTCTCACATAGCATTTTATTAATAAATCTTTGAGGTAGCACTTACAAACTTTTAAATTCACTTTTAAAAACTTTTTTATTTTAAAATAACTATAGATTCAAAGGAAGCTACACACATAGTACAGAGTCCATGTACTCTTCATCCAGCTTCCCCCAATGGTGACAGCTTGTATAGCTGTAGGACAGTATCAAAACCAGGAAGTTGATGTTCATTAAACAATTTTTTCATCATCTTTTTTCCTACTTTTTCCATTCCCTGTGCTGTCCATTACACTAGCTACTAGCCACATGTAGCTATTTAATTTAAATTACTTAAAATTATATAAAATTAAAAATTTAATTCTATGTTCTCACTAGCCACATTTCAAGCACTTAATAGCCACGTGTGACTAGTGGTGACCATATGGACAGTGCAGAGAATATTTTCATTGCACAGAGTTCTTTTGGATAGCCCTGATCTGGACTGCATTCTTCTTGAGGGCAGACATGTCTCATTCATCTTTATAGCTGCAATTCCTAGGCAGTAGGGGTACTCAATTCATAATTGAATGATTGAGTCTAGTCCTACCCACTCATTCTACAAATGAAGAAATTTAACATGCTAAGTTATGGTAAATAAAATGATATCCAGCTACTGAATAGCAGATCTAGAAATAGAACTTAGGTTTCCTAAATTCAAGTTCATTGGTCTTTCTATGTGGATCTTAATTTATGAGCTTTTCGATTTATATCAGTTTTCGAGGAAGGAGTACTAAAATAATGTAATACTTCTCAAACTTTAGGGTGCGTAAAGAATCAACTAGGAACCTTGTCAGAACTGCGTATTCCTGGACCTCTCCCTCCCATGGTTCTGACTCAGTAGGTCTGGGGTGGGGTATAGGAATCTATATTTTAAATATATGCTTAATCAGAACTGTGTAGTAATAACGTAAGGATAGATCAGAATAGAGAACCTAGAAATGGAACTGCACCAAATGGACGTTTGATTTTTAAGAAAGATGCCATTGAGGAAGGGAAATGTCTTCAGTGAATTGTGTTAGAACAACTGAATATCCATATGAAAAAAGAGAACTTTGACACCTACCTCTTGCCATAAATAATACAGATCATTTACCTCAATATGACAATTAATTATTAATTCACATAATTAATTATAAACCTTCTAGAAGCAATCATAGGAGAATATCTTAGTGATGGGTAAAGGTTTTTTGGACAGGACACAAAAAGGAATAGTCATAAAAGAAGTTGATAAGTTATACTTCATCAAGAACTCTTGGGTCACCAAAAGACACAATTAAGAAAATGCATAGGCAGGCCACATTATGGAAGAAAATATTTGCAAAATATATTTCAGACAAAGGACAGATATCTAGTAGATATAAAAACTCAGAATATATAAAGACTTCTATAAATCAATAATAAAAAGGTGTACAATCCAATTTAAAAAACTGGCAAAAGATAGGCAGACAAAAGGAAATCTGCAAATGGCCTTAATATGCACATAAAGTATTCAGTATTATTAGTCATCAGGAAATGCAAATTAAACTATAATGAGATACCACTATATACCCACCAGAATGGCTAAAATTAATAGGTTGACAGGGGGCCGGCCCAGTAGTGTAGTGGTTAAGTTTGGGGTGCTCTGTTTCTGTTTCAGCAGCCCAGGGTTTGCAGGTTTGGATCCCAAGCATGGACCTACACACTGCTTGTCAAGCCATGCTGTGGCAGTGTCCTACATACAAAATAGAGGAGGATTGGCACAGATGTTAGCTCAGTGACAGTCTTCCTTAAGCAAAAGGAGGAAGATTGGCAGCAGATGTTAGCTCAGGGTCAATCTTCCTCACCGAAAAAAAAAAAAAAAAAAAAAAGACTGACAAAACCCAATGTTGGTGAGGCCATGGAGCCACCAGAACTCTTCTGTATTGTGAGTGGAAGTGCAAAATGGTACCATTGCTCTGAGGAAAGTGTGGTAAATGTTCTTGTATAAGTCTTTTTGTGGATGTCGTCTTTCACTTTCTTGGGTAAATATCTGGGAGTAGATAAGTAATGCTTATCTACTCCAAGATAAGTGAAAGACGACATCCACAAAAAGATTTATACAAGAATGTTCGTGGATAGCAGCTTTCTTCTTAGTAGCCAAAACATGGAAACAGTCCTGGTGTCCATCAACAGAAAAGTGAATAAATGAACTGTGTTATAAATTCATACACAGTTATGTATTCATACTCAGCAATAAAAAGGAACTACTGGATGAATTTCAAAAAGGTTATGCTGAGTGAAACTTGACCCAATGGAAATTCTCAATTAATCCATTATATAAAGTTCTTTGGTGAGAAAAATGAGAACACTGGCTGGCTCTGTGGGAGCAGGGAAGGACTGATTGGGAAGGGGCATGAGAGAACTTTCTGTGGTGATGCTGTACCTTGTTAGGGGTTGGGTCACACAGGTGTGTGCATCAGTCTGCACTCATTGAATGTTACACTTAAGATTTGTGCATTTTACTCTATGTAAGATTTACCTCAAGGGGAAAGAAAAGTTTTCAAAGATGTGAGTTTGATGCAAGTGATCTGAAGACCACACTTTGAGAACCATTTGGTTTGACTAATTTCAGAAATAATTCTTTCTTACCATGAAAAATAATAATTCATGGATTACTAATGTAACATTTTGAAATTTTTATTTAAAAGTTCATGGCACTTTAAATATTTTAAAGGATATATTTGTACTTAGTTATATAAATATTGTATTAGAAGTGCCATTTCCTCATTAGCAGGTTAGTTAATAAGCAGACAAAGATTTATGACAATATTAAATAGCTCCTTATTCCAGTGAATGTTCTTTTTTAATGTTAGGAATGCAATTTTAATATCAGGAGGAATTGGACATGGAAATAATTTTGCATTGACTTAGATGTAATTGAATTGGTTAGAATGTGGTTTGAGATGGACATTTAGAGTGACATTTGGTGAACTGGATGATTTGACTTGCAATTGTATTCCTCTTTCAGTTAAACTCTGGCTTTGCCCCAGTGCAGTGAATACCTCTAGTGTCACCTACTCGAAGATTCTAGACGTTTAGGAAATTAGCATTTTTACTTCTTGTGTCTTAATTGTAACATGAACCTGCAAACTTTCAAAAGTGCTACAGAGGAATGAAAGGAACTGTGATGTTGATGACCAAATGCTGACTCACATGGCTTTGAGGCAGATCTGATCCTACTGGTTTATAGGTGAAACGACATGGTCAGCTGTCATGCCACATCCCAAATAATCTCTCCTGCAACAGGGTATAGGTCAGGTGCCTGAAATCTCACCATTAAAGCTACCTGCCTGTTTCCAAATTTTCCCAATAAGAATCACCTGGAGCAATCAAATTGCAGACACTCCACCCCCCCTCCCCTGTTAGAAATTGGAATTCCTTCCTTAGAGATTGGTTCATTGAGTCTGGGATGGGCTGAGAATTTGTATTTTTTAACTACTATTCTCAGATAGGAAACGTTGCCCTAAAGTAGAATTAAGTTTCTCAAACTTTTTTTGTACCAAAAAACGAAGAAAGTAAGAAAAAAGGAATCACCCAGAGACCTTGTTGAAAATACAGATTCCTGGGCCCTACTTCTCATTCGTTTGAGACGAAGCCCCCAAACCTACATTTTTTTAGAGCACATACAGCACATAGATCTGAGGGCTGTCTTCCTAGTGTCACTGCCTTCGTGGAAGGGGAAGGTCCTTGAGTAGGTTTTCAGTCACTCTCACAAGAGAGAAGGGGGAAGTAGAAGATCGAAGGGAAGATAATTTTAGAATTGAGCACAGATCTTCGAGTAAGAGCTTGGGGGAGGGGAAGGAGAACCTAAGGGACAGTGAGCACAGGTGAGAGAAAGGAGAGAGTCCCCTCGTGGGGACCAGCCAGTGGTGCAGGGCTGCCATCTTTGTGGGGGTGGAGCTTGGGTAACCCATTGGAAGTGACTTGAAAGCAACTACATTCATTAACTTTCAAGTGGTGGAGAGAATTCAGGATCATTCTATATGCCACTAAAAATCTGCCTGCACGCCATAGGTGGCCAGCCCTTGTTTTACCTGCTGCTAATGGAAACCTAGCGACTGTAAACATTTATTGATTTTTCTCCTGTGTAGTAAGAAGAAAACATAACTTATAGACCATCTTCTGGCAGAAGATGATAGATTTGGATCAGAAACGGGAGGCGTTGGAAGCCAGGAATCAAAAGTGAAGAAATTCTGCAAGCCCTGGGTGAGAAAGGTGACAGGGATTTCTTGATTTACTCCCATGTCCCTCATTATCATTCTGTGGTTATCCAACGTGCACCTGTTGCTTTTAGGCTGATAGGTACCTTCACAGAGGTTAGGGGGAAGATGGAGTAAGCTGCTGGAAATAGGTCTGGAGCTCACATTTCTCCTCAGGCTGCTTCAGTCAGTACTTTCTGTCATTACCTTGTCTGTATCCACTTCTACTTATTTCCCAGGACCCTTCCCCCTCCTTTCCAGGGCTAAAGTCTTAACCTCAAATAACTCATTAATATTCATAGCTATCATTTATTGAATTTTATTACTGTTACGCACTGTGCTCTCCCCGCACTATTTCATTCCTTTCTTGAAACAAGCCAATGATCTAGCTTCTGTGGTTATGATCCATTTTGTAGAGTAAACATCTGAGGTTCCAGGAGGTTCTAGAACTTGCCCAGGCTCTCACAGCTGGGAAACACAGAACTAGATGTGAAACTCATGCTGACTTCCGATTACATACTTGCTGCCTTCTTTCTTTCTTGGAAAGAAAACGAAAAAACCACACGTGCACCTCCTCCAGTTACCAGAACAGGTATCCCAACTTGACAGACCTCTTTTGAAAGGTTGTCAATTCCTGGGATATGAAAGCATTAAAGTTTCATTGTGGAATTTTTGAAAATCAGAGAAGAGAAAGAAATCACTTATAATACTTCTGGCCTCATATAACTATGATTGATATTTTAATATATTTGCTTTCAGGCTTTTTTGTCATGTGTACATTTTACTTTGGTACATAGATTCTTTAGTATCATGATTATTTTAAATATAAATAGAATTATATACTCATATTCAGATTTTAATGACTCAAATGATAACATAAGACTTGTAGCAGTGTGCAATGAAAGAAGCCTAGCGAATGAGTAAATGAGTGAATGAACGCTTGCTTCCATGTATGGAATATTACATGTTTGTGTGCTCGTCACTTTTGTGTTTTTCTCTGTTCAGAGCGGGAGACTATTGTTCTGGTTTAAATTTTGTATCGTGAGCAAACAGCATCAGGAACAAAGAACATACTCTCCCAACTCAAGTATGCTGCGCCTGTGTTTCCTGGTCTTGCTCAAATCCACACCCCCTTTAAGCTTTTCTTGATTTCCAAGCCCGCAATGATCTTTCTCTACTCCAGTCTTCTCAAGCACTTTCTGGCTATACCTCATATTTGACATTCACCATGTTTGCCATCTGCTAGTTATAATATTTTTTTGTCCTCTTTTCTTATACCTTTTTCTATCCACAACCCCTAATGCAGTGCTTTTTCAGGTTGTTACTTTTATTTTTTTAGCATTTTGATAGTTAAACCAAATTGCTATTAGTCAATTTCTCTAAGATACTAGAATGACTTTAAACTTTCTGGCCTGTCTTTCCATGCCTTGTAGGTTCCTATCACTGTAACCATGCCAGAAATGACAGAGAATGAGACTCCTACAAAAAAGCAGCACAGGTATGTAGCCACGGTCCAAAAACATGTAGTTTCAGCAGATAAAAAGCAGAATTAGTCCCTATTTTGCTAAGTAGGTAGTCCTTAGGGAACTTTGATTTGAATGCCTAGAAAACCATTACTCTTCAAAAAGATGTGTGGTTAAATATAAATAGATTTACTCAAAGGGGTGTATAGTTAAAATTCACCTGTCCTCCTTATTCTACTGGTAGTGTAACAAGTAAAATGACTATCAGTAGTTAAAATAGTATAATATCAAATCTATGCCAAATGCTTAGCTTCTCGTGAAAGTTTTACTTGCACACAGTGTTAGTCTTTGTGGATCCTAAGTTCACTTAGGCTGAAGTCAGTTACTGAATAGACATTTTGTGACGTTATAATTCATTAATGTCAATATGCACATCAGTACAATATTACTTCTGGTTCTTTGTCTAGCCCCCCTTCTGAATTCTCTCCTTTTGGGCAGTGTTACTGCTTAGAATTGTATGGCCAATGCTTCCATTAAAATTAAAATCACTATTCTCTTTCCTTACCAAATAGCTATTAGAGAATGCTAATGTATTGAGTAATTGTACATAAAAGGGAAAATTGATGTTTTCAGTAGATAAGCATTTAAGAAAATTTAAGAGTTTGGATAACCCAAGGTACATAAATGCAAAAGATGGCTCACATGCTAGTTGTCAGTGCAAGGCTGCCACACTTCCCTCCCTGGGGATTGTAGGGTTCCTCTCTACTGTTGCTCCTCTCCTTTACACACTCACCCCCACTCCTGGCCGGGTGCCAGGGCACACATCAGAAGGCACCTTCTTGGAACATACTTTGAGAATTGACTAGCTCCTTAATTACATTTTTCAAAAAGCTGAGGTTTTCAGTGATTGATTTACTTCCCAGCCAATGATTTCTGGGTATGGAAGAGCAGGGTATTATAGTTACTTTTGGAAATTGTGCATTCTAAATTTGTATTGATATGTCTGCAGTTAGGTTTTCATACCATAATACATATTAAGAAAATTTTTCTTCACATAGTTTCTTACTGATGGAACAAATGTAAATTTATAAAATTTATTTTTATGGTTCTCAAAATATAAAGTGGTGAAATGTTTTCCCATTATTTTCATTTTCCTTTTATCTCCACTTTTTGTTTCAGGAAGAAAAACCGGGAGACACACAATGCAGGTAGAAACAACAATTTAAATTTTATTTGCTAACGTTTTTTGCATTGGAAATGATTATTCTGTTGATTATAAGTTTTTATGTTATAAACAGAGAATCATTATTCATTATGTTTTAGGAAAGTGTTCCTTTGTTGATTTTAATTGACAGAACGCTCCGAGTCTTGTGAAGATGGTTTGCTATCGTCTGCTGATTCACCATCTATTTAGATAATTTAAGGAGGAATATACCTTTGGAGCTAGTGTTTTTAGTGATTTCACCCACTGAGGAATTCTAGATATACTTCTCTTGAGTAGAATGAAGAGTGTATGTCTTTGCAGAAATTCCAGAAGGGGCTGGCTGCCTAGAGGAGTAGGAAGAGGTGAGCAGGACGCTGTAGGTCTTAAATGTACTTGAAATGTGAACAGTCTTCGATTACATTGCAGCATCCTCAATTATAGGAAGAAATGTAGAAAATAAATAATTGGTTTTATCTCAAACATCAAAATTATAGGCTAAAGCCAGGTAAACATTTATAGAAGTAATTGTGCATTTACAATTGGGTACATTTTATAACATTTTATTTTCCATCAGGGACTGCAGTCAGATCTAAAAAAAATATTTTAGAAGTTGATTTCTATTATTCTATAAATCATATCTTCCTTTCCCTAAGGAAAGGACCCTGGGGAAATGTTATCTATGGAAAGATGTGTTGAACACTGGTGGGATATTGCTGTTCCCCACATGGAAGTTTACTCCATTAAATTCCCCTTTATCACTATGGGTAAAGAGTTTTGATGTTGTTGTTTTTTTTACCTCTGCACATTAAAAAATCCACTCTTAGGGGCTGGCCCCGTGGCCTAGTGGTTAAGTTCGCGTGCTCCGCTGCAGGCGGCCCAGTGTTTCATTAGTTCGAATCCTGGGCGTGGACATGGCACTGCTCATCAAACCACGCTGAGGCAGCATCCCACATGCCACAACTAGAAGGACCCACAATGAAGAATATACAACTATGTACTGGGGGGCTTTGGGGAGAAAAAAGGAAAATATAAAATCTTTAAAAAAAAAATCCACTCTTGGATAACAACAAATACTCTTATTAGAGAATTCAGAAGAAAGATGAGCTATACTTTATTGTTTTGCTTTTTTTGGGGCCATATGAATTAAATCTGATTTCTTTTGTTTGTATTAACTAAATCTTTTTATTAAAATAAACTGTCATATGCTGCCATAAATATGTCCTGATAGTAATTTATTAAGAGAGGGCAATTAGATGTCATTGAAAAGAGTGTCCTTACTGCTAGATTATGAAGCAAAAAGTACGTAGTTTGCAAAACAAAACCTACCTATGCTATGATCTGAAATATCGTCCTCCTAGAAGCACTGGAATCCTTTGTTAGAAAGGAAGGTTTTAGAAAACTTTCTAACAGAAAATAGCCAAGACTAATGTTTCTACTTACAGTATCTTATAGAAATTATTTAGGTCATTTCTTATATCCTCTTGCCCCTTCCGTACAACTTTTAAAGTTGCAGCATGCAAGCTTGGAACATTTCTCAGTTAATTGAGAAGTTGTCAGTTGCCCAGTTTCTTAGATGGGAAAAATACTACGTGGCCAAAGTGAACAGCCCAGACCCTCTGGAAAAAACCAACCCTTTGCCTTTTTTTGGTCTGTTTTAAGTCATAAATAATAGCTGTTTCTATTCCAAAAGTCCTTCTAGTCATCCTGAAGGGTATTTTAAGGTACTTTAATCCGTCTGGAAATGTCTCGTTTGCCCATTTGCTATAAAGAGACAGCTTTCTAGTAACTAAAAAAAGAGAGAGAGAAAAAAGAGAAAAAGACAAAGAAATCATATTATAGTTTTTTGTCTTCAGTAGATACTGGTTTATTTTTGTTTTTTCTTTGGAAGATTAGCCCTGAGCTAACTACCACCAATCTTCTTCTTTTTGCTGAGGTAGACTGGCCCTGAGCTAATATCCATGCCCACCTTCCTCTATTTTATATGTGGGACGCCTACCACAGCATGGCTTTTTGCCAGGCGGTGCCATGTCTGCACCCGGGATCTGAACCCGTGAACCCTGGCCTGCTGAGAAGCTGAACGTGTGAACTTAACTGCTGTGCCACCTGGCTGGCTCCTAGATACTGTTTGATAGCATTTTCTTAGAGATTTCTTTACATAAAATTTCTTTACCCGGGGAGAATGAGGCACTTTGGTAGTAGTACTATAAGGTTTGATAAATGGACTTTTCCCTCTATCTAGTGGAGAGGCACAGAAAGAAGAAAATCAATGCTGGGATAAACAGAATAGGAGAGCTGATCCCATGTTCCCCTGCACTGAAGCAGGTAAGTCCACTCATATTTTCATTCATTAGTTGTTAACAGATAATTCCCTAAGTTGTTTCTGTGCTCAGAATGATTATTTTTGTTCCCTGTCATTTATGGGTTTTTTTGGAGTTAATAATTGCCTCATTGTTTTTCATTTGTTTAATTTTCTATATGCCTGTCTTTAATTCTTCCACACTTCCAGCAATCTTCTAGTACAGTTTCCTACATAATCAAATGGACCATATAATTTCTAGATCTTTAATACTCAGTCCCACGATTACACTTACATATGTACCACTGTATTTACCAGACATTTCTTTTATTTTCTGCCAGTCATGTTCTTTACTGTCTTTAAATTCTTAGCTAGAACACTCCAAGGATCTCTTCTTTATGTTATTCTCCGTGCTCTACCAACCTCCAGTAGTACTTAAATCGCGTCTTAATAAAGCTGACAGTTTTCCCTAATGAAGATAGTTTTTGTTTCCTCTGATAATGAGGATAAAGTGTGCTCTCTGCAAATAAAACAAAATTGAAACAATATGGAAGGCATAAAGAAGTTTAAAAAAAATTGACATCCTACTCGCAAGTTATAACCACTATTAAAAGTGTTGTTACACATCTCTCCAGACGTTGCTTTATGAATGTATCTGTATACATACCCAGTGCTATTTCATAACCTGCTTGGCCATTTCCACAGTGGTACTAGTAGACTTTTGGTTGTAGATACCTTTCCTCGTATGAGCTCCTCCCTTTTTAATGGTTATATAGTATTCCATTATAATGGAATATCAAAATTTGTTTTAGACTTTGTTGGTTAGCTTTTAATTAAATTAACATATGCAAAAATCAATTTATACACATAGCAAAATAGCACTAAAAAGCTCAAAACAACAAACATTAGTCTCCTGCCTGCCTGCTTTCCAACTCTAGCTCCTTCGAGGCAACCATTCTCAACTGTTTCTTCTGGTATTTATTTACCTTTGTATTTTGAAATAACGTGCTTATATTACTATATCTTAATTTTTCCATTTTAGATATTATTATCTATTAACTTCCTATTGTCCTTTTCCCTTGGCTTCCCCTTGTCTAATCCTCTCATGTAATTCTCCCACAACTTTTGATTAAATCACTATTTAGTTTTCATGTTAAGACTGTGTAAATGTTGTTTACAGTTGAGCCAAGTAGTATACTGTTATTATGTTTCATTTCATATGTAACTTTTGAAAGTTTTTGAGTTGATAATTGCCTCATTGTTTTTCATTTGCTTAATTTTCTATATATCTATCTTTGATTCTTTCCACATTTCCAGTATCTCTTAGTATGGTTTCCTCATGGTCAAATGTACCAATTCATTTCCATTTTCCCTTTTTTTTCCTTTGAGACTTTACTTCTGGAACCCTCTACCCTTCTTTTTCAATTTCAATTGGTTGATCTTCTCCAACTCTTCTGTTTTTAATTTTAGCTCTCTTACTTTTCATTTTCTAGAGTCTTTCTTCTTATTCCCTTTGTTACCTTTCGTACCACGTCTTTGTTTCATGGATGCAGTATCATCTCATCTCCGAGAATGTTACATAGGATTCAAAAAAATTTCCTTTTCTTTTCTGTGTTGTCTTTTGATATCCTCTTTTTCCCCTTTGTTTTGATGTTTGGTCTTTCTTTTGGGAGACATTCCTTAAATGTTGAGTTTTTCGTATTTAAGAATGAGGCATTAAAAAGCTGATTGAATAGGCTTGTCTTTTAGTGGCCCTAACTGTTGAGTGATTAGGTGGTGAGCTAGTATTGTTGTGGAACTCAAAAATATCAGTATTTGTAGCTTTTTTTCTTTTGAGGGTAGCTATTAATTTTTACTTTCCAAGGAAGAGCCTTCAGCCCCCTACCTAGGTGTGGGCATAGTGGCAAGAGGAGTATAAGGCTAGTTGCCATTTTGTCAGAGCTGGGCTGGGAAGGGGATGCTGAAGAGTCTCATGCTTTAGGAGGCAGAGTTTTACTTTACCCTCCTTTTTGCTTAGGAGCCTGATCTTGTCCACTTCTGTGCCAAGTACCCCTGAGGCTGAAATTCTCAGTTCAAATTCACAGAAAATAAACTCGTCTCCTGTGGCTGGGGCAGGAAGGGGAAGTCATCCAGCTGCATAGGGTGTGTGTGGGGGGGGTGGGTTGGTTCTTATTACTGCACAAGAAGAGTCTTTCCACTACTCCCCTCAATTTTAACCCCATACCTCACCCCACTTTCCATGGTAGCTGGAGCTTCCCAGTCCTGAACCTTCCCAGGCTTCCGGAGGGCCAGATTAATATGCTCACTTCTTAACACTATCTCGCTCGGCAAGGTCTTACACTTAGTTTCTTTTCATTTTCCCCTATAGAGTGGTACTTAGTCTTGCATAAATATGTTTTTCACGTCTTTTTTAAAATGTGCTTTGTTTCCTTAACACAATAACAAACTTAAGGGCAGACATGGTGTCTTCTGATTGTTTTTCTTTCTCTACATCTCAATGTATAGTAGCTTCTCAGTAAATATCGGTGTTTTCCCAGTAAAATCTTATTTTCCTGCTCTTGGCTTTTATTCCTACATGTTTCTCTGAAAGGAAACCATAGTCATTTCACTTCCTTGGTGTCCTAGAACGTGCAACGGAAGTCAGTATTTGGCTCCCAGAAGCCGAGTAGATTAAGATTTCCTTCACTATTGCTACGTGTCCCTACCCTGTCTGCAGTAGAGAGGCAGTAGGTGGCCATTATCAGGTTCTGCCTTTGTCTCAACTCTTGCTTTAAGAAAGGAGAATATCAGTTTTCTCTCTTTAAAGTAAAGTGTTTCCTGGGTTATATTGGGTCTCTGTTAGGACTCAGTCTAAGGAACCTTGAATTGTAACTTATTGAACCAAAGCCCTAAATCACTGACTCCAACGTGAAAAGAGCTGATACGTACTGGAGATCTTTAATAATATACATACTGGAGGAGAAGTTAAATATTCACTGCAACATTTTTCATAGCTGAAGCATTGAAAAACTGGAATGCCTTTTACACAGCTTAAATATGTATCATTAATAGAATGGTTAATGAAATAAATATATCCTTTAGAAAGTCTAACATAGCTATAGATATCTAAATGCTGTATGGAAGTATCTCCAAGAGATATTTTTAAACTAAAAAAAATAATGTAACTTACTAATTTTAGTATCCTTCTATCTGGGTTTTCAAAAAAGACATATAGAGATGCTCGTATTGGCATAGACTATTTCTGGAAGGATGCACAAGTAACTTCAAGGTGGTGCCTCTGGAAAGGGGTCGAAAGAGCTAAAGCCAAAAGGAATTTTATATCCCTTCATATTATTTACATTTTTTGCCATATGCACATATTATGTTTTCAATTTTAGAAATTGTTAATTAGGAATAAAGAATAAAGGGACATTTGACAATCTTTTTGAAAAAGTTTAGGACTGGAATATACTGGGAGCATGACACCAAAACTCAATCAAGTGACACTGTTTTCTCACTCTATAATTTAGAATAATGTGTAGCTGTGTTTGACAGTAAAGAACAACATTAAAATCTAAAGTCTCTATGCAGTCTTGAAGGCCCTCTCTGGCCTCTTCTTCTGCCACTCTTCCTCTTTATTCTCTGCTCTAGTCCCGTTCACCTCCCTGCTGTTTCTCCAGCACGCCACACGCTGCCCTGCTGGAGGGCCTCTGCCTGCGCTGATCCCGCTGCCTGGACTCCTTGCTGCAGATATCACAGGGCATACTTCCTTGTACTCCTCAGGCTTTTGCTCAAATATCATCTTACAGAGAGGGTTTCCCCAGCTTCCCTATGCAAAGTAGGTTATAGCAGAATGTCTTAGTCAGTTTGGGCTGCTGTAAGAAAAATAACGTAGACTGGGTGGCGTAAACAAAAGACATGTATTTCTCACAATTCTGGAGGCTGGCAAGTCCAAGATCAGGGTGCCAGTCAGTTCTCTTCCTGGCATGGGCTCTCTTCCTGGTTATGTCCTCACATGACAGAGAGCGATCCCCTCTCTCGTGTCATTTCTTCTAAGGGCATTGATCTCATTCACGAAGGGTCTACCCTCCTGACCTGATCACCTCCCAAAGGCCCCCCTCCAAATACCATCACATCAGGGCTTAGGGTTTCAACAGGAATTGTAGGGGGACACAAACCTTCAGTCCATAGCACAGAGTAACCTCTGCCTTCTCTCTGGCGCCCTCCTTATCCTGCTATATTTTTCTTCATAGCACTTCTCACCACCTGATTTAAATATACATCTATAATATACTCCTCAAGGTCAGGAACTTTGTCTGTTTTGTTTGTTATATCCCCAAGGCCTAGAACAGAGCCTGACACACAGTGCCTGCTCAGTAAATACTTAGGAAGTGGAGATGAACAGTAGAAACTTTTGAATATGGTGCCTGTTTTAAATTTTGAAAAGCTGTATATCACATATATGTGATACAACCAAAATTTTAAGGCTCTTCTGGTAAATTCTTACCCTGCAGTGAAACTTTTAAATGGTTAATTTTCTTTGGCAGAGCAAGAATATGATCCTGGACCAAGCCTTTAAATACATCACAGAATTGAAAAGGCAAAATGATGAACTCCTGCTTAACGGAGGAAACAATGAACAAGGTAAAGATTTTAAGATTCTTACTTTTTGTTATTTTTTCAATGTTCAGACCTTTGTGTCCAAGGCTTTTTTTTTTTGCCTAAAAACATTATTAAGACCATGTATTTAATGGTTCTGTGAGAAAAGTATTGCAAATAGGTTCTTCTTAGTTTACCTCTTTTCCCCTTCTGTGAGCAGCTCCAATCTTGCAGGCATGCATAATTTCGATTTGTGTTTTTCATGTTTGCTTAACTTGTGACACAAATAATATTGAATCTCCTCTATTCCAGTTGGATGTTCCAGTGAGGGGAATCCTATAAGAGGAGGCAGGGGGAAGATCTGTTCTGTTTTTAAGTGTAACTTAAAAACAAGATAAGGGTATGCTTGTGCCAAGATCCAACTGTGAATTAACTCAAAAGGCCAAAACGTTCTGTTCATAATTGTTTGTATTGTATATAATATGTGCATCAGATTGCCTGATCAGTTAATGATATTTGATTTTTAGGTAGAGTGACTTTTTTATGCTATCAAATGAGGTCTGTTTTTCTGGTTGCACTGGAGAGAAGGTCTCCTTATTACAGCTGAAAAAAGTATCCCAGGCAAGTGTAAATTTCAGAATGGTAGGCCAGTTTGAATTGTCCTTCATTTATGGCGCTGACAAGAGCAGGGAGAGGATTTCCTGTGACAACTCAGTAGGTCACTTTAAAAGGAGAGAAACAAAGGCAGGATTTGCTGAGGTGGGGGCAAAGCTGGGCCCTGTTAGTTCCAAGAAGTGGGAAGGCTGTTGGAAAGCCTATCCAGAAGCTCAGCCTTCTGAATTCTCCTTGTGTACTTTTAGTTACATGACAGTTAAACCCCTCACCTACGTCAGCTGTCTTTTATGGTCCAGGACCTGTTTTATGATGCTGTTGGGTAGTTAGATACATAATATATGTTTGATAACCATTTTGAGGCATCTGACAAAAAGGTTGTTTAGGCTAGAATGATGTGTAGACTTTTCTAAGGAGGGCTCCTTTGGTTTCACAGCCCAGAGGCTGAGGCAATCAAGTTACCTTAGGGAAAAGGAAAAGTTGAAAAAATACATGTTGCATGGGGCTCAGGAAAACTGGACAGCCAGGCCACAGGCTGAGGCAGCACGTGAGGCAGCTTAAGTCTGTCTCCGTTGTCATCATCCTTTCTTTGGTTCTTTTGGTGCATCTCCTCTCCTTTTCTTCTCCCAACAGCTTCTTCCACATACTCACTGTCCACATGACGGTCTGTGCAGTGGTCAGAACAATGGCGTTGGGAGTCGGGCTCACCTGTGTTTGAACCTCAGCTTCATTTACTCACTCAGTACCTTTGGCCAGTTACTTAATCTCTCCAAGTCTCAGTTTCCCTATCTTAAATGAGGATGATCATAGCATCTATCTGGTTGACTTTAGACAAATTATGTAGCAACTCTGAGCCTGCTTCTCACATCTGAAAATGGTGATGACAATAGGTAGTTCCCATCTCATGTTATGAGGATTAACAGGGATAATGCAGGTAAAGCACTTAGAGTAACGCCTGGCTCATAGTAAATGCTTGATGAATGTTACCTGTTATCACTGTTGTTGTTATTATTGTTATCATTATTATTAAATGAGACAGTGAATAGAAAGTGCCAGACATACAGTAAGTGTGCAATAAGTGAGAATAATCATCATCATTATTTGGTCCGTAATACTCATCCTTTAATATCTCATGTCCGTGGCACATTGGCGTCTTTCTTCTGAGCCTCTTAGTTTAAATGTCTGAGTAAAATAATCTGCTAGTCTCAGCTCATCCTTGTGAGAACAGAACTTCTCATGTCAGGCTACCTCATGGGGCACTGGCCTTGAGGATTGGCTGCCTTTGGCGGGGGGGCGGGGGTGGTGGCGGAGAGGACTTACCATTCTGGTAAGGCAGGTGGGGAGGTAAGTTTGGGGTCACAGAGCATAAATGCCCACAGCCAAGGCTGCCCCCATTGGTAGGATCCATGGGTAAGTTCTCTCCCTATGAGAGGAGTCGGGCTGTGACAGATGTCTTCATTACTCAGTAGCACACATACATGGGCCCCACCAAGGAAAATGCAAGTTCCGTTGTTCATGATTTCTTCAGTGGTTACCACTTCTTGCATATTCTACTTGGTCTCTATTGTTTCAAAGGGTAAAGTAGAAACTGTTTTAAAGCTATTTATAAAAGAGCCTATTACCACCATAAGTACAGTTAGCTGCGGCAGCATTTACAAGCTATCATACTGATGTCCCTAGCATGTTACCATCATATCAGTGTCTTCACTTGGTTCACCTTTGTAGCTGCCCTATTGGGAATTTTTGAATTGGGAATTTTGAGATTTCTACATTATGAGTAATTTTTGACCTTTGAGTTGTTGATCTTTAACTTTTAAAAAGATGAGATAGAGGTTTCAGATTCCATTCTAAAAAGAGGAAAGAATTTAGAAAAGAGCTGAAGATTCTCAATTGAGGTATTTAGAATGCTGGCAGTAGAATTTAGTAGTTCAGTACACAGTTCTTTCTTAGGTTGTCAATACTGACATTTATGGGTATTATTTTCCTTTTTATTTTTAATATTGTAGCTGAAGAAATTAAAAAGCTACGTAAGCAACTGGAAGAAATTCAAAAAGAAAATGGCCGATATATTGAATTACTGAAAGCAAATGACATATGCTTATATGATGACCCAACAATCCACTGGAAAGGAAATCTTAAAAACTCAAAGGTCTCTGTTGTTATTCCCAGTGACCAGGTTCAAAAAAATATCATTGTTTATTCCAATGGGAGTCAGCCTGGTGGAAACAGCCAGGGAACAGCTGTTCAGGGGATAACCTTTAATGTTGGTCATAATTTACAAAAGCAAACCGCCAATGTGGTGCCAGTACAGAGGGCTTGCAATCTTGTGACTCCTGTGTCTATTTCTGGAGTTTACCCTTCTGAAAACAAGCCATGGCATCAGACCACGGTTTCTGCGTTGGCTGCCAACCAGCCTGTTCCTCTTTGTCTTCCTGCTACCATTTCTGCTCAAAATATTCTTGAGCTTTCCACCTCTGAAAGTGAATCGAGCGTGCTTGGTGCCACCGGTGGCTCACTGATCACGGTTCCCATTGGTCCTGAACCTCACCAACATCATTCCTTGCACACATGTCTAAATGATCAAAATTCTTCTGAAAATAAGAATGGGCAAGAGAGCCCCAAATTATTGAAGAAAACGGTCCCTTGTGCCACAAGCATCCCCTCCAGTTCCTCAGCAACTGCCATTAAAGTGCACCATGGAAGCAAGTCCTGCCTGAGCATACAGGATTTCAGAAGTGATTTTCAAACCACCTTTGTTGTTTCAGTTGCCACCACAGTCTGCTCCCAGCCTCCCAGATCTGCAGGTGATTCTTGTCCTTCGAGCATTGGCAAGGGTGCAGACACAACAAGTGTTACCGCAGTGGTGGCCCCATCTGCCCCTGGAGGAGGGAAGACCACCACTCCTGTAAGCAGTCTTTCTGCAAACCCTTTAGACAATGTCTGGACTCTTTCTTGTTCTTTGCCTTCTTCAGCTGTTAGTGCTTCAGATTTGAAAAACATTAATAGCCTCACCCGCATTTCCTCGGCTGGAAACACGCAGACAACGTGGACTACTTTGCAACTGGCGGGAAACACTATTCAGCCCTTAAGCCAGACACCGTCTTCTACTGTGACTCCGGTATTAAATGAGTCTGGTACTAGTCCCACCACAACCAACCCCAGTAGACATGTGGCTACAGGCATCAACTTGAATAATTCCTTTCCAGGAGATGGGCAACCAGTTGAGCAAGTAGTTGTCACCTTGCCTTCTTGTCCATCTTTACCTATGCAGCCACTAATTGCCCAACCACAAGTTAAATCTCAGCCTCCAAAAAATATCCTTCCATTGAATTCAGCAATGCAAGTGATCCAGATGGCTCAGCCAGTGGGGTCGGCTGTTAATGCAGCTCCGGCAAATCAAAACGTTATCATTCTTCAGCCACCCAGCACCACCCCTTGCCCAGCAGTGATGAGGGCAGAGGTTCCCAACCAAACGGTAGGTCAACAGATAGTAATCATACAGGCAGCTAATCAGAATCCTTTGCCACTCCTCTCGGCTCCACCTCCTGGTTCTGTTCGATTCCCTGTCAATGGAGCCAATGCTATAATAGGGTCTAATAATTCAGTGCAAAATGTTTCGACCCCACAGACTTTTGGAGGAAAGCATCTTGTCCACATATTACCAAGGCCTTCATCTTTATCAACATCTAATTCAACACAGACGTTTTCAGTTACCATGTCAAACCAACAACAGCCTCAAACCATTTCTTTAAATGGACAGCTCTTTGCTTTGCAGCCTGTGATGTCTTCATCAGGAACTACAAATCAAACCCCTATGCAAATTATCCAACCCACCACCAGCGAAGATCCAAATACCAATGTTGCCCTGAATACATTTGGCGCGTTGGCCAGCCTCAATCAAAGCATATCGCAGATGGCTGGGCAGAGCTGTGTGCAATTGTCTATTGGCCAGCCTGCCAATCCTCAAACTGCTGCAAACAGTCAAACCACCCCAGCTAACTCCGTTTCATTAACAACAACCATAGCACCTCCCATGACAACGGAAAATTCAGCCACACTACCCACTACTTATAATGTAGTGACTACTCCCTCAGTGAACACTGCAGCTTGTTTGCCTAACATGAAGTCAAAGAGGTTGAATAAGAAGCCAAGTGTCAAGAAACACTTAGCAGCTAGCAAGTCAGTGTGCCCCCAGAATCCAGTCAGAGATGTGGGCAAGTTAGACTGCCCCAGCGCTGAAGGCTCAGCAGAGCCGTCCTGTAGTGATGAGCTGCTGGGGAGCCTCCCTGTGGTGCTACCATCTGTGGCTGTGTCCCAGGAAAATAGCGTAAATGTTTCTGGTTCACATTCTTTGGATGTTCTGAGTTCTGAACCAGTGATACCTGAGTCAGTACCCAAATCTAAGTCAGCAGAAGAGTCTAGCTCGCCCTCCCAAGAATCTGTAACAAGTGAACATTTTGCAGTGGCCCCAGCAAAACCCAAAGATTCTGCCCCCATTTTGCAACGAGAGACATCTCAGGATAAGCCACCGACTAGTTTTGCATTGTCAGATGCTGCCAAATCCTGCCCTTCAGCCCACGTGTTGATTCCATCTCCAAATGATCCCCATATTCTGGTTTCTCAGGTTTCTGGTTTGTCATCTACCACAAGCACTACAAATACTGACTGTGTTTCTGAGGTAGAAATCATTGCTGAACCTTGCAGGGTTGAGCAAGATTCATCAGCTACCATGCAAACCACAAGTCTCTTAAAGGGGCAAGGTTTAACTGCATTGCTCTCCGGTCTTGCTAAAGAAAAAGACCCCCAGAAGTCATCTCTTCCAGTCCAAGTGGATCATTCTGACTTCTCTTCAGAAAATTCTAAAATAGTTGATTCAAGTGTTGATTTACATCCCAAACAGGAGCTATTACTGCTGAACAGTGATGATAGAGATCCAGGACAGCATCATTCCTGCCTCCCTGACCAGGAGGTTATTAATGGTTCTTTGCTCACCAGTAGGCAGGCTGACTCTCCCATGTCAACCAGCTCTGGCAGTAGTCGTAGTTTCTCAGTTGCATCCATGCTTCCTGAAACAACCAGAGAGGATGTCACCATCAACACAACAACTAATACGTGTGACAGCTGTACCTTTGTAGAGCAAACTGATATAGTTGCTCTGGCAGCAAGAGCTATTTTTGACCAGGAGAACCTTGAGAAGGGAAGAGCCGGCACCCAGGCTGATATAAGAGAAGTTACTTCAAAGCCTCCTGAAGCATCATCTTTAGAGGGAGACCAGCCTTTCAAAACACAGGTATCTAAAGAGACTGACCCAGGACAGGCGGAAGCAACACCAAATGAATTTAATTCTCAGGATTCAGTTGAAGCAACTGTGGATAGGCCCCTTGAAAAACCAAGTTGTTCTATAGGAATTAAAACATCAAATGCCTCTTTGCAGGTTTCGACTTCTCAGCCATCAAGCATCACCAGTTTAAGTGTGAATAATCTTATCCATCAAAGTAGCATCAGCCATCCTCTGGTCAGCTGTGCTGGCTTATCCCAAACTTCAGAGCAAACTACCGTTCCTGCAACAGTGAATCTGACTGTTGCATCTAGCTCCTATGGCGGTCAGCCTCCTGGGCCATCTCTGATGACCGAATATTCCCAAGAACAGTTAAATCCTATGACCGCTACCATACCAAATCCACAGATTCAAGAGTCACTCTTAAAGCCAAGTCATGAAAGCCGTAAAGACTCTGCTAAGCGTGCTGTCCAAGATGACCTTTTACTCTCTTCAGCTAAACGTCAAAAGCATTGTCAGCCAGCTCCCCTCAGGCTTGAAGGTATGTCTCTGATGAGCCGAACTCCGGACAGCATTTCTGATCAAACTCAAATGATGGTTAGTCAGATCCCTCCCAACTCTTCAAACTCAGTTGTGCCTATTAGCAACCCAGCGCACGGAGATGGCCTTACACGATTATTTCCACCTAGTAACAACTTTGTGGCCCCTGCCTTGAGGCAAACTGAAGTGCAGTGCAGTTCTCAGCCTTCAGTTGCCGAGCAGCAGCAAACCCAGGCCACTCAGCATCTCCAGGCCCTGCAACAGCATGTTCCAGCTCAAGGGGTATCTCACCTGCATAGTAACCATCTCTACTTAAAGCAGCAGCAGCAGCAGCAGCAGCAGCAGCAAGCAGGACAGTTAAGAGAGAGGCATCACTTATATCAACTGCAGCATCACGTACCTCATGCAGAGAGCTCTGGCCTCTCTCAGCCCCATAATGTCCATCAGCAGAGAACTCTGCAACAGGAAGTTCAGATGCAGAAAAAGAGAAATCTTGTTCAAGGCACTCAGGCCTCTCAGCTTTCCCTACAACCGAAGCACCATGGAACTGACCAAGCCCGATCCAAGAGTGGTCAGCCTCATCCCCACCATCAGCAGATGCAGCAACAGATGCAGCAACACTTTGGGAGCTCCCAGCCAGAGAAGAGTTGTGAAAACCCTTCAACTAGCCGGAGCCACCATAACCATCCCCAGAACCATCTCAATCAAGATATTATGCACCAGCAGCAGGATGTTGGAAGCAGGCAGCAAGGTTCAGGGGTTTCTTCTGAACATGTATCTGGGCATAATCCAATGCAGAGGCTTTTGACATCAAGAGGCATAGAGCAGCAGATGGTGTCCCAACCAAGTATTGTGACGAGACCTTCAGACATGACGTGTGCTCCACACAGGCCAGAGAGAAATAGAGTTTCAAGTTATTCTGCTGAGGCACTCATTGGAAAGACGTCTTCTAATTCAGAGCAGAGAATGGGTATATCAATTCAGGGTTCCAGAGTTTCAGATCAGCTTGAAATGAGAAGCTATCTTGATGTTCCCAGAAATAAAAGTTTGGCCATTCATAATATGCAGAGTCGTGTGGACCATACTGTTGCCTCAGATATCCGCCTTTCTGACTGTCAGACATTTAAACCAAGTGGAGCCAGTCAACAGCCCCAGAGTAATTTTGAAGTACAATCTTCAAGAAATAATGAAATAGGTAACCCGGTATCATCATTGAGGAGTATGCAGTCCCAGGCTTTTCGAATTAGTCAAAATCCTGGTCCACCATCGATTGACCGCCAAAAGAGATTACCTTATCCACCAGTTCAGAGCATCCCAACAGGAAATGCTATCCCACCAAGGGACAGTGAAAATACATGTCACCAAAGTTTCATGCAGAGTTTACTTGCTCCTCACCTTGGTGATCAGGTCATTGGGAGCCAGAGATCACTCTCAGAACATCAGAGGAATACACAATGTGGTCCGTCTTCTGCAATTGAATATAATTGTCCACCAACTCATGAAAGTGTCCATATTAGAAGAGAGAGTGACAGTCAGAATAGGGAAAGTTGTGACATGTCCTTAGGTGCAATTAACACGAGGAACAGCACCTTAAATATTCCTTTTTCAAGTTCTTCTTCTTCAGGAGATATTCAGGGTCGAAACACAAGTCCCAATGTTTCTGTACAGAAGTCCAATCCCATGAGGATTACTGACAGTCATGGAACCAAGGGCCACATGAACCCTCCAGTCACAACCAACATGCATGGGGTTGCAAGGCCAGCTTTGCCGCATCCATCTGTGTCTCATGGAAATGCTGATCAAGGGCCTCCTGTACGTCAAACTAATTCTTCAGTTCCCCAGCGATCAAGGCATCTCTTGCAAGACAGCAGTGGTTCCAAAATTCGTCAACCTGAGAGGAATCGTTCTGGAAACCAAAGACATAGTAATGTCTTTGATCCAAGTCTTCCCCATCTTCCTCTGTCTACTAGCGGCAGTATGATTCTTGGACGCCAACAACCCACTACAGAGAAGAGAGGAAGTATTGTTCGTTTCATGCCTGATAGCCCACAAGTACCTAATGATAACTCAGCGCCTGACCAGCATACACTATCGCAAAATTTTGGTTTTCCTTTTATTCCCGAGGGTGGCATGAATCCACCAATTAATGCTAATACTTCTTTCATTCCACAGGTCACTCAGCCCAGTGCCACTCGGACTCCAGCCCTCATCCCTGTAGATCCCCAAAATACCCTACCCTCCTTCTATCCCCCATATTCTCCTGCTCATCCTACATTGTCCAATGATATTTCAATTCCCTATTTTTCTAATCAAATGTTCTCAAATCCTAGCACAGAGAAGGTAAACAGTGGAAGTTTAAATAACCGATTTGGATCGATTTTATCTCCTCCCAGACCTGTTGGGTTTGCTCAACCAAGTTTCCCTCTCCTCCCTGAGATGCCACCAATGCACATGACCAACTCCCACTTATCCAATTTTAATATGACATCTTTGTTTCCAGAAATAGCTACAGCGCTTCCAGATGGCTCAGCAATGTCACCTCTGCTTACAATAGCAAACTCCTCTGCCTCTGACTCGTCCAAGCAGTCCTCAAACAGACCTGCCCACAACATAAGCCATATTTTAGGTCATGACTGCAGTTCAGCTGTTTAGTACTGACAGACTAAACCTAAATGTAATGGGTGAGACTACACATGTATTTGTGTGTGTATACACACACACATGCACATGAAGAGAGAGATTGTGTGTGCGTGTGTCTTTTTGTGTGTATACAATTTCCAGTTATCTTCTGAATGTGGGGAAGCCATGTCAGAGATGGTGTAATCACTGGGTCGTCAAAAACAAATTCTCTTTTTTTAACTGCATGGTGTGCTTTTTTAATTTTCCAAGCAGATTTACATTTTCAAGTTTGATCTGTGATCTTCTAGTCCCTAAATATTAATCAGCTGGAAATTGGGGGAGATCATCTTGGTATGTGCTGGGTAATAGGAAGAAACCTAGATTTTAAACTTGATTATTGATAATTTGTAAAATAGATGGTTGAATTGCTCTCCAAAAATCCAGACAGTTCAGTACAACAGTGACTCATAACCAAATGCTGGCCGATGTCAGCAGCTAGGACAGTTTCTTACCCATGGCAGGTGCTGAACTGATGTAGAACGAACGTCCATGGTTTAAGTTAGGCAGTTGGGAAATCAGTGAGTTCTTTAATCAGCTTTCATTCCCAAGGTTTGGTTAGAGTAGAGGCTTCTTTCTTAATTGTAACAATTCATGAATTACCTGAATTTCATGTCTTGTTTTTCAAATTAGGGAGCTACGTTATCCTCGAATGTGCCAAGATCCCGTAAAGCAAAGATCTTCCTTAAACAATTAGCCTTAAAAATAGAAAGCTAAAAAGCAAAGGATGTCGATGTTCTCCATTTTGTCCTTGTGTTTTGTATCAGGCCATAAGGACAAAAGCAGTGGCGTAGTGGGTTTTCACATGTGTTTAGTGAAAGGTTGTTCTTTCATCAATTGAATTGTATTTTAGTATTCTCTCTTCGTCCTATTTATTTGATCTTGAAATAAATTCTTTTCCATTTGTTTAATCATTAGGGACTGATCAGTAAATAGTGTGTTTGGAATCTACACAGTTATTTGAGCCTTACTTTTTAAATATTTCTGAGCAGAGTCTTAAGCTCTGTCAGTATTTTCATTTACTGATATTTATATTTAAAATATGGCATTGTATATTGCATTATTATCCTTCATAGTAGAGTTATAATGAGAAAATGAATTTGTTCCTTATTTTTCCAGATGGTAGATGTGAAATGGTGCTTCAAAAAATTGTCTTTGTATATGTCCATATGTGTGTCTGAGTGTGTGTACACAGACAAATTTTAAGGTATATACTGGTCCTCTGAAAAGAGGCCTGCCATCTAAATGGGAAATTGAGACCTGAGACCTGCTGAAGTATAGAAAAACTTAATGCAGGGGTTTCAAAAAGCCTCACAGAAGTTAGTAATAAATTAAAAAGTGTGTATATACTCACGTATTAAATTTTGAAAAATTTTTTAAAAACTAAGAAAACAACCACATATACTCATATTCTCAGACTCACTACTTGTTGTTGTTCTGTTCTGCCAAAAATGGGACGGAGTCGGGGAGATGCATATAAATTGTTCTGTCTGCTCAGTTAACAAAATGAACCCAAGGACCAGAGTTTTATTTTTTCCTCCTTAAAAAAGCCTCCCAAGTCTTGGTGAGATCAGTGAACTGCAGCCAATACCTGTCCTAACAACCCAGCCCAAGGGCCGTCCGTGCCTCTGCACCTGTTCTCGCCAGCCCTTCCTGGCTCTTCTGCAGCCCACCGAAGCAGCCTCCGGGGGCAAAAAAAAAATAGCGCAAACAAGAAAAACTCCTGTATTTTCTCCCTTCAGGATGGTCATGGGGAGGAATAAGAGAGCTTCGTGAATAAGTTACTTAACAAAGGCTGCAGATAGACACAGCAGTGAAAACTTTTAATTGAGAAAAAAATGTGAGATTTATGTCTTGTTTTTTAATTATCTTAACTGAGTTTTAAGCATTAACATTTAAATTTTTTCTTTGTACTTGAAAGGGCCAATCTGACAATTTCAAGGACAGTTTTCAATGCGTTTGACTATTCATTCTCTCTCCCTCCCTCCCTCCCTCCCTCCCTCTCTCTGTCTCTCTCTCTTTCTCTCTCTCTCTCTCTGTGTCACACACACACCCACACACAGCACAGGGACTGTTAGATGTAATTGGAACCAAGGTAACAGGCTAAAGAGAAGCTTAGTTTGAATGCTGCAATGGAAAGACCTCACAGCCTGGTACTTCCAGATATTTCTCTGTTGCATTGATTGTATTTTTCTGCTCAGCTCTGTTCAGAGATAGCATTTACATTTCTCAGAGCTTTCATTCCAAGCATCTAACACTTGGATCCCAAATGAGTCTCTACCCCTAAGTAAGGCTTATTTGACCATCTGAGGAAAGACGTGACCATCTGCAAATAATTTGGCTCCTGCATACATGTAGCTCTAACTGTCTTACAAACGTGTGCAAATATATGTAAGAGGTCATTTTATGTATGAACTCAATTCTAAAAGTGTTCAGAGCATAGTAATCTTATTTGACTTAAAAGCACAAGTGTGTGAGATTCACCAGCAGTATTAAGTGTTTGATAATTAGAACTACATGATTTGGGGGAGGAAATTTATTACTTAATACCTAGCAATCTCTGGATATAATTTTTGGCAAAGCAATGGCAGAGAACATGGTCAATTTTGGTTATCATAAATTTAATGTTATTCCTAGCTCACTAATATATTCCCATAGAATGTAAAACCATTTCCATAAATAATTTTGTAATTTCTGGAAATATACAAACTTACGAATGAGTCATAAGTGAGAGCCATTGATTAAATCATTCTCCTCTCTTTTAGTGTTATTGATCATATAGAATCAGTTACAGAAAATCGTTGCTTCCTCTAAACATTTAGTACAGTAACTTCTAATGAGGTGAAAATTTTCAGATTTCTCATCATGTATAAACTTTTAATGTCAATCATGGATAGAAGAAATCAAGTTTGAAGTCATTTCTTATTTTGGTACATACAGGTTGTTTGGGGATGTTTTATACCGCTTCAGGAAATTTATTTTTGTTTTTATTGTAAGATATTTTGGGGGTACCAGAGATGGCACCCTTTTTCTAAGTAAGGAGTGAGAATTCCAGAGTGATTGTGCTTTATAAAATTTAACATACCAGAACTGTGGAAAGAGAAGAGTGAGGAGGGCATGTTCTTTTGCAGCGATTTCCAGTCACACATCAGGGTGAACTGCAGTGAGGACCAGCCTTCTTAAATGCGCAGTTATTTAAACATTTTAAAGATAATTCATTTGCCTTGTTCTTGCCTTCTAACATTAGCCATTTCATGGAGAGGCTAAAGTTTATACTCCAAAAAAATGTGGAAACATATTTTAATAGGAGTAAAGTTTTAAAAACTTGAGAAAGGGTAAAGACTTACTAATATGCATCTTCTTAGCTTTATTCTTTCTTTGATACATAGATCCCTAGGCCCTCATGTTCTTCCGTCTGCTCCCTATCAAACAGGTGGCAGGGAACCTGGTCATTTCCTTAGCAGGATCGTTACTCCTTTGCCTTGCAGAGTTTCTTGGGTTAGTTTATTGGGTTGGTGTGTGATAGGGAGTCATACTCCCAAGGTGTGATCCTCAGTTCTTGGCTTTGGGAACCACTAGTCTCCTATTCTATTAAGAGGCAACAAGAATTTCTTGAACTAAAAATAGTTCACAGTTGATTTAAAATATCAAATGTGCCATATCGCTCTGTTCCTTGTTTTGGTGAGCTTGTTTTTTTCCCATGGAGGAGTGAAGAAAAGGCAAAGGTGGTACCAAAATCAGATAACTTTGGGTTGATATCCTTAGGAACCTGGAAGTCATTGTAATTCTGTTGTGTGTATCAATCCTGTCTTTGTCTGGAGATAATCGCCCATGGCTGTGTACATCCAGTGGGCAATAGTAATAGCCAGATACACTAGTGTGAAGTTAATCTGTGAATGATGATTTTATGATACCTATACGCAAATTAAAGGCCAGAAATTAGTTTCTTCTTGAGATAGCTTTTTGGCTGGAGTGCTACCATTTCTCCTTCCCCAGAATTCAACAGAAAAGGGTCTTTCTTTTTTTTTTTTTTTTGTGTACTTAACCATAGTCTCCCTGCATTCTACACTTCCTGTGTGAGCTTGAGAGTTTCTACTAGAGTCTGTGGGGGACATCAGGTTTCGAGTGAGGCAGTCCAGACATGCTGGTAAGAAGTGGTGAAGACCTTCTTGGACACAGAGCTCCTAGTTCTGCCCACACGCCTCTACCCTGGTACTGCACTTTACCTGAAACTGTGCCTCTGGTCCTAAGACCAGCCTTTGGAACATATGTCTCACCTGCTCCTCTCTTGTAGCAAAGGACCAGCTGGGGTGGTACATGCTGCGCAGTTCAACACCTAGAAGACAAGTACAGCGCATGTTTCTCACTGTTGCCTTATCATTCTCTGAGCCATCTTTAATGCCGATCTTGTAAAAGACTTAGTAGTTAGAAGCAAAACTCCTTTTAAACTCAGAGCTTGTATGTGGTGGTCATTCAACATCCTTATTTCTAGATTTGCACAAACCCTATCAACCGTGATCTTTTTCTGGCACATACATGTATTAAGATGCTTCATAAACATGAGCCAACTTGGGTTGAAAATATTGGGAATAATATCCAAATTGGTGTTACTTTGGATGACTGCATAATCTGTCACTAGGGATTTCATGAGGCGTAAAAGATAACTTCATTTGTAATTTAAAACTTAAAAAAAATTATTATTACTATTATTTTTTGGCTCAGTTTTGTGTACAGCTACACACCATACTATGTCATAGGAACTTAATGTTTACTCCATGTAAATCCCCTCTTCACTTTTCCGGATCTCTGTTCCCCTATCCCCTAAGTCTTAAAACCATTTTCCATCTGTGAGGTCACTGAGGCACTGGGTTTGACTATGTTGGTAACCTTTAAGGGGAGTTGAACTGCTGATTTTCCAAGAAGAAAGGGACCAGACAGTGTTGCTTAAAATGCTGCAGTTGTGTTACTGTGAAGAAGAGATTGCTTCCACTTTCAGCAGGCCATATATATATATATATGTATACATTTTGGTAAAAATAGGTGGAAAAATCTGAGAACATAATTACCTTCACAAATTATTTATAGATACACTGGGTGAGAAGCTTACTGTAGGGCAGTCACCAGAAAAAACCTAACTGTAGTGTCATATTTGTATGTATTCCCATGCCAGCAATATCTGCTGTGCACTCTGTCCCATTACTGTAAATCCCCTGGTTTATAATTCTAATGGGAATTAATTTGTTTTGTAATGGAATCCAGAGCAGATATATATAATATGATCAGGATTGTCCTACAGTTGTAAATAAGAATAGGTCCTGTTTATTTTGACATCTTTTTACAAATGCATTGTATTAGGGTGTGAATATTCTGAACCATGCTCTTGTTTAAAGTTTTGAAATTTTTATTGGTAAATGTAACATTTTAATGGTTGTAATAATTATTTGTATAGATATGAATATAGTATTTTATTTAAGAAAATAAACTTTGCATTTTTGCATTGTGAATTCTGTCTTTTCTGATCATTGCATGTGCCACTTCAAACCTAGCATTAAAACGACTTGCATACTGAAGTTTTATATTCAAGTGACCTTTAAATTTTGCCAAAGTGTCTAAAAATGACACCATGACATGTTTCTCCTGGGGACTGTGTTCCTGGTGAAAGAGTCAACCTCAAATAAATCCTAATTAGGACCGGTGCTGTATTGTTAGAGTACACCATACACCTCTGTACTTACTGTAAAAAGTAAAATTAGGATCTCAGATCTGGAGAAGTGTTGAGAGAGGATTCAGGTTAAACTCTGCTTCTGTATTTATAGTGGAGGAAACTGAAGCACAGAACTTTGGGACGAGAATTAGGTTTTTCATTACAGCCACATCAGCTTGGTCACATCTCACAAGCAGGACGTTTGAGGGGAAAAAACAAGTTGCAGAGGAACTTACACAGTATAAAGCTGTATGAAGTTTAAATGCCTACACAGCAAACAATTGATTGTTTAGCAATAGCCTACAGATGTAAAAATTATAAATTAGGGAAATGATAAACCCAAAGTTCAGAAAAATGGATACTTCTTAGGAAAGAAGGGAGGGACATGATATCAAGGAGGGGCGCTTCAAAAACATTGGTATGTTCTGTTGAATTGGATAGCAGATACCTGGTGTTTATCTCATTTATACCTGGAGTTTTTGTCTTACGAATATGTAAAATATATCCTAATGTCAACACAGGTAAAACGAAGACCTTCAGAGATTATTTACTCTCACATGTGCTCTAGGAAATTAATGCTCACAATATTTTCCTTGTCCTAGCTTCAGAGTTCAGATTAAACCTCAGTATTCTGACTATCAAGCGCTTGGTGTTTTCCTACTGTTGCACACTGCCTCTCATACAGAGGTCATGGATGTATCATATAGTTTGATTACACAAGGAGCCCTTATGTGCCATAAAGGGTATACAATCCATACAAATGCAACTGCTAAGCTTAAATTCGATCTCCCTAAAATGAATGTGCAAGTTATAATAACTATATACTTTAAAGTTTTGTTAGCTTTACAGTTTAGTTAGATGTTTGAGGTGAAATGATTTTAATAAGTGACATCTCTTTAAAAAGCTATCCAGGAGATTGTCACTTTTAGGTAAGATATAGTAGCTAGTGGCAGGTCATCAATCCCACTCCAACAACCAGAACAAAAAGCGAGAGATTAGAAAAATCATTAAAAGATACTAAAACACATCAAATATAAGAGGACTAGCTGAACAAAATTCCACAGAGAGAAAAACCTTCCCAAGGTGAGCTGAGATCTCTGGCCTGCCTTTTTCCCCCTGGGGATGTTTGATGAGTCTGGGTTGAATAGAAAGAGTGAAAGCTCCCAGAGATTCATGAAGGTTAGAAGACATTCCTACTGAAGGGAGCAGTCTCACCCTGCAGACATTTACAACCAGAAGTCAACTGAACCTAACCACAGCTACATCCCAGCCCTCACCCAGCTCAACTCTCCATCTGCCTAACAAAGCAAAAGCGTGATCCCTGTCCGGTGAAAGAGAACGTTAGCTTCAGCCTCTGCAGTTCTTTTATGTACAATGTCCAGGAAATATATACAACATCCAGGAAAATGTGACCGATAAGCAGAAGGAAAAGCAGACATATGATAGAGAAAATCAACAAACTCAAAAGTTGATCCTTGGAAAAGGTTGAAATGCAAACAAAAACTCCTAGAAAGACAGATCCGGAAAAAAAAAGGAGAAAATACCAATTACCAATAAAATGAATGTAAAAGGGAACATCACAAAAGATCATATGAAAATTAAAAACATAAAAGATTATTTACAACTTCATGCCAATGTCATTGACAACTTAGATGAAATGAACAAAATTCTTGAAAAATACAACTTACGGAAACGGACACAAGAAGAAATAGAAAGTCTTTATAGTCCTATACCTGTTAGCTAAATTGAATCTGTAATTAAAAACTTTCCTACCATGTATTGTATGATTCCATTTCTGTGAAATGTCCAGAGTAGGCACATCTGTAAAGACAGGAAGTGGATTAGTGGTTGCCTAGGGTTGGGGAGTTTGGGAGAAAGTGAAGTGTGACTAACGGTTACAAGGTTTCTTTTTCAGGGTGATGAAAATGCTCTAAAATTGATGTGATGATGGTTGCATAACTCTGTGAATACACTAAAAACTGTTGAATTATACACTTTAAATGGGTGAATTTTATGATATATGAATTATATCTCAATAAAGCTGGGTTTTTTCTTTAGCACAAGGGGTTTTAGTGGAAACGTCCTCTATTAAAAGAAGAAGTAACACTAATCTACTCCAATTCATGAAATGGGAAAACAAGAATCACTTCCAAACTAGTTTTAGGAAGTTAACATAACCTTGATACCAACCTGTCACAACATTATAGTAAAAAAAGTTAGAGGCCAATATCCCTCATAAACATAGACGTGAAAATTCTATAAGATTGTTAGCAAATTGAGTCTAGTGATAGAAGAAAAGAATAGTACATCATGACCAAATGGGGTTTATTTCAAGAACGCAAGTTTGTTTTAACATTTTAAAATCAACTTATGCAATTCATTGTATTAACAAAACAAAGGAGAAAAAAACATACAATAACTCAGTTAGTAAAATTGAGCATCCATTTATGGTAAAAACTCTAAACAAAATAGGAGAAGGGAACATTCTCAATCTGCTAAAGCATGTCTACAAAAAAACAAAACCCAAAAACTACAGCTAATATCATACTTAATGATTTCCCCCAAAGTTGAGACAAGACAAAGATGATCTTTTTTTTTTTTTTGAGGAAGATTAGCCCTGAGCTAACATCTGCTGCCAATCCTCCTCTTTTTGCTGAGGAAGACTGGCCCTGAGCTAGCATCCGTGCCCATCTTCCTCTACTTTGTATGTGGGATGCCTGCCACAGCATGGCATGCCAAGCGGTGCCATGTCCGCACTTGGGATCCGAACCGGCGAACCTTGGGCCACCGAAGCAGAACGTGCAAACTTAACTGCTGCGCCACTGGGCCGGCCCCAAAGATGATCATTATCACCCATTTTTTCAACATTTTATTGGCATTCCCAGCCAGTGTGTTACCAAGGAATAAAGCTACTCATCAAACACTATAAAACATTGCTGGGAAAAATTAAAGGAGACCCCAAAAATAATACATTGTCATTAAGATGTCAATTTTCTTCAAATTTATCTATTGATTCATGCAATTACCACTGAAATCATACAGGGATTTTTTTCTTGGGTTGAAATTGACAGCCTGATTCTAAAATTTATGCAATATTTTATATTATATGTAAATATTTACATAAATGTAAATAATTATATAAATATGTAACATTTATATAAATATTATGTATATAATAATTATATGAATGTAAAAGCCCTAGAATAACCTAGACTATCTTAAGAACAAAGTTAGAAGACAAACTACCAGATTTCAAAAATTGCTATAGAGAGTAGATCTTAAAAGTCCTCATCACAAGAAAAAAAAATTTTGTAACTATGTATGGTGACAGATGTTAACTAGACTTACTGTCGTGCTCATTTTGCAATATATGCGAATATCAAATCACTGTGTTGTACACCTGAAACTAACATAATGTTATATGTCAATTATACCTCAATAAAACAAATTTTTAATTGCTATAAAATTCCAGTAATTAAAACAGTGTGATATTGGCACAAAGATAGACAGTAGACCAATGACATGGAACAGAAATTTCAAAAATAGATTAATTACAATATAGTCGATGTATTACTATATATTATATATTTTTTTTAAAGATTGGCACCTGAGCTAACATCTGTTGCCAATCATTTTTTTTCTTCTGCTTCTTCCCAAAGCCCCCCAGTGCATAGTTGTATATTCTAGTTGTAGGTCCTTCTAGTTGTGCTATGTGGGACAATGCCTCAGCACAGCTTGATGAGTGGTGCCAGGTCCGTGCTCAGAATCTGAACTGGCAAAACTCTGGGCCGCCCAAGTGGAGCACATGAACTTAACCACTCAGCTACAGGGCCAGCCCCATTACTATATGTTATTATACAGACTATAGAATACAGTATAGTCACTTCATTGATGACAAAATTGCCAACTGCATTCAGTGAGTAAAAGATGGTCTTTTCAATATATGGGGCTGGAGCCATTGGATATGAGGATGGAGAGGGAAAAAAAACCATAGACCCCCCTACTTCACACCATACACAAATATAGTTTGAGTTGGGTCATAGACCTAAATGTAAAAGGTAAAACACTAAAGCTTCTAGAGCAGTGGTTCTTCAAATGTAGTCCCCAGAGTCCCTGGGGTTCTCTGAGACCCTTTTATGGAATCTGTGGAGACAAAATTATTTTTACAATAGTACTAAGATGTGACATGCCTATACACTGTGTTGACATTTGCACTGACTGTGCAACAACAATCAAGGCAGTGGCACCACTACTGTGTATTTTTAATTGTCATAAACTCACAGTAAAAAAGAAAAAAGCCAGTTTCACTTTAGAATGTCCTAGATGAAGCAATAGAAAGTAATAATTTCATTAAATCTTGACTTCTGAGTAAGCTTCCATTTCATATTCTTTTTAAACATTACACTAATATTTAGTATTCTGTGAGAAGATGGAAGCGAGCATAAAGCTCTTCCACTGCAAACCGGAGCTTGGTGGCCGTTGTAAGGAAAAGCACTGGTGTTTGAACCATGGACTCAAACAGTGGCTTTCTTCATGGAATATTATTTTAGTTGCAACAATGACTAAAATCTATGCCTTTTCAGATTTGAATATTTGGCAGACATTTTCTCAAAAATGAGTGAAATGGGCCTATCACTGTATCCACTACTGTGAGCTTGACAGGTTCCCACTAACCTCTTTGATGAAATCAGTGGTGATATCAGTGACTGGTGTGTATATATATTTCTTTATTAATAATTATATAATTAAACGTGTAAATATTGGGAAGACTTGCACAATTCAGTGAACCAATATTTTCCAAGTGACCAAGGCATGCTGTTACAAAACCATGCATGGGTAAAAAGATCCATTCAAATTACAAGATAGACCAACAGATTTTAACGTTAGAAAACATGAAAAGTTCACTGATATGGTTTCAAATTCCAGTTGCAACTAATCTTTGGGAAACTACTATTTGCTGAGTTTTGGTGTAGTATCAAAGAAGAATATCTACAATTATCTGGAAAGTCTACTTCCTTTTCCAGCTACATATTTATGTAAGGCTCGATTTTCTTCCTTTTAAGCAAAACCCATGCTTGCAGCAGAGTGAAGGCAGAAACCAACATAAGAACCCAGCTATTTTCTATTAAGCCAGATGTTAAATTGATTTACAAAAATGTGAAACACTGGCCCTCTTCTCACAATTATTTTGTTTTGGAAAATATAGTTATTTTTTCATAAAATATGTTATTTGTGCTATGTAATGAGTTTATCATCTTTAAAAGAATAAATATTTGTAAATTTTCCATTTTTATTTCTAAAGTGGTAAATATTGATAGATATAACTCACATAAACAAAAACCCTTTAGGGTCCTCAATAATCTTTAGGAGTATAAATGGGTCTTGAGACCAAAAAATTTGAGAACTGGTGTTCTAGAAGAAACCATAGGAAATATCATCTGACCACAACCATAAAAGAAAAAATTGTTAGATTAGACTTCACTCAAATTAAGAATGTTTCTTCATCAAGCCACAGACTGGCAAAGATCTTTTTGTTTAATTTTAGGTTTTTTTTGTTTTTTTAAAGATTTTAGTTGTCCTTTTTCACCCCAAAACTCCCTGGTACATAATTGTGTATTTTTAGTTGTGGGTCCTTCTAGTTGTGGCATGTGGGACGGCACCTCAGCATGGCCTGATGAGCGGTGCCATGTCCGTGCCCAGGATTCGAACTGGTGAAACCCTGGGCCACCGAAGCGGAGCATGCGAACTTAACCCGAAGATTTTTATATATATCAAAAAGAAAAAGATTCATAAGCTGATTTAAAAAATAGGCAAAGAATTTTTTTAAAAATCCCTCACATAAATGGCCAAGAAATCTATGAAAAGGTGATCAACATCAGTAGTCACAGAGAAATGCAAAATAAAATACAGTGAGAAACCATTACACTCTCACCCAGAAAGGCTAAAATTGAAAGAACTGACAAGTGCCAAGTGTTGGCAAATATATGGAATAACTGGAACTCTCATATGATGTTGAAGGGAGTGTAAACTGGTACAACCACTTTGGAAAACTGTTGACAGTATCTTTTAAAACTAAAGACTTATCTACCTATAACCCAGCAATTCCGCAGTGCACTGCGTATATATCCTGGAAAAAAAAGTTTGTAAAAGTTCACCAAAAGACACGTATAAGAATGTTCATAGAAGCTTTCTTTACAATGGCCACAAACTGGAAACAACCCAAACATCCATTAATAGGCAAATGGATAAATGAAATGTCATATGTTCACAGTATGAATGAATGAAGTTACTGATACAGATGAATCTCAGAGACATTATATCCAGTGAAAGAAGTCAGACAAAAAGGTGTACATACTATATACTTCCATTTATATGAAGTCCAAGAACAAGCAAAATTCATCCATTAGGAGAAAAGTCAGAAGAGTGGTTATCCCTGGGGCAGGGATTAATTTGGAATAGGCACGAGGATACTGGAACTGTTTTGTTTCTTACTGTGGGTTTCAGTTACATTGGTGTATATGTGTGTGTGTGTACACACATATAAATAAAAATTCACCATTTTATGTGCAGTTAAGATTAGTCTACATTTTGTACATTACTATATTTTATACCAAAAAAAAGGTTAAAAAAAAACTATCTATGTAAGTCGGAACTGACGTTGGTTTTCTCTTGATAAATTTCTTGAGTCAGCAAAATCGAAACATTATTTTACTATTGTGATATTGTGATTTATGAGAAATACATATTTGGACATTCAGATGACAAAAATATGTTCTCATATATATGTGGTTCTTCACAGTTCCTGGCTCACAGCTCCCAAAACCCTTGGAATTTCCTAAGTGTGAGAGTGATAAAGGTGTCTCATTTATGTTAATGAAGGTGACCTTTGGACCCCACCCCAGGATGGGGGCTGGTGGCCAGCAGAACCAGCCATGTGACCAGATGACTGGAACTTTCGGTCCCATCCCCTGATTTCCGGGGAGGGGAGGAAGCTTGAGGTTGAATCAGTTGCCAAACGACCAATGACTTAGTCAATTATGACTACCTAATGCAGCCTCCATAAAAACCCCCAAAAAGAAAGCTCAAAGGCCTTTTTTCAGAGAGCTTCCATGTGCCGCTGCGCTGGGCCAAATTCCTTTGTTCAGGACCTCGCCCCATGTATCGCTTCATCTGGCTGTACATTCGTTTCCTTTAATATCCTTTGTAATAAATTGGTAATCTAGTGAATAAAGATTTTCTTGAATTCTGTGAGCTGTTCTGGCAAATTAATCAAACCTAGGAGGGTGGTCTTGTGGGTCTGAGCCCTTTACCTGTCGAATCTGATTCCATCTACAGATCGACAGTGTCAGAATTGAGTTGAATTCTCAGATATCCTGCTGGCATCTGAGAACTGCTCTCTGGTGTGGGGAAGCCTACACACACACACACACACACACACACACACACACACACACGTGTGCGCGCACGCGCATACGTTGTAATTGGATCTAGGAAACTTTTGCAACTGTCGCTCTTTAGAAAAAGAAAGAGCGATGGCACTATTTTGTATCTGGCTCCCGTTACCTGGCTGTGTGACTTTGGGTAAGTGGCATAACCTCTTGGCATCTTAGTTTATTTGTTGGTACATTATCTGTTCTGTCTACCTCACAGAGTTGCTGTAAAAGACAAATGAGGTTGTATATTTGAAAATATTTTCATTATGTTGCAAAGGAATATTTAAAGGTAAAGTGGCAATTATTTTCCATGACCTTCCTCATTTCCATCTCTCCCACACATGAGACTGAAACGCAGGGCTCCAGGAGAATACACTTTGTTTGTCAGTGTCAACAGCTCCTTTGACTTTTTCTTCTTCCTGTGAGAAATTAAGGAGATAATACTAATTTGCTTAGGTTCAGAAGTCAGGGAGATTGATCAGCTAGTAGCAATGTGCCACTTAGTTTCTCACACCATCAAGTAAGCTACAGAATTTTGGGAGGATATGAAAATCCAGCTTTTAACGACATTTGTGCTGTGCAGGTCTGGTTGTTGTTGGCGTTTTCTTACATTCCTTAATCACATTCAGATCTGAGGTTTGGAAACAGGCTGAAGCCAAACTGTAGTGGTGGCGAACTTACTGTTTCAAGGAAGTTTTCTGAGAATTCATGATTCATTTAGGCTAAATCCTATTTTTTGAATGCTGCGGTGTGGTAAATGTGGAAATTCACATTAAATGTTAAAAAAAAAAAAAGCCCAAAAGACAACTTAGTGTAGGAGAAGAAAATTTGTTAGTATGTCAGTGTTTCGAACCAAATCATTGTGTACCCCAAATGAAGAATTACGATTTTCCAGTTCAGCGCTGCCTGGTCCCTCTGCCTCAGTTTGGCCAGATGAAATCACCTCCCTGCAGGAGGAGAGGGCTGGGCCCCACCACTGAGAACAAAGATGGTTCAGTCATTGATGGGAGACATCGATTCGGCCTCATCTGTTGAGCCAGCAAAGATCAGCTCCAGAGGCAACTTTGGAAGACTTTTTGACTCTTGACAGTTTTTTGAGCCTCTCAATGCTTTGTAGGAAATTAAAAAACACATTATATCGCTGTGCTTTCTCTCCATTGTTAATGTTGTTTCTGAAACAACAGGCTCCCAGTGGAAACCTGACACCTCGCGCCATGTATATTTTAATTTAGAAGGAATCTTTGGTCTATAGCCCTTTGCCAAGTGCAAACATTGAATTTATAAACAGGACTTTGGTTCTTAACTTTCCAAGCTTAGAAAGTGAAGCAAGTCTTCACGTGAATCCAGCTGTTCCAGTTTCTGGAGCCCAAATGATCCAAGGCGGTGTTATTGGTTGGCTTCCCTAAAGCACAGTACGTTTCATTGCTGCTTGGGTTCAGATAAAGGACAGATCTTCTGAATGTTGGAAAAACCTTCTCTTTTTGTTAATACGTTCAATAGTTACATAATTCCAGGCTGTGCTATTTGCATATATAGATACGTGCATAAATACAAATTGAATCTTCTTTGTAACACAATCTGTCTGCCCTTTCTCTGGTCTCCTTACCTGAACTACTCATTTCTGACTACAAATCTAGGTTTCTGCACTGTTCACTTCATCTCGTGAACAGCAACTTTTCTACCTTTCAGTTTCTCCATCTGGGAAATAAAATAAGAATACTGACTTCAGCGGAGGGTGTGTTTCAGGATTAAATATGGAAATGTATATAAAACCCTTGGCAGAATGCCTGATGACAAATGTTTACTGTTTCAATGATCAGTTCTGCCAACTTTAATGGTCTGGGGGTTAGAGATGGGAATTGAGGGCAACGCTTCCCAATATTAAGATCCCACTAAAGGACAGACCCGGAAGTGCAGTCCGTGCTTGTCCTCCAGCAAGGAGCGGTTGTTGCGATTCCTAAGGTTTAGGGAGAGGGAGCTGTTTTTATATCTTCAAGGATGGATTAAGATGATCCCATCACAACCTTCTCTCTCTAATCTCTGTTCTCTGCTGGGATTAAATCTGGAATTTTCATTTTTCTTAGGAAAAATTTGAGATGGTCAGTTCAAAGCATCTCTCTTATTTTTCTGATTTCTCCCCTTTTATGTAGGAGGACACAATGATTCTTCTCCTCTGCGCATGACAGGGCAGTTTGTGAGAGTCCAACGGGTTTATTCTTCCCTCCTTGTCCGAATATGACCTTTTCGAATACGGCCCAGCTCTTCAGTCTCAGCTCAGTGAGGCCAGGGGTCTCTTTCAGGTTGATTCCAGTCTGCCTGAAAACAAACAAAATCAAACCCACAAATGCACCACATCAAATGTTTATCCCTCTCCCTTTGGGCCAGTAGCCTTCCCATCCCTTTTTACAGAGTTCTCACTGGAAAGACATTCCTTAGGTTCTATCCATCTTGAGTGCCGCCAACATGGCCACCCAGTGCTTCTCCAGAAGATAAACAGCTTTCTTTCCCTTCTGGTTTACTCTTTAACTTTCATCATTCAGAGAAGCAGTTACTTTCCCCTCCATGTCCCAATCAAGTCTCAGTTTACCCTCTTTCACATTTATAGTTTTTAGCGATCGTTCAGGCTGAAATCTCTTCTGTTTCCCTCCCCTTACGAAAACACTCCCGCTTGAACCTGACCTTCAACTGAATCTCATTAGGTGTTCCAGGTTTACATTTCTTTTCTTGTCTCATTTCAGTTTTGTTTCTCGTTAATGCTCCATCCACCTAGTTACTACATTGTTCTAGTACTCGAAAGTCCATTTGAAAGACATATTTGGAGCAATCTTAGCAATAAGCCTATTTCTTCAAAGTCACACAACACCAAGAACTAGCGCCCTCCTCTCTGATACTGAGCAGGGTCCCCTCTGCTTATTTCATCTCTTTCTTTGATTGTGTAGTAGAACTGGGAACCACAGATGGAGAAAACCGGTACCTCCCTGAAGAGGTCAAATGTTCTTTCTAGGAATTTGGTTGTGAGAGATGCCATGTTGTGTCAGCAATTTAGGGCTTCACATCTGGGAATAAAAATTGATAATTATTGGGAATTTTTTTTGTTCTGCACCTGAAGATAAGATTCTTATAAGGCCATTCTCTTCTTGGAGCTTTTTGCCCACTTATAGTGAACAACTTATAATTGTTTGTTTCATGTCCATCCTCCCTTTTGGACCATAGGCCCCACAGTGGAAGAGACTGTACATTCTGCCCATTGCTGTACCCAGGGCCTCAGTGCCTGGCCGGAATATTTCTTGATTGACTATGGACTGAGCAGTATTTCTGATTCTATGTAAGTGAATGGAGAAGTCGTGAGGGAGGAGGGGATAAAGGGGAAATGGACCCCCTAAAAAACAGGTGACTTTACCAGGTGTCCCACATTGAGAGAGAAGCAGAGCAGCCCTCAGGCTTGACTGCCCTCTTCCTCGAAGAGGCCTGCCTAGGACTGGGTGCTGAGCCTTGAGACAGGCTCAGATAAGCGACATAATAAAAATCATAAAATGCAAATCAACTTTTTCTGTGATGGCAACATTATAGCACCCTAAAATGGAGAGCTTTTGAATTACTTTGGATAATCTTCTGTTTAAATGACTTAGAGCCTGAATTCATGAAGAATGTTGAGAGTTAGAGGAAATTAAGGGCCCAGGAGCTGGCCATCGTAGGACTGTATGTCAGATTCCTCTTGTCCTGACTTGAGAATCTTTCACCGTTTAATATCTTGTTTTCTAAATCATAGCTATAATGCTGGGACAAGGGGTGAGATACCTAGACTTTATTTAGTACTTGACTGAAATGTGATATGACTTCAAGGCTATTCCATGTTAAAATATGGTGGTTGGCTATTATTCATCTCTAATGAAATGGGTAAGTCATAGATGACAGGAACTTCAAGGCAATGAAAAGGATGTAGGATAGAGGCAAGGAATTTTTCAAAACTTAAAGTTCAGGGAAAATGATGAAGTCTCCAAGTCTAGAATATTTAGGAAAAGGGCAGAGCTCCGTTTCCCTAAGATTGGGGACCAAAGGGTAATTCTATTGAAATGATGGCGACAACACTGTCTTCTTTGTATTTTGAGAATAGCAAGACCCCAGTTCAGGACAACTGTAGGATGTAAAAGGTGCCCCTTGGAGTTCACAGAGTGGGGGTCTCTTTGCAGAGGCGTCCCGTCCAAGTGAAACTCTATTATGATGGCCTTTTGGAAACTCAGCAGTGAAGGCTGATCTGCGACCCTTGCCAAGGTTATTCAAATTCACACGTGTTAGGGCCCGAGATTTAGCAGGCACTTAACCTTGTTGACAGTGGCACTTTAATGCTGAGGAGACATTAAAACTTAGTCACACGAATATATCTTGTCTCCACCAAACAACGTTAAAAACAAAACAAAAAAACTAGTATACACTGGGCAGAAGCACTGTAAGCAAGGGTGTCACATGGCTCGGGCAGAGGCAAATCATATCTTTACTCATAATGCTTTTCCTTAGCGTCACCAGGGGACATTAGAGTCATTTCCAAACCTGAGGGACCCTCCGCTGCTCCCTCTTTCTGGGACCTGTTTGTCCCCTGCAGGCTGAAGCCTCTTTTCATCCAGGCTGAACATGCAGGCTCCCCCTACAGAACACATGGGGAGAAGGGCGGGAAGGGTGGGGGCACACTGGCACATGGCATTCCCCGAACCAGGGCAGTAACGGCTGCTCGAGAGAGGAGAAAAATCTAGATTGTCTTTGAGGTTCCCAGGGCAGAGATGGTAGTAATGAGGTGTGACCTTATACACAGCCAGACTTTCCATTTGGCCTTAGCTTTGCTAGCAATTTCTCATTTGAGTTGGACTGAGTATTAAGGGCCACAGGCAGTGAAATGCAGCCATAAAGGGCGAAGAAGGGCTGGGGCTGGGAGGTTTGATCACTCTGGGCAGTGTCTCTGAAGGTGAAGAGGCCGCCTGGAGCTGAGGACAGGAAATGGAATAGCTGGTTTAACTGGCGAGTCCCCGCTGAGGGATCCGCTCTTGCCTTGCCCCCGTTGGACTCAAGAGGTATGGGGAGAGGATCGTCTCTGCGCCAGCTCTGCTCCTGGTGCTCTGCACATTGCCACCTTTGTCACCCTCATGTAGTGTCAGGTAGCTGTGGTAGGTGAGGATCAGAGAGTTCTGGTGACTTGCCCAAGGTCAAACAGCAAGCAAGTGAACATACTTGGACTAAAATCTGACTCAGGAATCCTGAAACTCAGAACAGGAATCCTGTTCCTTCCATGGAGAAAATTTATCTTTGTTTCCCCTTTCCCCCAAGTTTTACATGAGAGATTATCTCCCAGAATGAAGAAACATTTGGGTATTATTCAATTTACCGACACAGGCATTTCACGACCCCACAGAACGTTCTGGTAGGTGCTTGGAGCTACAAAGGAAGCAGCTGCCACTTTCTTTGCCCCTGGAGCTGGCTCAGTGATCCCTTCGGTCACGGAAAGTCCCTTCCCCAGATAGATTCCAGTTTCCACTGGCTTCTCCGGCTGCTAAAATAAACCCGGGCTAATCCCTCACCCGTCCAGTGTCAGCAGGTGCGCGGCCCAGCCAGCCCTCGCCAGCGGTGAGAAGAGGTCATGTTTCATGTGCACAACTTTGTCCCTCTGGCTGCCACATCTCTGTCCAGCTCTAGCTGAACTGCTCTCATTACTCTGCACAGTGGCTGTCTCTCTCCGGTTCCCCTCCTGCTGATCTCGGCTTTCAGAGATGCCCGTCCCTTCTCTTTTCAAGAGCGACGTCCCCGAGCACAGGCACAAGTCGCAAAGGCATTGCACCACATGTGGACGAGCGACCGCTCAGCTATTAAAAACTGGTTGCCCCTCCACGCTGCAGTCTTATCAACCCCACAGATGGCAGTCACTGGCTTTCTTGTGTCCTCCGACCACGAGATCGGCACTGTAGAAAGAATTAGCAACAAGGACATTTAGAATTGATGTTTATAAGAGCAGGCTTGGGCTGGGGTTTTAGTCCTGCAGAGAATAAAACTGACCACAATATGTGAGTTTATAGCACATGACAGACATCATCAGGAAACGGTGAAGAATACAGCAGCACGATCCGTCCGTTTCTGCAGGCTCCCCCGCCCTTTTCCATGGACTTATTTCCCAAACAGGTTACTGAAGAGTGAACACGTCTTAAAATTTACTGACTTCAGGCCACAGGGCGACTTAACAAACTTGGTTCACATATCCTTAGCGGATCTTTCTTGGATTTGAAACCATTAATGCATTAAAATAAAAGAATTAGGTCAAATCAGCCATAGTTAAACAGGTTTAAAATTTGTTTTAGATATTAGATTAACACAACCACTTAATAGGTAGACTTCCTATGGCCTGTGGAAGCCAACAAGTTTTCAGGAATAAAGAATAACAGAGGGGCCGGCCTGGTGGCACAGCGGTTAAGTTTGCATGTTCCACTTTGGTGGCCTGGGTTCACTGGTTCTGATCCTGGGTGCAGACCTACGCACCACTTATCAAGCCATGCTGCGGCAGGCGTCCCACATATAAAGTAGAGGAAGATGGGCATGGATGTCAGCTCAGGGCCAATCTTCCTCAGCAAAAAAAGAAGAGGATTGGTGGCGGATGTTAGCTCAGGGCTAATCTTCCTAAAAAAAAAAAAAGAATAACAGAAAACCAGTTAAAAATTTAGGGGCATTTTAGAAAAAAAGTCACAAAATAGTTCATTAAAAGCATCTTTGTGTTTTTAAAATCAGGGAAAGTTTGCTGTTTGAACGTCCAAAATGTTCTTTTGAATATTACACAAGAATTTTAGAGACAGAATAATAAATTTTTAAAAAACGGAATGCCTGATCCATTTATCTAATGAATGGTCAGGAAAGCAGAGGGGAGAGGTGGATCAATTTCACAGGCAAACATACATGTTTGCACATTTGTGTATATTTTCTGATGACATCATACTCCAGGTAACAAGGGAGTGTGGTCAGAATGGGACTTCTTGGGGGCAGAGCTGCCAGACAGTGGGAGTGAAGTGGGAGCTTTTCAACACCTTTCTGGGGAGACGACGGGAGTCAGGTGCAACCAGGAGACAGTCCTAAATCGGCTGGGTTCTTTGCAGCTAGAGAGGAGGAGTAGAATGTGTCCACCCTGAGAGGTACTTTTAAAGAACTTCAGGGAGAAAGTCCGGAGCCTCTGATCTGCATAGGGTGACAGAGAAGGGGCCTGGTGGGTGGTAGAGGACCCCTCATGCAGTGCCCCTGGTTAGAACACCTATTTCTTTGCCAGAGGTGAGGTGGGCACAGAACTGAGCTCTGGAAACTGGAGGCGTGAGGAAGCACTTTCGCCTTCGCTCATTTAGCTCTGTGTGCCCACATCCTTAGGGTAGGCCTGTTTGCTTGGTGCTGCTATTGCCAGTCTCTTAGTGCTGCCGGTCATTTCTCTGGCTCCTCCTGCTGCTGGGAGAGTGTCCCCGTTTCCCCTTCCACCTTGGAGCTGGGCTGTGGAGTGACAGGGCCTTCCTGAGAAGGCAGAGCCTGAGTTATGGGTCAACACACAGCAGTGAGATGAAGACACTAAGGAGGAGGTAAGCACCAAGACTTGGTCCCAGAGATGGTCACCCGTGAGGAGGACAGTGTGACACAGCCCAGCGTGAGTCCTTCAAATGGGGTCAGGAACCTGGGGGAAACCTACAGCATTCCTTCTGAGGAGGCGACTAGCTGGTGCTATTGGAACATCTGTCCCAGTTTGGAAGGACCTTGGGTCCACCCCTCTACCAGACTCCAAGGAATCCCGTCAGCCCAGGACCTTGGAGAAGAGAGCTGGTGTTGGGATGCCCACAGTATTGGACGTTACAGAGGTGCAAAGGGGGCCAACCCGAAGTTTCTAGAGGAGGGAGGGGGTATCCGAGCTGCCGGCCTTTCCAGGCATGGAGGCAGCTGGAAGGAAGACGGCAGCATCGTCCTGCCATTGCTGGCAAATCTCCACGAGGGTGGGAGGGGTCCCAAGAGAGCAAGCTGACTCTGATGCAGCTTTTGTCCATGTCTAGCTTAGAGTTGCAAAGGAATGGGATGGTGTCTCTCGACCCTTAGGCCTCGCCTCTGTCACAGCCGTGGCCCCGCTTCTTGCAGGTTTGAATCTCCCCGTGCCTCTCTCCTCTCTGTGTCAACACATCCAGAGCTGACTCCACAGAGGCGGGTGGAGCATTTGGCAGTGGTTACTTTGCTGCAGTGCCTGTATTTTCAGGAAACAGCACCAAGATCGATTGCTCCATCTCCCCCTCTTAATGCTGGAAGGCTCAGAAGACACGGATCTTGTCTCTCTGAACCATATCCAGATCATCATCCAGGGTTAACAAAACCTGAAATGAGAGAGGCAGAGAAAGGAAAGGAATGCACAGTCACAGTAAGGCCCCACTTTCTCCCTAAGACTCACGCAGACTGAAAACTTCAAGCATCCTCATGCGTTTTCCTGTCTTCTGCAGCTTTCTGCAATGCCGTGCTCTTAACAGGCACTTATTATAATTACATAGTTCATTTACTAATTAATTCAAATGCTTATCAAGGATCTATTACATGCTATCCTAGATGCTGGAGATATAGCTTGGAATGAAAGAGACAAAAATCCCTACCCTCCTGGAATTAAAATCGAGAGAGTGCTTCAGATATGACACAAACACAGGAGTAAAATACAGACGTTAGATAGTGATATATTCTAAGTACAGTATGTTAGGTAGTAATGTGTACTAAGGATAAAAATCAAACTATGGGGAGAATATAGGAAGTATGGAGTGGAGAGAGGTAAAAAATTTCGATAGGCTGGCCAGGGAAGTCATTACTTAGAAGGGACGCTTGGGTCAGGACCTAAAGGGAGTGAGGTCTTACTGCAGAGGGTATTGCTAATCTATAAGAAACGGACCCTCCTCCTCCCTTTTTAGTTCCCTCTTCCATCCTTCTCTCCACATGGAACCCTTAGCTCCACTTTTGTTGTCCCCATCTCTCTAATGAAGGTAACTATAAAAAATGAAATCCTTAAGGAACGTTTATACAGATTGGTTAAACTTCCCAAGCTGGCCACCAGGGGGTAGCCCTGCTCTACTTGAGGTTATATGGCCGAGACTAAAGTGGGCAGTCCGGGAGGTCTAGCGGTAGCGTTATTTGTCAAATGATCTTGTGTACAGGCACCAAGGACTTTTAATTTGGAAAAGTCAAAATTAAGATGAAAGGATGCCGAGGGTTATCACCCAGGGTTGGTGTAATATGCATGGCTCCTGGGAAGGTGTTTCGGCAAAAAAATGAAGGGACCACAGGAGAGACTTGGAAGAGACTGGTTAGAAAGCAGGAGGGGCCTGGCTGCTCTCCGGGGCCACTCCAGGAATTTGTAACATATTTGTCAGAGATTCAGTGAGACTGGAAGGCGTGGAGGAAGGTGAGTACAGCGCAAGAAGGAGTGACCTAATGTTACAGAAATTGTCACGGATGCTAAAAGTGGTTCCTGGTGGGATTCTGGGCATGTGAGTTCTCATAACCAATTCAGCCCAAACATTATGCAACTGAAAGAAAATCATTTTGTCACTCTGTGTCTTAAAATATTGAAGAGTAAAAAGAAAAAGAAAATAAAGATCTAACTGAAGGATACAATGTGAAAGAAAAAGATAATCTGTACATTGAATTACAATGAGGACTTGGAAAGGGAAATGAGAGGGGAACACAAAGGGGGATATCAGGAAGAGGGGAAGAGAAAAAAGGAAAGTACAGCATTAAAGAGAGAAGAAATCAACAAAAAGGTATTATAAACTCACCAAGAATGAGAAAAACAGGGCAGTAGCAGAGAGGAAGTGCCAGATGTCATGGTCATCAAAGAAATCGAACAGGATACACTCCCGGTTCTTCTCCCGGGATTCGGCTGGGGTTCCCTGGAGGGAATGGAGGCAGGATGTTGGTGAGAATTCCCACAGTTCAACTGCCAAGAGGGCTGTGCATCTAGAAAGCTACAAAAATACTACTAGATGCCTGGCTCAAAATGTTCACTTCCAAGAAAACATATGTCCACACCAAAACTTGTACACAAGTGTTCACAGCAGCAGCATTCATAAATGCCAAAAAGTAGAAACAACCTAAATGTCCCTCAACTGATGAATGAATAGATAACAAGCAGTATATCCACACAATGGAATATTATTCAGCAAGAAGAAGACATGCAGTGGAGATACATGCCACAGTACGGGTCATCCGCGAAAACATTCTTAAGTGAAAGAAGCCTCACACAAAAGGTCACACATTGTTTTATTCTATTTATATGAAATGTCCGGAATAGGCGGATCTATAGACACAAAAGATAGATTAGTGGTTACCTAGGGCTAAGCGGTTAGGGAGAAATGGGGAGTGACTGCTAATGGTGTAAGGTTTTTTCTGGGGTGATAAAAATGTTCTGAAGTCTATTGTGGTGGCTGTGCTGATGCAGAGCAGCGACTTCTTCCCAGTTCTGTGCCTCAGCTATATTGCTGATTTCCTAGGCCTCAACTTTCCTATCTATGAAAGGGATTTATAAACACCTGCACTTGGGGATCTGTTTATGAATGGTGGTTATAATGAGAAAGGAGGGGAAAATATAGTAATCAAGCTTTTTGCACATGTTAAGCATCCATCAGGAACAAGATCATATGAACAACGCTTAATGAAGGTCAGATTTGCAGTGTCAGTGGGGCTTACACATTTAAGAAGTGCTACCCTGACAATGGTGACAACATGCCATCTAGTGACCATTTATGTGTAGGTATTAAAAATCATCCCTTTTAGAGAAAGTTTTCATGTTAGAGAGTATAAAAAAGATGAACAGCAACAAGCACATGAGGACAGGGAGGTGGGAAGGTCAAAAAGGCAGGACGGAGAGAGCATCTTCTTGGACAAGAACACTGTCCTCTTACCTCCCAGCTGCTGAGATTCTGGAAAAAGAAATACAGGGCAGCGGCCCACACCACAGCGGTGGCGACGATGCAGACAGACGGAATGGGGAGGACCCTCTCGTTGCTGCGCAGCTGTGGGTGAGAAGCAGATGCTGCCAAGCTGCAGGCATGGCCTGGGGAGGGCCCTGGCGCTGCCCGGCTCCCAGCCGCCACTCTTACCTTCATGATGATATAAAAGGCCAGGTAGAGCAGCAGGTTACAGATGAAGATGCCCAGCATGTAGGAGGCGAAGTCCCTGGGTCGATAGATGAGTCCAAAGAAGGCACTGAGCACACGGGGAGAAATTATTTTGCAGCCATGAAGGTGGATTTGTAACATTATTGGCTTTTTTACTCCCCTACTCCCATTTAGGGAGGAGCGGAATTTAAAAAAAGCCGCTTTAACATGTCATAAGTAACTTTTCACTTATTACGTCTCCCTCAGAACATTCACTGTTAATGATTGCAAGGTTCCCATAGGTGGGTGTGCCATGAAGAATCGTCTTTCCTCTCTGGCTGAAATAAAGTGTTTTGCCTTCGCACTTCAGTTTTCCACGATTATAAAGACCACTGCAATGGATAAATGAATACCTTCAGACATATCATGCTTTTTTTCTTTTTGCACTTAAGATTAATTCATTAGACTAGATTACTAGAAGCAGAATTATTTCAATAATTGGATGACACTATAAAATTTTTGCTAGGTGTTTATGGTCTTTAATACTGAAGTTTATTTTGGTTGGAGTTCAGCCTTAATTTTGTTCCAAATTTCTACTGAGTTATAACAAAACTCTATTATATAACCCTTTCTTATTTCCTTGTTTTGGAAAGCTTGTTTTTAATAAACACACAAACACGCACATAGAGTTGGATTTCTGTCCTCTTCATTCTGATTCACTAATTTATGTTTCTGATTTTGGATCATTGTTTTATAATATGTTAGACTCTCTGGTTAGGCTAGCTTGTACTACCCGATATGGTAGCCACACATGGCTATTTAAATTTCAATTAAAATTAAGTAAGATTGAAAATTCACTTCCTCAGTCACAGTAGCCACATTTCAAGTGCTCAGTAACCACATGTGGCTAATAGCTACCATATTGGACACTGCAGTGTAGAACACTTAGATCATTCCAGAAATTTCTATGGATAATGCTGGGCTAGCCCTATACATCTCTGCCTCTCTTTCCTTCTGTTAATTTTCTTTTGAAGAGAACTTTGAAAATTTTGCCTAAGTAGGCAAATAAATTTCAGAATAAATTCTTATTAACTTAATTCCAAATCTAATTCTATATTTTTACATTAACTTGAGAATTGACATCCTTACAACAGTTAATTTTCCCATCCAGGGCATGACATCACTATTCAATTAGCTGTTTTCCTTTATGTCTCCTAATAAGGTAATTAAATTCTGCACATCTTTCAAATTTATTCCTAAGTATTTCAAGTGTAAAGCTGTTATTAATGGACTTTGTTTTTGTTTATTTTTTATTGTAACCAACTCTGTTCTATATAATAGAGGAAATTTCCTCCTCTCAGAATTTGAAATCTTTAGTATAACAAAAAAGCTCTTGTATATTCTTCAGTCAGACTCATCAATTATTATATTTATTATTTGCCACATTTATTTTATTATTCTCTCTCTCTCTGAATATACATACATAAGTATATACACATATATACATACATACATCTCTCTCTATATGAATACACACACACACACCATTATTCTTCTTCAAGACTGTATGAGAGTGATTCCTCTTAAAATAACATTCAAGGTTCATATGAAATCACTCCATGTCTTGTCCACAGGAAACTGAGGACGACGAGAGGGAAGAAACTCTCTACCAGGTAGTCACGGTATTAGCGTGTCATCATGCCTCATTTATTCCCTCACTCCTTGGAGTCCCACAGAGCTCCTTTCCAAGAAGAGAGAGCCCATTCACCCTGTCTTCTGACCAGAGTGTGGGTCTGATCTTAGTTATATAAAGAGGCAGGGATAAGCCAGGTGATTCTGAGTGCTGTGGACAGTCATTGGTTGCTCACTATTAAGCAACTGGTCGCCTTTCTCCCACCAGCACCCTGAACGCTACCTTACAGAGTCACCAGCACTGTGGAGTCTGCCCTAAAAGGGTGGTCAAGAAAAGCACCTCAGGTGACCACTACCAAGAACCACCATTTCCACTTGCCCCCAAGTAAATGAGGGGTCCTTCACAGGTCTGGACTTTACCCAAAGGTAATCCTTGGGGTGACAACATTATGGGAAATTTCTTCCAGAAGCATATGGCACCCAAATAAGATCTGAATTCTCATGGCTAGATTCTGGCTTCCCCTGAAGGTGTGCCTCTTTCTTCATCCCTCTTATGTCTTAAGGGGGGCAGGAGTAGGGAGGCATATTGCTATCAAAGATCATCAACCCAGAGGAGAACATCAAGTAAGAGCCACTAATAAAAGCAGCTATACTAACTCACCCCTTTTTTGAGAGATCAATATTTCACTCATTCACTTTTGATTTTTTTGGTGAGTAAGATTGGCCCTGAGCTAACATCTGTGCCAATCTTCCTCTTTTTGCTTGAGGAAGAGTGGGCCTGAACTAACATCTGTGCCAATCTTCCTCTATTTTGTATGTGGGATGCCGTCACAGCATGTCTTGATGAGTGGTGTTTGGGTCCATGTCTGGGATCTGAATCTGCGAACCCCAGGCCAAAAAAGCAGAGTAGATGAACTTAACCACTATGCCACTGGGCTGGCCCCCTCATTCACATTTTTAAATTGAGAATAGGTTGCATAAAATCATTACAGCTAGCAAAAATACACATCTGTTGTACTGTTTTATTTTGAGGCCATCTGAGAAAAAAAGGCCAAAGTGATGATGGAAAAGAAAAGGAAGAAAAATCATACACGTGGAGTAAGAGGAATGAGACCTAGAGAGAAAAACATAAAAGGAAGGAGATTTGCTCATACACATGTGCACACACAGACATATACACACACTTAGTAGGAAAGAGAAAATGCCTACTGGGTAGCTTTTATGGAATGTTCTACAAAAGAATTTAAAACTATGTTACGTTTTTTTTTTTTTTGAGGAAGATTAGCCCTGACCTAACTACTGCAAATCTTCCTCTTTTTGCTGAGGAAGACTGGCCCTGAGCTAACATCCATGCCCATCTTCCCCTACTTTATACGTGGGACACCTACCACAGCATGGCTTTTGCCAAGCGGTGCCATGTCCACATCCAGGATCCGAACTGGTGAACCCTGGGCCACCGAGAAGCAGAACGTGCGAACTTAACTGCTGCGCCACCGGGCCGGCCCCTATGTTGCATTTTCGCATCTACTGGCATAATATCTAGCTATCTATCTATCTAATCTTCCACACACATGTAACAAATTTGATGTTGGTCTTGTTGAGCAAATGAACTCAATGCATCAATGCATTGGACTCAATACTTTCAGAGAGGCTACTATTGGTACACGAGAGCTTCCCAGTGCATTCTTTGCAGGAGAAAAATACCTTTCTTTCAAATCTCTAGGGCAAGCACAATCCTACACTCTCCTTAATTTCAGATTTCTTTATAAAAATGACAGGCAAGGAAAGCTAAACCACAGTGCTATAGACATTCATAAAGAGAAAAGCATGTTTTCCTAAGACTACTTACAAGAACCAGTTAACCAGATTCCCCATGATGAGCAACACCATTCTGTCCTGGAAAGGAGGACGGAAAACACCAAATAAGATGCCGCACACATTGCTTTTCTTTTAACCTACCATAGGGGAGGCATCAACTATGGGAAAACAATTGCCTTGGTGAAAAGGAATTTTCTATGGTTCTAAGAGAACTGTGCCTACGGTCAAACCCTAATCCTTGATGCAGACTAAATGGCAAAGCCTCTGACCAAACAGACATGACCTTGTCTCTGGAAAGGGAAATGTGGCAAGTAAAGCAAGACCTTGCTATCTCCCCTCAGTGTTTAGGGAGCTGGGCACCAGGGCCCACTTCTTGGTTGGGAGATTGGTAAGTGTGTCCTGATTACTCAGTAGTTAAAAGAATTCTGCCACTGGTGCTACAAATCATTTCCCTGGGTTGTGTTACTTGGTGGGCTCCAAGGCAGCTCTCGAAACTCATCCATAAAGAGTTGGGTTTCCTACAAATTACTCTGGCCCCGAGGAGACCCTGCAGCTCCCAGGCTCCTGGTCTCTAAATACACAACCTTAACATTAAAGGTATTGGTAGGGGAGAAAATAGAGAGGAAATGTCCATCTCATAGGACAACTGCTCTGATAGAGATTAATTCACAATCTGGTCCTGCTCCTTTGCATGCCACTTAAACCTTCTAGGTACTATCTGATCATACTTTAATTTGCATGGCCACTCATCTCCTATTTAAAAGCAGTGATTCTCTGTCTTTTGGGTGATCCACCCAATTTGAGGAAATATTTTTGTTTAAAAAAAAATAATTCACCTATCAGAACAGCCAAAATCCAAGGGACTGACAACACAACATGCTGGCAAGGATGTGGAATAACAGGAACTCTCATTCTTTGCTGATGGGAATGCAAAATGGTATAACCACTTTGGAAGACAGATTGACAGTTTCTTTGAAAACTAAACATACTTTTACTATATGATCCAGCAATTGCCATCCTTGGTATGTACCCAAAGTAGTCGAAAACATATGCTCATGCAAAAACCTGCACACATATGTTTACTGCAGCTTTATTTATAATTGACAAAATTCAGAAGCAACTAAGATGTGCTTCAGTAGGTGAATGGGTAAATAAACTGTGGTATGCCCAGACAACGGCATATTATTCAGCACTGAAAAGAAGTGAGCTACCAAGCCATGGAAAGACATAGAGAAACCTTAAGTGCATATTAACAAGTGGAAGAAGCCAATTGGAAAAGGCTACCTACTATATTATTCCAACTATACGAAATTCTGGAAAAGGCAAGACTACAGAGACAGTAAAAAGATGATTGCTAGGGGTTAGAGAGGGGTAAGGGAGGGATGAACAGGTGGAGCACAGGATTTTTAGGGCAGTGAAACTGCTCTGTGTGATACAATGATGGTGGATGATGGTGGATACATGTCATTATCCATTTGTCCAAACCCATAGAATGTACAACACCAAGAGTGAGCTGCAATGTAAACCACGGACTTTGAGGATTGTGAAGTGTTAATGTCGGTTCATTGGCTATAACAAATGTACCCCTTTGGTGGGAGGTGTTGATAAAGGGGAGGCTGTGCATGTGTTGGGGAAGGGAGTATATGGGAAATCTCTGTATTTTCTGCCCAATTTTTCTGTGAACCTAAAACTCTAAAAATAGTTTATTTAAAAAAAAGATAGCCTATATCATTTAATGTAAACAAACAAAAACATTAATGTCCCCTCATGGTTCACAGCTCAGGCATGCTTCACTCTCAAAATACTCACAGGTCCTAATGGGTGTTTAAATTCTTGCTGAAATAAAATCCTCCAGCCTCAATTCCCTCAGTTTTTAGTGCCTATCGCTCCTGCCCAAGCTCTATGGAACTGAAAGATCCTCACATTCCTTTATGTAAAAATCCTTCAGATTATAAATCATTAGCGGGTACTTACTGAACTCCTGTGTGCCAGGCCCAGAGAGCATCGCTAGTTCTGACTACAGAGTTATGCAAGGGTTCAGGCAGTGGCTCAGAGGAGGTCTGTAGCCTTCCCAAGGCCACTGGCCAGTGAGCCAAGACAGCTGGGACCAGGGCCCAGATCCCTCTGCTTGGTATAGAAATGTATAATCTACTGAAAACTATAAGGGAGAATTTTTAAAAGTTATATTTCAACCATCAAACAATAACCACAATTTTGAAAAGTATTCTTGCTCATTGTAAAAATCGAACAATGTATAAAAATCAAAGAAATGTATAAGGTGGAAAGTGTAAGTTCCTAATGAAAGTGATAGGAGTGACCATATGTCCCTGTTTGCTGGGGACAGTCCTGGCATATGTCTGCTGAACTGGGGCAATTATCACTTTCAAGGTGAAATAATCATACCTCTTCAGATGATGATTTACAGGGACACCCTATCTTGATCCTCCCCTATAGTAATTATCGATGTGGAATAGTTCTGTTTACATATATATGTATTTTTTTTCTCCTTTATATACTAGCAATATTTCACGCACAAAAAAGGAACCACCCCTGCTTGTCATTTATGGGTGAGAGTCAGCAACACGCTTCATCCTCCACCACCTGGACCTCCGCCACCCTGGGCCATCTGGCCCCCTTGCTTTGGGAAGCCTGAGTGACTGCCCGAGCCTGCCCCTCCTGCTGTTCCCCTGTGCTCTGGGAGAAGGCCAAGGAACACAGGAACACGCACGTACCGTGTACAGAGGCCGGCTGCACTGCTGGAAGCAGTCCGTGTAGACCACCGTAAGGGCCCGCCGGAAGATTCCCAAATCTGCTGGCGACACAATTGCATAGTAAGAAGGCTCAGTCAGAGGTAACACAAAATACTCCCAGATGGCCCAAGCCTTTGAGGCCAGAATGATGTCATCTTCACATCGTAAAAATGGTGCTTTGCACCTAATAGGTCAGCAATAAATGTTTGCTTTAAAAAACGGCTCCCACAACCACCTGTGCTGTCATGGAGGACACATGCCATGTCCATGCATCATAAACAAGAAGGGCAAGCAAGATGGACACCAGGAACAAACACAAATAATTTGGGTGGTTGGCCAACCCTTCTACGATCTCCTTCAGCTAGATTTCCCCTCGTTGACAATTTCCTCCAGCAGTGTTTCCTTTATAGCAGAGATGCTACGGGGCCCCTCAAACCCACCTTAAAACCTCTGCTCTCTCTAGAGGATGGGAAATCTTAGCTTGCAAAAGTTCTACTCTGTATCTTTCAGTGCAGTTATAAGTCAGTAAGAATCGACCCAAGGGATACTGGGGTCTACTAAGCATGTTCAGAAAGCCTAAACTCGCCCTGAAACAATAGCCTAGGGAATGTAAGTTAAGACAGGGAGAAAAAGAGAGGAAAGGTTTTTTTAATGCAATCCTTCAAAAGGATGGTATGAAACACAGCCAGTGGGTGTGTTTTAATTGTTACATGAACAGAGTCAGAGTCACGGGCGGGGCTCTCTTTTTTTTTTTGCTGAGGAAGATCAGCCCTGAGCTAACACCTGTGCCAATCTTCCTCTATTTTGTATGTGGGTTGCCGCCACAGCATGGCCACTGATGAGTGGTGTAGGTCTATGCTCAGGGAACGAATCCAGGCCTCTGAAGTGGAGCATGTGGAACTTAATCACTAGGCCATGGGGCCGGCCCCTGGGGTTCTCTTTCTATGAGCTGTCCACACTGTGGACATCACATACAAGGCTGGGGTCTGCCCAGAGCAAGGGTTTCAGGGAGGGGGATCCCAGCTCTACTGTGAATGCTGTTCATCTTCAAGGCGACTCCCAAGGTCAATTTAACCAGCTTCACCAGACTAGCTATACCGAGGGAGGACGGGGATGCGCGTCCATGCAGTAGTCCAGAAGAGGCGCAGTGTGGCTGGGCTTGAGGGCATGCTGCCTCTGAGCCTATTGGGCTCCTCCTCCCACTGGTCCTGCCCAACCTGGAAGGGGTGTGCAGGGAGCAGAGCTGGCAGGACAGATTGTTAAGCAAACAATCTAGGACCCTGGGAAGGGCGGCTGAACATTACCTGTGTCAGACACATCTGAATCAGTGGGAAGCAGAGAAGAAATGAGAAAAAAATGATTTGTAAGAAGGTAGCCAAAAAAGTAAACTACTGATCTTTTTGTTTTTTTCTCAAAATGGATGACTTTGATTTTACTTTCTGATTATAAAAGTAATGTCTGTTCATCATAAAGGACAAAGAATCCTTCTTCCTGTCTCAAACATTCAAAAGTTCACTATTCCTCAAAGAAAAAATCAGACTTTTCTCGCTCCCTGTCGACTTTTGTGCACCACTTGCAGCGTATAATCCATCCTCTCAGGAGCCATCCCTGCGGCCCTTTGCTGGGGTTCTGGTAGCAAGGGACACGGTATGATCTGGACAAGCAGCTCCACAGTTTTCTGTCCTACTTATGAAATGCTCCACTGCATCGCTGCTGCCTCTCCTGTGTCCATGTTTATTCCAGGCGTGGCCTGAGGGCCACAGAGAAAGGAGCACGTGATTTGAGAAAGCCAAGGCAGCTTGTGAAATGGGCGGAGAGGTTGGTGTTGCCTGAGCCACTGTCCACTAACCCAGCTTCCTGCCTTTGGACTCAATTTAGATGCAATTGTCACAATGAAATAGCTAATTTTCCTTTTGACTTTGGTAAATCTGTAACCCCTTGGGGAAGACTCCCAATGTCCAGAAATCCAAAATATTCAGTTGAGCTGTACCCTGGCTATCTTCCACTTGCCCTTCCAGATGCACTTGCCACGTCTCTCTGTCCTGCACCATGCCCCGGAGGCTGACTATCTGACCTCATCAGTGGATTTCCTCATTCCCCATGGATCTGGACAACAGGAACCCGGGCAGGAGACTAGAGGGACAGAAGGAGAGTGAGCTCAGAGTATTTATCTATTGGTGACCTCCCTGTGAGGTTGCCTCAGGCTGGCTGGGTCTGTCAACTAAAGGTCACTGCTCCTTCCAGTGTGACTTCCTCTTCCGGATGCTTTCCTTACATGTTTTGGTAACCACTTCCTCCCTGTCCTTCTGGGCTTATGGGGATAGTAAAAGTTACTCTGCTATTGACCTCAGGTTACTGTGCTACCCTCTTCATTCTTTTCTACCCCATCCTTGTCTTATGAATAGTCCCTTTGTGAAGAAATCCTTCTCTCACTTTGCGTGTGACATCTTTTTCCTGTTGAGACCCAGACAGATATATTTTATTGTTAGTGCCGTCAAGTCCACTCTGACTCCTAGTGACCCTGTGCACAGCAGAGCGGAGCCCTGCCCAGTTTTTTTGTGCCATCCTCTCACCTTCCGGCGATGTACCAGACAATGCTCCACTGCTATTCATAGGGTTTTTCTGGCCAATTTCTTTGGAAGTGGGTTGCCAGGTCCTTCTTCCTAGTCTTAGTCTGGAAGCTCCCCTGAAACCTGTCCACCATGGGTGACCCTGCTGGTATTTGAAATACCAGTGGCATAACGTTCAGTGTCAGAGCAACACGTGCTGCCAGAGTATGACAACCAACAGACGGGTGGTGTGGTTCCCTGACTGGGAAGCGAACCCCGTGGCGGTGAGAGCAACACCTCTTAACCACTAGACCACCAGGGATGGCTGACAGATATATTACATTGGTCATAATATAATACACTAAATTTCTCCTTTTTAAAAAGAGAAAATAATTCCATGTTGTAAAATTGTATGGGGCAAAGGTGGTATAAATATATTAAAAGCTCCTCTATGTATTAATGGTCACTACCATTGGATATGTCTGCAGTCGAGTTTATTTTTCCAACTCTGAGACAACCCAGAACAACAATGCTCCAAAGCATTTTCCTTTTGAAAGCTTTACTTTGTATGACTTCACTCACCTTTGAGTCTGGAGGATGGGAAATGACTACAGTGCCAAACCAAATGTTCTACACAACCAGCTAATGATGCTTCCACTGGGGGATTTGGAGGCACACTGGCCGTGTTAATGCCAAGGGAAAATCTACTGACCAAGCCAACAGGGAAAACCAAACCACGAAAATGAGAAATTGTCTTACTCAGCCTTCTAAACTTAGAGCCACTTGTTTACGGAGAATCTCTCTTAGATCTGGGCAAGAGGGGTCTTATATTTTAGAGGCCCTCATTCCCCACTGAGTGAAGAGTCTGCCGGGCAGGGGCCTACTCCTTCTCCTTCTAGGCCACACTCCAGATTCTCTGCCCAGATGGCCATGAGCCTGTCTCAGAGTCTATATGGCCCCTGCCCTAGTCTATCTTCTTGAGGGCAGATGGCACCACTAGACGGTACACCTCTAGGGGCAAGGAGTGGCCAACCGGATACTGGGCAATGGTGCCCATATGCATACCTACAAGAACTCTGAAGATGTAGGACAGAGATGGAGGTGGGAAGAAAAGAGGGGCAGAGGTTGGGGCCAGCTGTCCCATAGAGCTATGCTCTGGAGTGTTCTTCCGAGGAAATGAGAATTCTAAATTTGAACCTGGACCTTTTAGATTGTTATGATGGCATATTATATTTATCAGTTTGTTGGTCTTCCTTTCTTTCTTTCTTCTCTCTCTCCCTCCCCCACTTCCTTCCTTCCTTCCTTCCTTCCATCCTTGCCTTATTTCACATGCTTAGTAGTTTTTCAGTCTGCTATATAACTTTAAAATTTTTACAAATATGGTATGTGGGCTTTTATTTGAACTCCTGCCCTGGGCTCTGCAAACATTAGGCATAGGCTTATGTTATATAGAAATATAAATGCTCTAAAATAACTTAAACCTGCTCCCAGGAATGATGTCTGATCAATAGCAGATCAGAAGCTGATTTCTGGAGAATACTCAGTGTTCTAATGTGATGCATTTACATGGTTGGAGGGAGGTCCGCAGGTGTCCTGCCTCTAAGATTGGCATGTTGGTCTCAAAAAATTCTAGTCCTAGAATTTGAAAATAATATATAATTAATTCTTGATAACCCTTTAGTATGGTTAGAGAAAATGCTCCTTTTAAATGCTACAAACCTAAAAATATTCCTCTGGGTAGAATAGTGGTGTGATGATCATACAGTGCTACAAACTCACTTTCAAAGTTTGGTGGATTGTAAAGTGGTTCAGGACTTGGAGCTGGAGGTATGACTGAGCTCTGAGGACAGCAAGCTTAGTTTCTCAGCTGAACATAACCAGTGATCATAGTTTATCGCAATCCTATAGAGGAGAGGAAGCTCCTGGGGAGAATATATGCTATTAATTAAACACAACACAGAACCCGGTAACACTTCTGTTTAGGATAAGCAAAGACAATGCTTTCTTAGACTAAGTTAATCAGCATGTTTAATAAAGAGTAACAGGTGACTCACCTATCTTGAAGCGACCCATGTAGTAGATCTGAGTGCTGAGGGCCAGAGAGGCCAGGATATGGATTGCAGAGAAGATGACCCAGAACCACGTTTCATTTTTTCCACACACCTAGGAGTAAAGACGGAAGTTACCTTCATCTGGGGCTTTTCCCAGAGAACTCACTAAAATCATTCTGGCCCTCGTGTATGCGTAGGGAGTCAAAACCAAGCTATGCGTGCATTTTGGTTGCCCTCTTCTCTGAGCTTACACAGCTCTTAGTGCACCCAGGGCAGGAAAATGAATGGCTACCTGGGCAAGTGAAAATGGAAAAGGGAAGAAATGGGTGAGGCAGCTGAACAATAATGGCGAAGGGGCAATAGGCCTAAAGTTGGGGGCTAACGCCCTTCAAACAACTGAAGACAACCAATTAGTTGCTGTCCATGAACATTTAGAAAGCAGTTTCTGTTCTTCAAGTCAGTTTCTCCAATCAGCTTGTACATCTCTATTGAGTCTCACATGAGTCAGGTCCCAGCTTTACATTAAAACTCTCTAGGGGTGATTTTACAGGGGTCTGTTACATTAATAAAAATATCTAGCTAAATAATTAAATAAAATGCCATGAATGGACCAATGGTGGGAGTGTGTCATGAACCAAGGATTATGATTAATTCAAACCTGTTCACCCAAAGAATAAACAACAAAAACCTCCCAAGAGGGCGCTTTTTGTGAGCTGGGCTGGAGGCTGTGAGGAGGGACGCACCACTCCGAGGACGGTGACAGTGATGACTCCGGCAAAGGAGGCATAGGCAGCATAAGCACTGGCATTGATGTCTGGGTGGCGGGTCTGGTAGAGCTTCAGCATGCAGAGGCCAGCAATCATGTACATGAAAGAGGTGTCTGCGGGCACAGAGGAAGGGCCGAGACAATCAGGATCCAGTAGATGACAGACGGATTTCTCTTCAGCCTTGGAGACTCCCCTCCCTTCAGGCCTTGGAGTATTTGCTGCCCTCACATTGTGTGGAGACCTCCAACATGCCAGCCTCCCCAGGGACATTCTCTAGGCAACCTCCACTTACTCCACTTCAACCACCCCCAAGGCTGTTTCTAGTTCACAGAAGAGAACTATCTGATGATATGATAAATAGTTGACTTTCTCCACTTGCAGGAGTATTTGCATTTAAATGCTGATGTTCAATGACAATAACAAAAGAAGCCATCATGGTGACAGCTAAGGCAGTGTGACAATAAAAACAATCGTAGGTGGGTGTCAGAGGTCCTTCTCAGCATCCTGAAATATAACCACGTTGATTACTGCTCATCTATAGCTTTATAGCCGAGGGATGGAAAACAGCTAGAAATTAAATGTGGCTTAGCTGCATGAGAGTTACAGAAATGCAAATTAAAACAACAATGCAATGTCCACATTGTTCAAAAATGTAGCAAAAAAATTAAATGTCTAACAAAAACACGTTAGTGATGATGTAGGGAAATGGGAACGCTCACTCAGCTACTGGGAGTGGGAATTAATACTGGATAGAAACTTGGCAGCTTTTGGTAAAATGGAAGGAGTGTAAACCAGGTGACCCAAAAGTTCTACTTCCAGATATCCCAGGGAACCTCTCTCACATGTGCACAAAGATAAGTATATAAGGATATTCATTGTAGCATTGTCTGTAATGCAAAATACTGACAGAATCTAAATGATCAGTAGAGAAATTGATACTTATGATATATTTTTTATTACAGAATATGACAATCCTTAAAAATGAATGAACTAGATGTCCTTGATTCAATATTAATAAATCTTGAAAACATACTGTTGAATAAAAAAAGAAGGTTGCAGAGGAGTGATGTCAGCATCATGGCAGACTGAACTCTTCCCTTAGACTCTCCCCCCTAAGATACAACAAAAAGCACATTGATAAACTAACAGAGGACATTCACACAACACAAAATACATGTGAGAGGCCCACACAGCCATATGTCTGAAAGTGGAGGTGCTGGACCTCCTGGAGGAAGTGGAAAGAGGTAAGGGGATCTCCTTTCCCTCTCCAAATGTCAGCAACCCAGGGCACAGGACTGCACATGGCTCTGAGAAAGGGGAAAGGGGCAGCTCTCCACAGGAACACCTTCACTCTCCAAGTTCTGTCACAGCCTATGGGAAAGCCCCAAACAGAGGTGGCTAAGCTATTGTGGGGGTGTTTTCATCAAGCCAGCCCCTCAGGAGAGCAGACAGTGAAGGCAAAGCAAGAATGCAGCCAGGATCACACAGGTGAAAGATAGCGCCCCTCCTCCCTCCCGGTGCTCCAGTTAAGCTGGTTGGCCAGAGTGCCTCTGCATAAGTTAGAAAAGCAGCAACTGTGAGTGAGTGAACTGGAAATCACAGATAGGACCTGTCAGCATAGACTACAAAGGACAGGCACAGTCACCAGGGGTCACAGTGGCCTCAGAATACACAGCTCTTGATTGCCCCCAGTGGTGGCAGGTGGAAGCTGCAACCACATACCATCACTATGCAAGGGCAAAAATCCACCCCATCAAATAGGATGAAGAGGTATATTAATACTCCAGACCAGAAGGAAAATGACAAGCACTCAGAAATCAATCCTGAAGGCACATAAATTTATAACCTAATGACAGAGAATTCAAAATAGCTATCATAAAAAAACTCAACAAGTTACAAGAAAATACATATAGACAGTTCAATGAAATCAGGAACAAAATTAATAAACAGAGGGAATTATTCACGAAAGAGATTGAAACTATAAAGAAAAACCAATCAGAAACTTGGAGATGAAAAACACAATGGCTGAGATAAAGAAAAATCTGGACTCCCTGAATAACAGAGCTGCTATTGTGGAGGACAGAATTAGCAGTCTGGAGGACAGAAATATAGAAATACATCAGATGGAGGAGGAGAGAGAACTAAGACTAAAAAGAAATGAAGAATTCTCCGAGAAATATCTGACTCAATTAGTAAATGTAACATAAGGATTATAGATATTCCAGAGGGAGAACAGAAGGAGAATGGAGAAGAAAGCTTGTTCAAAGAATTAATAGTTGAGAACCTCCCAAACTTGAGGAGGGAGCTGGAAATATGAGTAAGAGAAGCTAATAGAACTTCTAATTATACCAATGTAAAAAGACTTTCTCCAAGAATGTAGTAGTAAAACTGGCAAAAGTCAATGACAAAGAAAAAATATTAAGGGAAGCAAGGCAAAAAAAAATAACTAACAAAGGAACCCCTATCAGGCTTTCAGAGGATTTCTCAGCAGAAACCTTACAGGCTAGGAGAGAGTGGAATGATATATTCAAAATTCTGAAAGACAAAAATTTTCAGCCAAGAATACTCTATCCAGTGAAAATATCCTTCAGATATGATGGAGAAATAAAAACTTTCCCAGATAAACAAAAGCTAAGGGAGTTCATCGCCACAAGACTCTCCTTACGAGATATGATCAAGAAGGCCCTCGTACCTGAAAGAAAAGGAAGTGGTTTAAAAAGCCTTAGGAAAGGAGATAAATACACAGACAAAATGAGAAAATTGCAGCTCTCTATCAGAACAGGTTAGCAAACATTTAATTAACAATAAAGATAAAAGGAAGAAAAGCATCAAAAATAAATATAATCTCATCATTTTAACCACAAACTCACAACACAAGATAGAATAAATTGTAATAATGCTAACTTAGAAGGGGAAGAGGAAAGAGATGGAATTGCCTTAGTCTAAGGAGATGAGAGACTATCAGAAAATAGACTATGTCATCTACGAGATTTTTTACACAAGTCTCATGGTAACCGCCAAACAAGTAATCAGTACTGAGACACAAATGATAAATAAAGAGAAAACTGAGAAAACCATCATAGAGAACTACCAAACTGAAGTGGTAGTCTGAAATACATGGGACAAGAAACAAGAGAAATACAGAAAAATGGGAAAACGAGTGATAAAATGGCAGCATTAAGCCCTCATATATCAATAATCACTCTAAATGTAAATGGATTGAATTCACCAATCAAAAGACACAGAGCGGCTGGATGGATTAAAAAACAAGACCCAAAAATATGCTTCCTCCAGGAAACACATCTCAGCTCTAAAGACAAACACAGGCTCAGAGTGAAGTGATGGAAGATGATACTGCAAGCTAATGGCAAACAAAAGCAAGCACATGTTGCCATACTTATATCAGACAGACTAGACTTCAAGATAAAATAGGCAGTGAGAGACAAAGAGGGGCAGTATATAATGATAAAAGGGACACTCCAGCAAGAAGACAAAACACTTATATATGCATGCGACACAGGAGCACAAAAGTACATAAAGCAACTATTAACAAACCTAAAAGGAGATATCAACAATAAGACAATAATAGTAGGAGACCTTAACACACCACTTACACCAATGGATAGATCATCCAGACAGAAAGTCAACAAGGAAATAGTGGCTTTAAATGAAAACCTAGACCAGGTGGACTTAATAGATATATACAGAACACTCCATCCAAAACCAGCAGAATACACATTCTTCTCAAGTGCACATGGAACATTCTCAAGGATAGACCATATCTTGGGAAACAAGGTAAATTTCAATAAATTTAAGAAGATCGAAATCATATCAAGTATCTTTTCTGACCATAATTCTATGACACTAGAAATCAACTAGAAGAAAAAAGCTGGGAAAGTGACAAATATGTGGAGACTAAACAACATGCTACTAAACAACTAATGGATCAATGAAGAAATTAAAGGAGAAATAAAAAAATATCTGGAGGCAAGTGAAAATGAAAATACACCATACCAACTCATATGAGATGCAGCAAAAGTGGTCCTAAGAGGGAAATTCATAGCAACATGGGCCCACCTTAACAAACAACAAAAATCTCAAAGAAATCTTAACCTACACCTAAGAGAATTATAAAAAGAAGAAAAAACAAAGCCCAAAGTCAGCAGAAGGAGGGAAATAACAAAAATTAGAACAGAAATAAAGGAAATTCAAACCAAAAAATAGTTGAAAGTAACAATGAAAGTAAGAGCTGATTCTTTGAGAAGATAAAAAAACTTCACAAACCTTTAGCCAGTCTCACTAAGGAAAAAAGAGAGAAAGCTCAAATAAATAAAATTAGAAATGGAAGAGGAGCAATTACAACAGATACCACAGAATATAAAGGATTATAAGAGAATACTATGAGAAACTATATGCCAACAAATTAGACAATCCAGAAGAAACAGATAAATTCTCATACTCATACAACCTCCCAAAACTGAATCAAGAAGAAATAGAGAATCTGAATAGACCAATCACAAGTAAATAGATTGAAATAGTAATCAAAAACATCCCCAAAAATAAAAGTCCAGGACCAGATGGCTTCTCTGGAGAATTCTACCAAACATTCAAAGAAGATTTAATACCCATCCTTCTCAAACTGTTCAAAAATGTTGAAGAAGATGAAACACTTCCTAACACATTTTATGAGGCCAACATCAACCTCATCCCAAAGCCAGACAAGGACAACACAAAGAAGGAAAATTACAGGCCAAAATTGCTGATGAAATAGATGCAAAAATCCTCCAACAAAATATTGGCAAACTGAATACAGCAATACATTAAAAAGATCATACACCATGATCAGGTGGAATTTCTACCAGGGATGCAGGGATGGTTCAACATCTGCAAATCAATCAACGTCATACACCACATTAACAAAATGAGGAATAAAAACCACATGATCATCTCAATAGACACAGAGAAAGCATTTGACAAAATCCAACATCCATTTATGATAAAAAAAACTCTCAATAAAAAGGAGATAAAAGGAAAGTACCTCATATAGTAAAGGCCATATATGGCAAACCCACAGCCAACATCATACTCACTGGGGAAACACTGAAAGCCCTCCCTCTGAGAATAGGAACAAGACAAGGGTACCCACTCTCACCACTCTTATTCAACATAGTACTATGGTTTTGGCCAGAGCAATTAGGTAAGAAAAAGAAATAAAACAAACACAAATAGGCAATGAAGAAGCAAAACTCTCACTGTTTGCAGATGATATGATTTTATATATATACAGAACCCTAAGGAATCTATTGGAAAACTATTGGAAATAATCAACAACTACAGTAATGTTCCAGGGTACAAAATCAACCTACAAAAATCAGTTGCATTTCTATACTCTAATACCGAACTAACAGAAGGAGAACTCAAGCATAAAATCTCATTTACAATCACAACAAAGAGAATAAAATATCAAGGAATAAATTTAAACAAGGATGTGAAAGACCTGTACAATGAAAACTATAACACATTTTTGAAAGAAATCGATGATGATATAAAGAAATGAAAATATATTCCATACACATGGATTGAAAGAACAAATATAGTTAAAATGTCCAAACTACCTAAAGCAATCTACAGATTCAATGCAATCCCAATCAGAATCCTAATGACATTCTTCACGAAAATAGAACAAAGGATCCCAAAATTCATTTGGAGCAACAAAAGACCCTGAACAGCTAAAGCAATCCCGAGAAAAAAAGAGCAAAGTTGGAGGCATCACAATCCCGGACTTCAAAATATACTACAAAGCTATAGTAATCAAAACAGCATCGTACTGGTACAAAAACAGACACACAGATCAATGGAACAGAATTGAAAGCCCAGAAATAAACCCACACATCTATGGACAGCTAATCTTTGACAAAGTAGCCAAGAACAAACAATGGAGAAAGGAAACTCTCTTCAATAAATGGTGTTGGGAAAACTAGACAGCCACATGCAAAAGAATGAAAGTAGACCATTGTTTTTGCCATACACAAAAATTAACTCAAAAATGGATTAAAGACTTAAAGGTAAGACCTGAAACCATAAAACTCCTAGAAGAAAATATAGGCAGTACACTCTTTGACATCAACCTTAGAAGGATTGTTACGAATACCATGTCTACTTGGGCAAGGGAAACAAAAGAAAAGATTAACAAATGGAGCTTCATCAGATTAAGGAGCTTCTGCAAGGCAAAGGAAACCAGAAACAAAATGAAGATACACCCCACCAACTGGGAGAAAATATTTGCAAATCATGTATCCAACAAAGGGTTAATCTCCAAAATATATGAAGAACTCATACAACTCAACAATAAAAAAGCAAATGACTTGATCAAAAAATGGGCAGAGGATATGAACAGACATTTTTCCAAACAAGATATATAGATGACCAACAGGCAAATGAAAAGATGTTCAACATCACTAATCATCAGGGAAACGCAAATCAAAACTACACTAAGATATCGTCTTACACCCATTATAATGGCTATAATCACCAAGACAAAAAATAGCAAATGTTGGAAAGGATGTGAAGAAAAGGGAACCATCACACACTGCTGGTGGGATTGCAAACTGGTGCATCCACTATGGAAAATAGTATGGAGATTTCTCAAAAAATTAAAAATAGAAATACCATATGACCCAGCTATCCCACCGCTGGGTATTTATCTAAAGAACTTGAAATCAACAATTCAAAGAGATTTATGCACCCCCTGTGTTCCTTGCAGCATTATTCATTAATAGCCAAGAAGTGGAAGCAATTCAAGTGCCCACCAACTGAAGATTGGATAAAGAAGATATGGTGTATGTATACACACACACACACACACACACACACACACACACACACACACACACACAATGGAATATTACTCAGCCATGAAAAAGACAAAATCATTCCATTCGCAGCAATACAGATGTACCTTGAGTGTATTATATTAAAAGAAATAAGCCAGACAGAGAAAGACAGACACCATATGATTTCACTCATATGTGGAAGATAAACTAACACATGGACAAAGAGAACAGTTTAGCGGTTACCAGAGGGGAAGGGGGTTGGGGGGTGGACATAAGGGGTGAAGGGGCACATTTATATGACAATGTGACTGACAAATAATAACATACCACTGAAATTTCACAGTGTTATAAACTATTATGACCTCAATAAAATTAAAAAAAGGAAAAAAAGAAGGTTGCAGGACAAAGTGCAATAAATTAATTTACTACAAATATAGTAAAACTAAAAACCTGGAAGGATAAACATCAAATTTATCATAGTTGTTGCCTCTAGGGAAGCAGAGAGGGAAACAGCTATGGAAAGCAGTTCAAAACAGAACCTCAACTTTACACAATGTTTTATTTCTTAAAAAGTAGATGTAAGGCAAATATTTTCAAATGTTGGCATTTGTTCATTCTGAGTGGTGAATGTTACTGTTCTCTACGGTGTTCTCTGTTGAAAATGTTTTCTAATTAAAAAAAAAAATTGCAGAGAATTTCTGTGGTGTTCTGAGTTACCAGCCAGAGGCTAGAGCACAAACATAAAAATGACTCTTTAAAAAGATTCTGATAGTACTTGAGAGTGAAGGACATTGTTAATTGCCTACCACCAACATCAACTCTTCTCTTCCTTCTTCCTGACAGAGTATTGATAATGACTCAAATATCTTAGCCCCATTTCAACTCAGACATGCACACCCTCCCAGTCCATTTGCTTTGGTAAGGCTAGCTGCACCCCTGGTTCCAGGGATGGCTCTCATTGGTCTACAGGTTGTCCCATGTCCTTTGCCACTGTGATTGGTGTAGCGACCAAGGCCTGAGCCAACCATCACGGGAAGGATGCTGGAATGGGCTCATGACTGTTTAAACTATTGAGGTGTGAGGGGACATCATCTGGGGATTTTTGCTCTTAAACGAAGGCTCCTGGAAGCCAGCTTGCTGCATCCTCCAAACATCGTTGGGTAGAAAGAGAAACCCAGGACCTGTTGTAGCTATTTTTGCCACCATCGGTTCCCTGATAGCCTGAGGATAAACCAGCATGCAGGCTGGGCACAACCAAAGGGTTCTCAGAGAAAGGGATCCAGAGTCACTAGATAGACCAACCACACGCCCTTTCTACCTTGGGACTTGCAGAGGGTGACCTGATAAATGTCCATATTATTTAATCCAATTGAATTCGGTTTTCTATTACTTTCATCCCAAAGCAGCCTACTGCTAAGTTAGGTCAAGTTATACTGAGGGACCTTTCCAGATGTCTGTTGGTGGATTCTACCTGACCTGCTGCCTAACACCTAGCACATGGCCCACCTACAGATCCAGCCATGGGATCAACATTCAGTGTCGAGCATTTTCTAGTCTGAAAGGTAGTCAGAGAGAAAAGATGGTACGACATGCAGAAACCACGCCCTGTGGTGAGATGCCCTTAGATCACATCAATTCAAGTAAAATGTCATTTAATTCTTACAGGCATGACTTTGGCATTTTTTTGGAAGGTCCCAGGATAAGACTCCTATAACTCAAATCCATGTAGTTGATGTAAATTCTAATTACCGAATTGGAAGTTGGAGTAATTAGGGCAGACGTGGTAACAAGCACTGAGCACTCCTTCCATCATCAGCGCGATGCCCATAGCATAGAAGAGACCAAAGTGTTTGGGGATCCCATACTCCTGAAACAGGAGAAAGCACGGTCAACAGAAAGCTACTCATTAGTGACATAGCCACAGAACCTAGAAACCTAGGCTTCTGGCCTTGTGTGGTTCATTGCACATAGTCCATCATCACATCATCAAGCCAGATGTCCCTCCCCTTTGCAGATCCTATTTGGAACCATAACCCTTCCTGGCTCCTACTTCTGATTTACCCTCCCTCTCCTCACCATGGCGAAGATGTCCTTGGCTTCCAGGGCTCTTCGATGGAGAATATCCCGGTGCAAGACTATCAGCAGGAAGAGGAAGCCCAGGAGCACGTGGCCCAGGTTACTGAGGATGTTGTTGAAGGCACTAAAGGGATGAGATAGAAACCATGAGAGTCAAGGCCATCAGAGATTCAGAGAACAAATGAATCATGAATGAGTGAGTGAACTCAGCTTCTTGTATTTTCCACCACTAAACTTTCAAGAGATTTCAGGACTGGAAGATCATCAGGAATCATCTTTAACCTAGCTCCTTCATTTTAGGATGCGTAGACTGTGATAATGTGTCTGTTTCCTCTCAGCAGTGCCTGCTCAGCTTCCCTAGCACCCGCCCAAGCCTCTCTTGTCCCGGTGGCGCTGGCATGGAACCAATCCTAGGAAAGAGAGCTGCTCCAAAGACAGCAGTCTGGCCAAGCTTCAGCTATACTGTGAGAGGGAATTCTCATAGATGGGCCCATGTTACGTGTCAATATTTCAGCTGTGGAACTGTGAATTTCAGGATATGTGTCCGTTGGTCACAGCCAGCAGCTTTATTTCAGGAAACTGAGGCTGGTTCAGTTCTGGAACAAGATGCCAGGCTCCCAACCCCCAGGCAAATGCTCTTCCCACTTCGTCATGTTTTGGTGGCTAGAGCATGACCTTAGAGGCAGCAGGCCTGGGTTCGGATCCCGACATCACTAACAGCTGAGAGACCTTCAACAAGTCCTTACACTCTTCATCTTTAAAAGAGGTGAGAATGACCCCACCTAGCTTATGAAGCTATTTAACAGATTGAATGACTAGCAGCTCATGTCCATGCATGAGCGTCATCACAGCCAGGGACCTCATCTTTTCAAAGACATCCCTGCCTTCTCCTCAGCAGTTTATTAGGAGCGTTTCCTGAGGCCCCCACACAGGAATGAGAGGAGCATAGGTTCTTGATTTCATTCTTTTTACCCTTGACTGGGGTAGTTTTCCACAGTTGTTTTTAGTATTTTTAAAACCTGAAATCACAACATTACGCAGAAAGGAATCTCTAAATGCCTCAAGAGTAACTAGAGGACTGGGCCTACCTCAGGCTGCCCAGGGGGTGAGCACAGAGGAAGTTGTAGTAGCAGATGTCCTGGTTGCCAGTGACGTGGACCACCTGCAAGACCAACAGTGAGAAGAGGAAATGCAGATTTTCTCCGTCCCCTGAGCCCAGCCTGAAAGCACAAAAAGCAGACTCTTCTCACAGTGATACTGTCAGTGATTTCCAGTGTAACCAGCGCCCCTCCTCGGCAGGGCATGGGCCATTGTCTGCCACCTTTCCCCAGCACAGGCACATTTCATTTAAATGCCACTGTCTTGCTTTGAACTGAAATATTCTGTGTCCTCCATGTCATGGCCTCAGTGTGGATTCAACTGAGTACGTTTCCTTTGTTCTCATTATACAAGAAATGTGAAAAGATGCTGACATTGGGACATGCCTATTAGGACTGTCATGATATACGATGTCCTATTTTCTAGACGAATGCTCGGAGGGTAGGGAGCTGTCCCATCCTCTACGTGGAAATGATAACCACAGGGCAGGGAGACATGGGAAGATGTGTGTTCAGTTTTCCATATTTATCATTAAGAACCTAAGAACATTCCCAAATCACAGGACAGCTATATCTTCTGACAAGGCCCCTAAATATTCAGAAAATATTTAGATTATAAACTGTGGTTCTCAAACCTCATAAAGGCCTTGTCCTCATCAGATAATAAGTATGAAATTGGCTAAATATTATAAAACCATTGGCTCCAAACTTGGCTGTATGATGGAATCACTGGGAGTTTAACCAATGATGTGACTGGTTCCACTGTCAGAGACTCCGATCTAATTGGTGTGGGGTACAGCTTGGACACTGGGACTTTAAAAAGTTCCCCAGATGATTTTAACGCACAGCAAATTTTGAGAGCCATTGCATTAGAAACACCTCCAGCCTCATGGTATTCTAAAAGGACTTTTGCATGTATAATAAATCCTAGAGAAGGTTCTAGGAAGGAACAGCGGGGATTCTCAAGCTGTTTTAATTATGATATTTATTTGTTTCTTTATTGTAGTTTTTATTTTCTATTTTAATATTTTATTAGTTTTGTGAAGATGTTTTTAGCTTTACAAAAAATATTTACCCTCAATGAGAGGGCAGGGACTAAATTAGACATAAAGTTTCTTTGTTCTGCTCTAGAACTTTATTCTACTCATTATCCCACGATGGTGGAAAGTTCAGACAGGTAAATAACAGATGCAGTTGATAGATTTGATGACTGAATGAGTGCAAGAGAATATTCTCAGCTTGGTAGACAAAATAACACAAGAGGTCCCAGGTCCCTCTGTGATAAAACAATCAAGAACTAGACTTAAAGATCAGTCAAATATGAATTATTAGAGAAGTCCGATTGGAACCCAAACGGGAAATAATTCTTGGACTGATCCCAAGTTATGCTTTTCTCTGTAAGTCATAGCAAAGATCTCTCCCTGCAGGAGGAAAGCCAAGATTCTGGGGTTCAGGACAACACTTACTGTCTGGTAGGTGATGACCAGCTGGATCACAGGCAGTACATAAAACACAGCAATAGTGATGATGTTCCTATGCAGGCAGAAAGAAATAGTTATTTCCGAATTAACAATGGAATCTTTGCTCACTTTTTTAAAAGAATGCTTGCACCTTATAACTCCCTAGTTAACTCACAAAAGTAATCAGAAACTGATTATGTGGCTCCTCTTTCTCCAGTCATTTGTAAAACAGTGTCAACTATACTCGCTTCTGGTTTAACCAAATTATTAACGAGAGCCTATCTCTTTAGGATCTTGTTAGATTAAAAGTGACCAGAGTCTAAGTAACGGGTGATGGATCATATGAAAGGGATGTGACCCTCTGAGGTATCACTTCCAAGGTTCCGGGGTTCCAAAATGATGGTCCCATTACGGAATTCCATGTGGCCCCACCTGTCCCTTTTTTCCCCCCTCAATATCCTTATCCAGGTAAAAGAGCAGAGAAAAGAATGGGAAGAGCTGTCACAAGCATCAGTCTGGGGTTTCTGAGGGGAGGGACCAGTCCCTGCCAGGCAGCTCAGCCTCTCAGCTCGGAGGGAAGCTGCTTCTGTGTGTTTGACCATCACATGTCTATTTATCATTGGCTGGTGATAAATAGGGTAGTTTCCAGCTACTCTGAGAAGCTCTAGGCATCTAGTCCCTGAAACCAAGAGCAAGGCCTGGTGAGGAGAGGAGGGAATGGGTACAGTTTAGCAAGTCTCCTAGAAGGTAGTGACATTAATGTTATTGTTAGATTATCTTTCTGGAAGAAGACTTTGGGTGCTCCCTAAACATATGGGATTCTGCTACTATTCTTTTTTCTTTTTTTTTTATTGAGTTAATGATAGGTTACAATCTTGTGAAATTTCAGTTGTACATTAATGTTTGTCATTTGTGTTGTAGGTGTACCACTTCACCCTTTGTGCCCACCCCCACCCCACCTTTCCCCTGGTATCCACTAAACTGTTCTTAGTCCACATTTTTAAATTCCTCATATGAGTGGAGTCATACACAGATTATCCTTCTCTAGCTGGCTTATTTCACTTAACATAATTCCCTCAAGGTCCATCCATGTTATTGCAAACGGGATGATTTTGTTCTGTTTTCCAGCTGAGTAGTATTCCATTGTATATATGTACCACATCTTCTTTATCCATTCGTCTGTTGATGGGCACTTAGGTTGGTTCCATGTCTTGGCTATTGTAAATAATGCTGCAATGAACATTGGGGTACATAGGACTTTTGGGATCGCTGACTTCAAGCTCTTTGGATAAACACCCAGTACTGGGATGGCTGGATCGTATGGTATTTCTATTTTTAATTTTTTGAGGAATCTCCATACTGTTTTCCATAGTGGCTGCACCAGTTTGCATTCCCACCAGCAGTGTATAAGGGTTCCTTTTTCTCCACAACCTCTCCAACATTTGTTACTATTAGTTTTAGATATTTTTGTCATTCTAATGGGTGTAAGGTGATATCTTAGTGTAGTTTTGATTTGCATTTCCCTGATGATCAGCGATGATGTCTGCTACTATTCTTATTTTTACTTTGTATTTATTTAATTTAGGACCAGTTTCCTTTTTTAGCTTATTTTTGTTTTTCCTATGGAATGTGGCCTGGATCCTTGAAACACCTATATGTGCATCTCATTGAACACTGAGACCCGTGACATAAGTAACTGTGGCTTTTTTTTTTCTTATTTTTTTCTTTTTGAGGATGATTAGCCCTGAGCTAACATCCGTGCCCATCTCCCTTTACTTTATACGTGGGACCTCTGTCACAGCATGGCTTCATAAGCCGTCTGGAGGTCCGCACCTGGGTTCCAAACTGGCAGAGCCCAGGCCACCGAAGCACAGGGCACAAACTTAAATGCTACACCACCAGCCCAGCCCCAAGTAACTGTGGCTTTTACAAAGAAAACTTTAATTCTATTTAAGGGAACCATGGTCATCTACTCACCAAAAATAAATCTTATACTTTTTGCTGATAATTCTTCGATCCTTCCTGGACAGATCTGACAGGTAAAGGAACATCTGGATGCCAAATAAAAAGAGAAGGCAAACTGTACTTGGCTTTTTTCTGCATAAGATACAAAGGAGAGCTTTACAAATTTCAATTCAATCCCTCACTAGGGATTAAAATTATTTAACAAGACTTTTCTTTTAATTTTGCTTTTCCCAGAATACCTTAATAAAAATTCTAGTATTTCTCTTGGAATAATAAGGATTGGCTGATGTGGGAAATCTGTTGGGAGTCTTGAATGCCTCTTATATCTCAAGAATTGGTTTCCCAGTTTTCAGAGACGTCCATTGTGTGGTTCTTGAATCACAGGGTTGAAATTATGCAATTCACTTGCATATCCCTTACTAGATACAACACAATATAATAAACACACGCCAGAAAGAAATGAGCTCCATTCCTGAAGGATGATATGTACAGAACTGGGCATTTTCCCAGGTACATCCCTCAATGAATCCTTTCTTCCATCTGGTTGGATCCCTTCCTCCTTTATTATCCTCAGTCAGCCCCTTCAGACTCCGGGGGTTGTTTAACGCTCTGTTCTCTTTAATGCTCTCACTTTCTTCCTCCAGAAAGAAGTGCTAATTAACAGAGTGTTGCTTTTAGTCTGTAATTATGTCTTATCTAAAAAGCCCTCTGGGAAATCTGACTTCCCCTGAAGGGAAAATAAAAAAAGGGAAACTGAGGCATTGCTGAAGCTGTATTCGACTGCCAACTTGCTGCCCTCCCCAAGAGTATGGCCAGGCATCAGTACCTTGGTCCGGATGATGTTCTTATCACTCTCAATATCCGGCATGGTGTCGAAGTCAGTCTCCTCGACGGAGCTGTCCGTATCTGACTGGTAGGTGTGTCCCCCGTCAGAGGAGGACATCTGCCTGCCAGGACTGGAGCTTGACTCATCTGAAACAGAGAAGACTCAGCCACCTTCCAAAGTCCAGAAGAACCGATGGAGCCCACCCCTTCCTTTCTGCAAAAAGCACAGAGCTGACTCATTCTTGAAAATGTTGTGTCGGTAAAAACTAACTCCTTACCCATGACACATGTTCTTTCTCTCAATTCCTCCTCAATGGACTTCTAATTTTCCTCTTCTCCTATTTTTATATTTAGATTGTCTATTTCTAGGGCTGAATACATATGAGAAATATAAAGGCATCTGCTCTGTTAACTATTTGGATGCAAAGATAATATTATGCTTATATTTCATGTTTCATATTTTAAAATATGAACATAAATATATAACCATACACATGCACATAGTTATGTATAGCATTCACCACATATATGTGTAAGAACATACATATCCCGCAGCTAGACATTTCTTGTAGATAAAGTATTTGTACACAGAAATCCCCCACATGCCATATCTGTGATTATATAATGAAAACAACATTCTCAGGAAGAAGAGTCCTTGTGTTCCCATGAATGTTTCCCAGAGCAGATGGGAATTTGTGCAGCTTGATGAGCACATGAGCTGAGCCTACTTTCCGCTTTATTTCTTCTGTTCAGATGGTTAAAAAAAAAAACCCTGTTCTTGCAGAGCCAGAAATAAGTCGCCTGCACTGAGCCCACATGCTCCTCAAAGTTACAGAATGAGAGGGCAGGGATCCAGGATTCCCGGTCCTTCTACACTGACATTTAAGGCGCACCCTTCATAGGCCCACAGGTGCCAGGGAAGTGCATGGAAGCATCAACGCACCCCTACTCTGACAAGACAGGGGTAAGATTTCTGGCCCTTTCAGGCCACTGAATGAACCCTGGGGGTTGCGTGTGCATGACTGGGTGGCAGTGAGCAGGTTCAGTTATGAAGTTAGCCCAAATGGAAGATCGTCAGGCCTCAGCCGTGTTCACCTGTAGCACAGCCTGAGTCTTCTCATCGCCCTTACTCCACTGAAACCTGAGAATGAAACAACTGGTCAATTGATGGGCTCCCTGACATCAGACTCGGACACATCTTTCATGCCCTAACTCAGGCTGGGTGTGAAAAAATTCCCATGGGGGCTTTAGAAGTTGATGGCAACCGTAGTAGGGAATTCTGCTCAAGGATGGCTAGCGGACCCAAGAAAGAGAACAATAGAACTGGAGAAAGTTAGAGCTGGAAAGAGCCTTCCAGATCATCCAACCAATTCATCTTATAAACAAAAGACAATCTTCTATGATGACTGTCTTGCCAACTCTCACAGTTATTAGTGGCTGGAAAGCCCTCTGTATCCTATTTTCTGGAGAATAAAGAAACACTTGCGTGAATGGACTCATTGTAGGAAATACCTATTGCCCCATAATTGCTCCCGTCAGGGGTGCTGGCAGCAATGGGATGTGACACCGCCATATTTCCAGAGCCTGTTAAAGAGAAAAGCAAAGAGGCAGCCACTTTATGTCCAGTTGCTAAAACAAAAGAACACAACTCTAAGTAGTTTATTGAAACTTTCTGTGTATCAGCCACTCTTCTAAGTTCTTTCCAGGAATTTACTTTTTTAATTTTTCAACAACTCTATGAGGTGGGTACTATTATTCTCACCTTTTTAAAGATGATAAAAGGGAGGTGCTGAGAGATCAAGTAATTTGCCTGGAGTCAGTCAGATAGTGGATGGATAGTGGTTCATTGTATTGGTCTCGGTCAATTATTAAACTTAATTGAAAAAAAAAAGAAAAAATACAGGCATTTTCCTTCAAAACATGAATAACTGGCAGTAAGTGTGTTACTTTCATGGAGTGCTCATGAACCCATGCTTCAAAGGAGACAAGGAGGTTGAGGCTCATTTGCATCTCGACCACGACAAACTCACATTTTAAAAGGTATCTAAGCACAAGTCTCTTGCTTTTTAGCCTGGCTGCTGCTGCCCGTGGGCCCCTGTTGGGTCACGCTAGCGCCTTCCTTCTGCCTAGTTCATTGCAGGGAGCCTCACAGAAACCACTGTACTGGCCTCCCCGCCGGCCCCGGTGATGGTCTTACATTTCCCTCAGTATCCTTCATGTTTTCTCTTTTCAAGCTTAAGCTCCCTATTTTGAACCATTAACTGATGTCCCTTATTTAAGATGCAATTTTTAAAAAATATTAAACGTGCAAATAGCAAGTAAAGAATGACACTAAAATCCTAACCCCCAGAATTTTTGGCATTTTGGTGTTACTGGGAAGCCCTCTGCTGTGGGAAGAAGAAGTATGCGTAGGGAAATGCTTGAGTTCAGTTGTGGCAGGAGGTTGAAGTGGTTTGTGGGCACCAATGTTTTTTGGGTCTGTAATCAAAAAAGGAAAAAGCACAGAGACTAAAATCAAAGGAAGCAAGCAAACAAGAATGATCCCTGTTTTGTTAGGCGACAACTTCATTAAAGAGTCAAAGCCAGCCGTGTGGGTCCGTTCAGACCTGGAGGTATCACGGATTTCGGCGCTCTGCTCCGACTTGGATCCGCGCGTGATCAGGCTTTGACTAGTCGCCAGTCCCTTCACCCTGAGAAACCGCAACACAGGCGGTTCTGTGATGGACAAGAACATCGAGATGTTCATGTGCAATACAACTGCCAGCATATAAAAATGTTTTAAATCTATGGGCTTTTATATGCACCATTTAAATATGAGACTGGCCAACATGGGATAACAGCAGTCTGTCAATTTTTCTAATCTAAAGCCTTCCTAGAATGCAAAAACTAAAGCATTCTCTCCCGAACCTCAAGTATGATCGATGCTCCCAGAAGGCAAGCCACACCTGTATTTAACTATACGGTGTTTAGAAAGCAGAATTAAACACAAAATATCAGTTTATAGGCCAGACCAAGCTGTTCCGGCCAGAAAGAAGCACACGTATATGGTCGTGAGTGGGCTCATCTCAATGAGCAAACTTGTTCTGGTGCGTTTTTCTCCTAGCATGAGCCTTTTGCCATCTGTCACTTTACGAACACAGAACAGCACATGCTTGCATGGTTGCTTTTTATGTTAAATGCTCCATGTAAGGAGAAAAACTTCATTTCATTTTGAGCATGTTTGGATCTTTCAGGACTTCATGATTATAATTGTCCTGCCCCGTTCTGTTTCTGGATTCAGGAGGTTGAACTCTGAAGAGGGAGTCAGAGATGATGTGAACTCGCTGCCATGAAATTTCACTTTTATCCCAGTTGGCTACCTATCCCAACCAGTTTCATGTTTTGTTCCAAAAGCTGAGGAGAAAATGAAGAAAACCACCAATCTTTACAGATTGATGTAAAAGTAAAATTCTCTAGAAGAAAACGCTAGGCAACAAAAGTCAAGGAAATTTGGAGAAGAGCAGAATTAGAGTCTGAGACCCATTGCCACAGAACCTGATAATGGCCTGTGCTCCTTGACTCCTCCAGTCTCAACACACTGCCTGTCTTATTCCCTCTGGACCCTGCTCTTTGCTGAGAGGCTGATTCAGTCATGGCTCTATCCAGGGAAGGATTTGATTGGCCACTTAGTTCTTAAATCTACATACTTTACAGGTTTGTCGAGCTCTCTCACTTGAGAAAGCAACCCTCACTGATGCTTCACTCCAGGTTCGTGTGGTCCCAGAAGCTGGTGAGGCACACTTCATTCGTCTCTTTCCAGCTGATAACTGAATTTCTGTACAGGCTCTTTAACAATGGTGAGAAATGTGGGATTTCTCCACTCTGAGAGGCACTGGAGGAAACGTTTTTAGAGCACAGAGCCTTTTCTAGTATCCCTCAGATTCCCACAGAAGCACCTGTCTTCAGTACTAAGTGACGAAGGGAGAATACAGTGTCTGTTCACTCACGCCACAGTAATCAAGTCCCTTCACAGCCTGAAGCAGCTCTTTATCAACCTATTTTTACTTTACCTGGGCTCTAGGGTCTTATCTCCTTCTTTATCCTATGAAGTATGAAAGAGATCCTTTTGCTATTTAGTATGGTTGGAGCCAATGTCAACATTTTTCAAATACAACTTAAAGAACTGAAGGCAAATCAAAGAAAAACAAACGCAGAGTTGCTGACAGATTTTCCAACGGCAGCATTCCTATCATCATGCAACTAAAACAGAGCTGCCACCAATTTGGCAACTTATAGGGACCTGGCTCTATTTCCTCCACCTGAAGCATACCTAAGGTGAAAGCATTAGGCCAAGTTCCTCAGATGTCTAGCTCCACATTGATGTGGGCAGACACCATGCCAAGTCTAGTGGGATCCCCTTCCTCTTTCAGACACTGCTCCTAGCATTTTCTCTGGGCACCAGCCCCCAGGGCATTTCCTATAGCTCTGAGCTCCACTGAGCTTCCCAGAGCCCCACAGCCACACTGATCCTGTCCCTTGCAAGAGAAAGACATTTCTGTCTCCTTGCTCCCCTCCCTGAGTTTCTCATACTAGCTTTCAGATAAGCTTTTCAGATAAGCGCTTTTCACTCGCTTCTGTCTCTTGCTCCATGCTGGTTTCCCAATGCTCTGTTGATGTGCTCAAAGCAATTACTAACTGATTCTTCCCACAGGTGGAGCTTGTCTTCTCTGCTCTTGTCTTAAGCATCTAGGTCTTGTCTCACTAGCGATCATGTGCCATCTTTCCCTGTAGCCTGTCTGCACGGCAGGGGTTTCTTGTTTCCCCACCCCCGATTTCAAAGCCCTTTGTGGTGAACATTCCTAGTCGCTACTTCCTAACTCAGCTGGGATTTTGTTCAGGTATCCTCACCTATGCCTGGCAGCCAATGTATATAAATCAATGATTCTCAGTTGCAGGTGGGAGACTGTTTTGCCCCCAAGAGGACAGTTGGCAATGTCTGGAGACATTTTTAGTCCGTACAAGGAGGTAGTGTACTACTTCTAGCAGGTAGAGGTGAAGGACGCGGTGAAACATCCTACAATGTACAGGGCAGCTCCCAACAACGAAGAATTATCTGGCCTGTAATGTCAATAATGTTGAGTTTCAGAAACCCCGGCCTTGGAGAAAGATGGTCCCGCTGTGATTTCATAAGTAGAGTTGATTGATCTGTAGGTAAGTCTATTCCTTTGCAGTGACTAGTTTAACATGAAGGATGTGATTCACTCTAGGCCAATGAAACATGAGAAGAAGTTGCCGGGCGCTTCTGAAAAAGTCCTTCCTTCTGGACATTGTCAGGTGAGAGCACGAACCTGATCCCTCTCGCCATCGGCACTGAGAGTAAAGCAGAGGTGAGGGAATGGCAGGACCAGAACCGCTGGACTCAGTCAATCCTGAAGCTCAACCTTCCACTCAACTTCCAGGGACAGAAGCCTCTTCATCATTTAAGCTTGTTTCAGATATATTTTGTAGTTACTTGCAGCCACACGAATCCTAACTGATGCATCTTTATTCTTTTTTTTGGTCACTCATTCATTTCTGCTTGCCCTCTCAAGGGTGCCTCTAGCTCTCAGCTACTTTTCAGAGCTTTCTTGATCTTGGACAAGGATCTGGCTTAAGTCCCAGCTCTGTCCACCTATGCTTCATTGTTTGGGGGACCCTTCCAAACATGGAATTTCTTTAATTCTCATTACAGTAATAAAATAACTTCATTTATACAATAAAAATAACAGACCACTCATTCACAGAGCACCAATGGGATCCAACCAGGCAGGCTTCCCAAGTTCAACCAGGCCTAAAATAAGAGTGAAACCTGGAGAGCACTGGAGGAAAATGATGAGATCCAGATAGAAGATAAACTCACTTAAACATTTTATGAATAAAGGGGAAAGTAGCACTTAGCATTTTAGACACTAGAGCAGGTGTCCTTTCACAGTCTTTTACATTGTCAGCTGAATGTTACTAAAACAAATTGCCTGGGTGGCTGGAAAAATAGACATGCTGACATTAAGGAAGACAAAAGCCAAAGGGAGGCAGGAGAAGCATCTTTCCAGCAGAGGGAGAAACGTTCCTGCTGGGTGGGGTAGGGGGTCGATTTGTGTTTTTCTAAGATTCTGTGGGCTCGTTGTAAGACTGTATTGTATATTTGAAAGTTTCTAAGAGAGTGGATCTTAAAAGTTCTCATCACAAGAAAAAAAAATTGTAACTATATGTTGTGATGGATGTTAACTAGACTCAGTGTGGTGATCACTTTGTGTGCCACATAATAACGTTTCGGTCAACAATAGACCATATGAACGACAGAGGTTCCATAACATTAGTACCACATAGCCTGGTGTGTAGTGGGCTACAACATCTCAGCTTCTGTAAGTACACTCTATGATGTTCACACAATGAGGAAATTGCCTAATGATGCATTTCTTAGAATGCATCCTCATTGTTAAGCGACACATGACTGTATATACAAATATCAAATTGTTTTGTTGTACACCTGAAATTTATACGGTGTCATATGTCAATTATATCTCAAGTTTAAAAAATGACATTTAATTTTTTTTTTAAGTTTTGATGACAAGATCAGGCAATTGAATTCCTTTGTTCAAATTCTCAGAATGGAGGAAAGGACGCATTACATTGGCTGGATAATCAATTACTCTGGATTTCCCAAAGTTGTTACACTCTTTATTACACTTGCTGGTCTCAAATATTTCAGTTTTCTAGCTTCTTGACAAAAAAGCCCCTATCTCAATTTGGGAAAAGTAAATTCTGTATCATAGCTGACACAAGTTCTTACCCGTTCACAAATCGATTTTGGGATAAGATAGGTATGAACAATTTATGTCCTAGAAAAGATTAAACATTTTAAAAAGATGAATGGCTGCCAAATGGGCCGTGGATAACTGCCAGGGACACTCCAAGCACAGGTTCTCAGTGTGAGCTCCGTATCTCAGTAATTATCAATTCTAAAAATTGGTTCTCACCAGCTCTGCTTTCTGCAGAAAGACTGGATTAGACTACTCCATGGGATAGGAATCAAGGCAGGGTTTGAAAATTACAAAAGGCAGAGGGACAAAAGAAGTACCAAATCGGATGTTGCCACATACTTGACATCATTTTGAATTGAAACCAGGGATTTTCTTACCGTCACTGGAGCCAAAGCCTTTACCGATGGATTTTCTGTGAAACCTGCAAACAAGCACATACACATGCTCCTAAGACAGTGAAACCTCAGCACTTTACATTCGTTCCCTATGGACTTTGTTGAAGATTTGTCTGCTAGGAGCTCTTAAAAATGAGCCTTTGGATGTAGAGAAACTGGAACTCTGATACATTGCTGGTGGGCTTGTAAATGGTGCAGCCACTTTGGAAAACAGTTCAGGGGTTCCTCAAAAAGTTAAACACAGTGGTACCATATGACCCAGCAATTCCACTCCAAGACATATACATACACACATAAATTCATTAATTTATTGTCAGATAATTCAGACCATAAAATTCACCCTTTAATGTGCACAATTCAATGAATTTTAGCATGTTCACAAAGTTGTGCAACCATCACCATCATCTAATTCCAGAATATTTTCATTATCCCCAAAATAAATTTTGAACCAATCAGCAGTTACTCCCCTTTCCCCACTCCTCGCAGCCCCTAGCAATCACTAATCTACTTTCTGTCTCTATAAATTTGCCTATTCTTGGCATTTCATATAAATGGAATCATACTATATGTGGTCTTTTTTCACTGGATTCTTTCACTTAGCATAATGCTTTCAAGGTTCGCCTATGTGGTAGCATGAATCAATACATCGGTCTTTTTATGGCTAAATAATATTCCAATGTATGGATAGACATGTTTACCTTACTTGTTTACACTTCATGGACATTTGGGTTGTTTCCACTTTTTGGCTGTTTCCACATTTTGGCTATCATGAATAACACTGCTATGAACATTTGCATACAAATTTTTGTGTGGACATACATATTAAATTCTCTTGGGTATATACCTAGGAATGGAAGTGCTGCTTATGAAGTAACTCTATGTTTAACTTTTTCTTACAAACTGATGTCCACAGCAGCTTCATAGCAGGAACTATTTTACATTCCTACTAGCAACGTAGAAGGTCCCAATTTCTCCACATCCGTACCAACTCTTTTTCCATTAAAATTTTTTTTATTATAGCCATCCTAGTGGATATAAAGTGATATCTCATTGTAGTTTTGATTTGCATTTCCCTGGTGGCTAATAATGTTAAATATCTTTTCATATGTTTATTGGCCATTTGGATATCTTCTTTGGAGAAACGTCTATTCAAACTCTTAACTCATTTTCTTTTTTTTTTTTGGAGGAAGATTAGCCCTGAGCTAACTACTGCCAATCCTCCTCTTTTTGCTGAGGAAGACTGGCCCTGAGCTAACATCCATGCCCATTGTCCTCTACTTTATACGTGGGACACCTACCACAGCATGGCTTTTGCCAAGCGGTGCCATGTCTGCGCCCAGGATCCGAACCAGCAAACCCAGGGCTGCCGAGAAGTGGAATGTGCGCACTTAACTGCTGCGCCACTGGGCCGGCCCCGATAATGTCCTTTTAAAAGCACAAAAGTTTTAATTTTAATGAAATCAAATTTATCTATTTTTTCTTTTGTTACTTATGCTTTTGGTGTCCTATCTAAGAAACTATTGCCTAATCCAAGGTCATGGAGATTTACACCTATGTTTTCTAAGAATTTTATAGATTTAGCTCTTACATTTAGATCTTTGATCAATTTTGAGTTAATTTTTGTATATGATGTGAGGTAGGGGTAGAGCTTCATTCTTTTTCATGTGGATACCTAGTTTGGCAACACCATTTGTTGAGGAGAATATCCTTTCTCCATTGAATTACCAAAAATTGATTGACCATAAATGTAAGGGTTTCTTTCTGAACTCTCAATTCTATTCCTCTGATCTGTGTGTCTTCCCTTATGTCAGTGGCAGAGTTTTGATTACTGTAGCTTTGTGGTAAGTTTTGATACCAGGAATTGTAAGACCTCCAGCTTTGTTCTCCTTTTCATGATTGTTTTACCTATTCTAGGTCCCTTGCATTTCCATATGAATTTTAGGATCAGTTTGCCAATTTATATAGGAAAGTCAGCTGGGATTTTGATAGGGATCGTGTTGAATCTGTGGATAAATTCAGGGAATACTGTCATGTGTTTTAGTTTCTATTGCTGCTGTAACAGATTATCACAAATTTAGTGGTTTAGAACAATACAACTGTATTATCTTATGGTTCTGGATGTCAGAATTCCAAAATAAGTACTATGTGGCTAAAATCAAGGTATCAGCAGGGCTGTATTCCTTCTGGAGGCTCCAGGGGAGTATCCATTTCCTTGCCTTTTCCAGCTTCTAGAGGCGGGCTGCTTTCCTTGACTCATGGCCCTTTCCTCCATCTTCTAAGTGCATCACTCCAACCTTGGTTTCCATCAACATATCTCCTTCTTCTGCCTTTGACCCTCTTACCTCCCTCTTATAAGGACCCTTGTGGTTACATTACATCCACACAGATAATGCAGGATAATCTCCATAACTTTATCACATTTGCAAAATCTCTCTTGCCATGTAAAGTAACATATTCACAGGTTCTGGATATTAGTACATGGATATTTTTAGGGGCCATTATTCTGTCTACTACACCATTTTAACAATATTAAGTCTTCCAATCCATGAACATGGGATATCTTTCCATTTATTTAGATCTTCATTAATTTCTTTCAAGGATGTTTTGCAGTTTTCAATGTATAAGTCATATTTAGTTTGTTAAATTTATTCTTAGGTATTTTATCATTTTTGACACTATTGTAAATGGAATTGTTTTCTGAACTTCATGTCTGGATTGTTCACTGCTAGTGTATAGAAATACAATTGATTTTTGTATATTAATCTTTTATTCTGTAATCTCGGTGAACTCAGAGTTTCTTTTTGGAGGTGAGGACAATTAGATCATGGTGATGGTTGTGCAACTGTGAATATACTAAAAACCACTGAACTGTATAATTTCAAAGGGTGAATTTTATAGTCTGTGAATTATATCTCAATAAAGCTATTATTTAAAAAACCAGATATACTATTTGGGAATGTCTATGAAAAATTACAATGCGAATTACTCTCTTCCCCCTAAATGAGCTTTACTTTTGGATGTAAGGCTGGGGAGGAGGTGGTGGGAGGGGGGAAAGTTGGGACTAGATGTGTTTGGGCTTTGGTGCATGCTCTCATTTACTTCCAGGTTGGGACTCTAAAAGTTGCTCACTCCAGATCTTGGTATGTTTGGTGGAAGAACTTCTCTTCACACCTCTTTTGTTCCTAGACATGCAAACTCATCCCTGCCTCAGGACTTTTGCTCTTGTTCTCTGCCTGGGCCGCCCCCTCCCCAGATCCTCACATGCAGCTCCTTCTTGTTATTCAGGTCTTGGTTCTGAGAGGTCTTCCCTGCTGAACAAATAAAATCTAAAGTAGCTTCCCCAAGCCAATCATTCTCCATCACACCACTGTGTTTATTCTCCTCCTGTCACTAGCTGAAATTATTTTCTTTATTAACTGCTGGCCTACTTATATGTTTCTTCTCTTACAATGTAAGCGTTATTAGAGCAGGGATCTAGACTTGTTCACCCCTAAGCTGTAGGACAGGGCCCCAGTGCATAGGAAATGATGACTAACTATTTGTCAGATGAAGAAGGCATATCATTAAGGAAGCAGTTACAATTTGGCCTGACTGTTCTGGCTGGCAAATGAAGCATTAGTGAAATTTTATCCACAATTTGAGTGATATTGACTGGCAAGCAATTATATGGACTCATAAAAGATGATGTGTTTGGATTGTGTGTTTGCATTAGCAGGCTTTACCCACACTTGCCCTAGGTTTTGGAGCTGATAAAATTCTTCATTAAAGGAGTTAAATGATTGACAAAGCTCGGTGAGGCAGGCAGTATACAATGAATAAGGGAAAAATAGTAAATGAGAACCAGGTCAGATTGGTTGCAAAATGGCTACACCTTGTCTTGCATCCAGTTCATTCAATCTAACGGGGGGCTCTACATTGTTACCTCTTGAATCTAGACTGGCCTCATGACTTATTTTAATCAATAGAAGGAGGGTGGAGTGATATCGTGCCACTCCTGAATGTCCTAAGTCTTAAGGAGGCCTCACACTCTTCTGCTGTCTCCCTTGGAGATACAATAAACCAGGGCTAGCCTGCTGGAGGGTGAGAGGCCAAATGCAGCTGAAGGCTGGTCTAGAAGAGCCAGCTCCTGGCTGACCTGCCAGCTGATTGCATTCTATGATGGCACTCAGCTGAGCTCTCTGAGCCCAGTCCTGATTAGCAGAATCATCCAGCTGAACCACAGATTTGTGAGCAAACTTGAATATTTATTGCTGTATGCCATTGGAGCTTTTATGGTTGATTTTTATGCAGCATTATTGTGGCAGTAGATAACTAATACAAGTTTGAACTCAATGCCTGGCAGGGTGGTGGAAAGGAATGACTAAGAGAACATGTGTGCAGTGCTTGGTCCAGGGCCTGCGCATTCACTGTGGGGGCTCCCTAAATACTTATTGAATGGATTGGAGCTGGGGATGGGAGGGGATGGTGTTTAGGTTCAAGCCAATAAGGCATAAAGACACTCTGGATTCTTAGCTCGCTGAGGGAGGGGGCCGTGACTCTTATCAATGTTTACATCCTGATCTCATAGCGTGTACTGCAAGCCCCACATGCGTTAATAACAGGTTCAGGGGACTCATCAAGCAAATGGTGCTATGCTTCAGGACTGGCTTCATTTGGTTATGGAGAAAACTTTATTTCTGATTAGTTCAATGAAGGAAGAATTCTGCTGGCATTTTCCCTCAGTCTAGTCCCCTGTTTAGAATGCCAAATAGTTCTTATGTCTCCAGGACCCTATTTTCAGTTTGTCTATATTTGGAAAGAATCTATGCTTGTGCAATTGACTGTAGCAAAATAATCTGGCAGTGAGAGATTTCAACAGAGCCTTATACGATGACTTTCAAAACCTGTGCTCACTTCAGTAGGCTGAATAACAACTTTAGAGCGATGGATATCCAGCGATCAATTTGATTTTTTGTTTATATGTTGATTACGCATGCTATCTAACTAAACAGGTGACGTCCTATTTTCTAAAATCTAAAGCATCAGGAGTAGAGACAGTCTTCCTGAGAGGCAGAAGAGAGGAACATTTTTGATGGTGTTGGAGCTTATCCGAGTCAAAATTTGGACTCTTTTGCAATCAAATCCATGCTGGAGTGCCAGGCTTTTGGTGTGGCCTCCTGCCCTCTCTCACACGCCCTGACCATCTTGACTCCAGATTCATCTTGACCAGCCTGCTTAAGAGCCAGGGCTCTGGAGCCAGGCTGCCTGAGTTCACGTCCCAGCTTCTTCATTTACTGGCTGTGAATTCTTGGTCAAATTCCTTACCTTTTCTATGCCTCCATTTCCTTAACCGTCAGATGGTGACAATACTAGTAGCCATGGTTGTGGGGCATTAGTTGAAACAGTCTGCTTAGAGGGCTCCACCCAGAGCCTAGCACAGAGCAGGGACTGTTAAATGTTAGTGAATATGATCTGATAAATCAACTGAGCTGATGATCAATTAGTGTATATACTTTCCAGGGATAATACTTGCCTGCAGACTGGGGTTGTTGTTTTTAACTTTTTATTTGAAAATTTGGTGGTGTCCCCTTATCCGCAGGGGATACGTTCCAAGACCCCCAGTGGATGCCTAAAACCATGGACAGTACCGAACCCAATATAGACTATGTATTTCTTATACATATACACCTATGATAAAGTTTAACTTATAAATTAGGCACAGTAAGAGATTAACAATAATAACTAATAATAAAATAGAACAATTATAACGATATACAGTAATAAAAGTTATTTGAATGTGGTCTCTTTCTCTTTCTCTCAAAATACCTTATCGTATATATTTTTGGACCATGGTTGACCATGGGTAACTGCAACCACAGTGAAGCCACGGATAAGGCGAAACTACTGTAACTTCAAACTTACAGAGAAGTTGTAAGAATAAGAATAGAAAATATAACACCTAGATACCCTTTACCTAGATTCACTTGTCAGCATATTACCCCATTTGCTTTATCATTCTCTGTCTGTCTATATGTGTGTGTATATATACGTACACACACATTCATACTCATATGTATATATAAAAATTTCTTTCTGAATCATTTGAAAATAAGTTGCATACGTCACGTATATTCATGCCTAAATATTTCCAAATAATAAAGATATTCTCTTACATAACCACAGTATAGCTATCAAATTCAGCAAACTTAACACTGATATGATACTCATCTAAAACTACTGTCTATATTACAATTTTGCTATCGACCCAATAATATCCTTTATTGCATATTTTTCTTCTAGTGAAAGATCCAGTCTGAGATCAGGTATTGTCTTTAGTTGCCACATCTCTTTAGTCTCCTTCATTCTGGAATTTTCCCACAGCCTTTCTTTGTCTATTGTGACACATTTTAATAGAATGTTTGTCATTTTGAGTTGTCTAATTTTTCCTTATGATTATATTCAAAATATGCATTTGTGGCTGGGATACTGCATACATGATGTTGTGTCCTTCTCAGATTGTCACATCTGGAGGCACACAAGGTCCATCTTCCCCTTGGTCATATTAATTTTGATCACCCAGTCAAGCCTATCTGATTTCTCCACTGCATAGTTAAATTTTTTTCCCTTCAACTACTAAGCAATTTGTGGGGATACACTTTCAGTCTATGCAAATATCCTGATCATCCCCAGATTTCCTCCTAGTTTTAGTATTCATTGAAGATTCTTAACCCGATCTATGCAAAATGATGCTTTTCCAGTTCCAGCCCTCCTTCCACATTTGCTGTCAGCTTTTGGCATTCTTCTGTAGGCAAGAGTCCTCGCTTCTGCTGTCAGTCTTTGCTAAGGCCTCCTTTCTCCAATGTGTACCTGTTTTAGTAACTTTGTTGAACTCAGTGGACGTATATCTGCAGCTATTTAGGTCCGTCCTTCCTTCCTTCCTTCTTTCCTTCGCTCTTTATCAATATGGACTCATGAATTTCTATTTTTCTCAATGGTTTATAATTCATCATTCTCCTTAATTATTTTGGTCCCCAAATTGTCCCAGATGTGGCCAGTGATAGTCCCAAGGTCTTTGAAGCCAGTTTCTCAACAGTAAAGCTTCATAAAGGTCACAGAAGGGAGTTATTTTTGTCACAGAGATAGGCCTATATTGCAAGATGGTTGGATCACCGGGGTAGCCATGAGGTTTTACTACAGCTGAAGTTATTCGTGCTCAGTAGTCTGAAAACTTGATGCTGGTTTGTTTTCTTTAGGTGTTCTTTACATATTGTAAACCTCCTGCCATTCTTTCGTAGTTGTTTCACAGAGACCACCACAAAGAACAGCATTCTCAAAGTTCAGGTCTGCTAGGAAGACTGGAGCTCCTTTTATTAGGGGCTCCAAACTCTTGGGAAGGGAATTTTCTTTGGTCAAATTACAGCATGATTATCTCCCTTTTTTCTCTCCGGGGACATTTTACTAGAAAACTGATTCTACAACAGCAAGAAAGCACCTAGTATATTGCCTTCATATTTATTTTACCTCAAGATTTATTTTAGGCATTAATTTTACTCTTTGATGGAATGTTTAAAGCTGTTTCTAAATCTCCATGTTAGGAAGAATTCATCATTTCCATAAGATTCATAGTGAGTATTTTCTGGTCTAAAAAATACCTAAGCTGTCTTTCTGTTGAGTTTTCATTAACTAGGAAAATCAACAAACCTCTACCGGCACTTAGTCTATGTAGGACATCAACATAAACACTGCAGTTATACTATTCTATGAAGTTAATTATTAGCTCATTTTACAGATGAGGAAACTAGAGCACAGAGAATTAAGTAACTTGCCCAACGTCACACAGTTAGTGGCTGAGGCAGATTTGAATCCAGTCAGTATGGCTCTAGGGCCTAATGCTCTAATCACTAAGCAGAGATAGGCAAAGAGGATTAACATTTCTTGAAACTCTTGACCTACCTGATATAATGAACGCATGCGAAAACCAGGTATCCCACATAGAAGGCGAAGAAGGTGAAGAAAGTGAGAACACTGACTTTCACATACACGGATTCTGAGGGAAGAGAAACAACTTTGGTCAGGATGTCCTCCGGAGAAAAGAGAAATATGTTTGGGGTAAGACAGCTTCAAGGGCCCATCTCCATCACGCCCATTCTTTAGTCCTCTAAGATATTTCCATTCAAAGCAGCAAAGCTACTGGAGGTGACCCACACATTATCCACAAATGGCTGCCTTTCACAGTGATGACTTCCCAGTGGAAGCTGGGAAGGACTTCCTGTATACGACTTCATAATTGAGTTCTCTTTCTTTCTGGAAGAGATTTAAAAAAATGCTTTGATTCTCTCTTCTATCTCTAAGGTAAACATTTAGTTTTCTTATGATGTTTATTGGAAAAGATGACATCAACGTTGAGTTATGTGATTGACTTCCTGACATGGGAATCTCTCCACCTAATCCTAGAGCCAATACTGACTTTTAACGGATGGAACGATGGTCACTTTAATGTTCTTTGTTCGCTGTAGATTCCAGGTCTGGTTCTCCTTTTCTGGTAAAAAAGAAAAAGACACAATGGATCAGATACTTGGTTCTTGGCCTCTCATGTGAACTTTTGTTCAAAAACTGTCCAGAATTAACTCTGGTTGCTGAATTTTTTTTAGTAAGAACTAGAGGAAGGCCTAACCCTAAACCTGCAACCACCTAGTACCCATTTTGGTTCAACTTTCAATCTGGCCTTTGCCAGTGCATTTTGATAACACTAACTGACACAAATGAGACTGCAGCCTCCCTTCTTGAATGAAGAAGGCTTGACCTTCCTCTGATATCCACATGGCTCAACATGCCACAGACATTGGAAGAAAACAACTGCAAAAATAGAAAGCTACCTCGTCTTTTGCTTTGCATTTTTCTAGCCAGTGAGAATTTGTGTTTTCTTATATAGTCATCAAAGGACTCGTGTTCTACCAAAGAACATTGGACACTGGCAAAACTCTAGAGCTCTGTGATTAAGAGATTAAAGAATACACAAGCAGAAATTTCACCTAAATACAAAGGGAACCATGTTACACTCAACAGTAAACACCCTCTGTGTTGATCATATATAGCTCATCAGCTGCTGGGCGACTGTATTTTCAATCAACAGCCTATTCCATTCCCAAGATACTCCGTGGGTAGTTACCCATAACCATTTGTATTACGCCCAAGAGCTCACACAACCCGTCATTAGGATAAGTTGTCTCACTTTGCTTTCTTACCGTCTTGCAAGATATAATTTTGGCAACTGGAATTGAGAACTGAATTTTCCTTGTACGTCCTTGTGGAAATGATGACTACTGACAAATATAAGTGGCTCCACTACTGCTGGCTACCAAACCGATCTTAGAAAATGGACCTTGATCTGTTGTACAAAATCATTACTTTATAATAGCAAGTATTTGCTGCATAAAAGGCCAACTGAGTAAATAGACCTCACACGGTCTGAGGGAGCATAAGACTTTCAGAAGAGGCAATGCACTAAGTGACATTTTGTGGTATCAGTAATATCTTTAGATCTATCATCTTCTTCCCTTTAATTTTTCTCAAGTCTCTCAGACTGCCTTGCAAGTCACTGCTGATGACGGTCACTTAGTGGCTACTGGAGGTGGTCAAAAGGGGCCAATGGGATCTTTTGGCTTCCCTTCCATTTCATTAGGTTTTTCTAAGTAGCCAAGTATTCCTCACTATCACTTACCCTGGATGAAGAAAGATCCTCCACAGGCATAATCTTCAGGCTTTATCACAAATACTACGAAGAACTGCTCTCCTGGAAAATCCTTTTTCTGCATAAGATATAACAATCTTATAACCAGGCAGGAAAGATAGAAAGAAGGGAGAAAGTCCATGGCAGTGGGGGTGGGGCCAGAAAGAAAGAGGAAAGAGAAGAAAAGTAAAGTTCACCCCGCCCCAGAGAGGACTTTCACATACCCAGGATCTTCTCCAGATTATCCACAATAAAATAATTGTTACATCCAAGGAATTAAAGCGATAGATACACTATTCTAATTTCAATCTATCTTGTGTCCACTTGAGTGCTTAGAACTGTAATAGGCCCCACGTAAAGAATATGTCAACAGCCTACGTTTAACAATTAATATTGTATATTGTTTTTTTAAATCATTAAACTTTATTTTTTAGAGCAGGTTTAAGTTTGCTATATTAAGTTTTTATTATTTAAAAATCTAATGCTAAATGACTTTCCTAAAAGTCACACAGTCAGCTGTTAAGTAACTAATTCAGGTCAAGGAGGCAAAGACTCAAGTGAGGAGACCTGAGTTACAGTCCTGACTTTGACCTTCTGCACGTGTGCTTCTACGTGTCCAGTCGCCTTACCCAAGAATGAATGAGAGCGGATATTTGGGATATCAAATCTGAGGCACTGGAAGGTTAAAGCCTGACTGATAGGAGTTTTCAGGTCTGATACCTACATTATAATTAACCTCTCCTCCTCCTTTGCTTGTTATTCAACAACAGTTTCACTTCACCTAAGAACAGATCAAATTGTAGGTACCTCAAGTAAGTACCACCTGAAGGCAGGGAGAGAATCTCCTTGAAAATTTAGTGACCTGATGCGTGTACACTTTAACTATAAAATTACCATTGAAATGATTTAATGGTAAAATTAAATGCCAAAGGGGAAACTGCTGTACCAATGTGGTCCATATTCCTCTGAACCTATCCATTCCGTCCAGAGTTGAAGGCCTCTTTTGGTTACTGTTATTGGTATAAATTATTAGAATATGTTTAATTGTTGTAAATGGATCAGGTAAACTTTACCCTAAATTGGCATCCTCCAAGGAGCAGACTATAATCTGACCTTACCTCTCTAAGCAATCTGTCAGATCTATGTCCCACAGTTCCCCAAGGGGAGTGGGGCACCTGGCAGAGTAGCATTGTCCACCATCACCCAGGCTTTGGTTCAAGAACAGCTATCTTTGTTTTAAAACCAATCAGAAAGGAAAGAGGTTCAAGGTACACAGTGAATGACCATTCCCTTTTGGATGCTGGTCCACTGGTAACCTGACTGTCAACTGTGCATTGTCATCGACAATGGTGACCAGAGAAGTAATGTCTCACCTGTAGTGTGATGGCAGCTTTCTTGGTCATGGACTGATAGACACCATTAAACTCCACATTGTCATCGAGATCATACACTGGGCACTGTAACGCGCATGAGGGATAAAAAAGAAAGCATCACTAAAGTCACACTACACGTACCACACACCCCCTGGGTCACAGAGGAGGAGGTTCCTTACTAAGCCGGAAACCATGAGAAGTTTCCCCCTACAACAGTCATGAAACAGTTTTCCTATAACTTGGTGTCTTGTCCTCTAAAGTTGCTTTGATATAAAGACCACTTTAAATCAAAGAGAAGTGAAAAGATTGTTTTAAAGTATGTCACACCTTTCTCATTTTTTGTTAGCACCTTATGAGACAGAAAGGGCCTAATGTTATAATAAAAATTAAAAAACATAAAACAAATGGTAGATTTCTATTTTTCTTGTGCAGCCCACAACTTGGTCTTCCTTGTTCTTTGTCATGATCCTCTCGCCCTTCCTTCTTCTATTTTGGTGACGAGTCAACTATTCTCTATCTCCCCAAATCAGTGTCTCCAAAGACAGACTGCCCAGTTGTGTGCACGAGACACTGTTTTCATTATTTAGCAGTTTTGCAGGAGACATAGTAAGAGGCTGACATGGTCCCCACCCTTCTCTTTGATTTCTCCTGGGACAACATAATGGTCCACATTGGAAGGTTGACAAGTTATTAAAACTCACCATGACATTCTGGACTGAGACAACAGAACATGGATAAGCCATTTCAGACTCGACTTTAATGATAACTGAGTCCACATCTTCAGGGAATTTGTATAGAAAATACTGAGAATAAGAAAAAGAAAGACATGATTCATAAATATTAAGAAATGTTTAGAGTTACAAACTCAAAACTATTTTCACATGAATAGGATTGTTTCCTCTATTAGGCACACAGGTCAGATGTAAAACTCCATTAATTCAGTCAGCCATTTATCTCATACATATTGAGCAACTGCTCCATGCAGAGAGAGAGCCCTGTGCTAGGTACTAGGCAACAAGACCAAGCAGCCATTTCATGCAATGTTGCCGTTCCATTTTCTACGGTATTTCTTTCTCAACTAAACTTTGCTAAACTTCATTCCACTTTCTACTTAAGAAGACCCCTCCAACCCTTTGAATTAGGGATATGTGGGATGTAACATGAGAAAAGGTTTACTTCTGTGTACTCAGTTTGAAATATGAAGCTCCATCTTAAAAAGCAGACAAGCTTGTTCTTCAAGAATCTTAAGCATCTTCCCATAGGCAAGAATTAGCACTAGATCCACCCTTCCTGTAGATGTTTTGCTAAAGAATCTACTTCCTGGATGGAATATGGTGAGATGACATTTAGATTCAAACCCCAAGCCCTCCAGCTGACCCCCTGAAATATGTTCACAATTTAGGGCATGCTGAGACATCTTTAAAAGTATATCTCAAATATCATCAGCATCAGGAAACATTTATAATACAAAGAGTTTACACCATTTACCTACTTAGACTATGGATCTACCAGAAAAATTTATTAACTCTAAGTTTTAAACATATTGCTAATAATGAAGAAAAGGGACTTTTGCCCAATAATTATAAATATGGTAACTGGTTGAGAAGCTTGACATGAAACACATGATTAAGATTTTGAGGAAACTGACAAAAACAACCCCCTATATCTTAGGACTCTAATAAAGCTATCACTTTAAGGGACAGGCAAAACACGTTAAAACTTAATTTTGTATTCCAACATCGTCTTGACTATCCTTATTCTGAGAACCAGAGCAATAAAAATAGGATGGTTTTCAATAATCCAAAGCCTTCTGATGGGGAAAAAATAACCTCAAGATTAAGGAGTGTCCTTAACGCTGCTGTTTGGAAGTCTGTTCACGCCTTGTAACAGATGGCAACACTCCCAAGAACCCACTTCCTTTTGCGCTTTCATTTTGGAGTTTGATTCAAATACATGAAATATGGCTCTTCCACAGGTGAATACTCTGGGATTCCCAAGAGGTGTTTTTGGTTCTTAGGGGATCTCGACTTTGAAGCTCAAGAGCATTACTATGACTACTGTTAGCAATAATGAGCATCATATAAACTCCTATATATTACAGGAGCTGGTTTTGTGCAAGCAGTAGATATCTACTGAAGCCTTACCTCTATGCCAAAATGTTATCAACCTTCCCTATCTTTAAATTACCATAAACCCCAAATAAATGTTTTTGACCCTAGCCTTGATAATCTACATTTTCCAGAAAGAAGCAAATGACAAGTACCCAAAGCAATGGCTGAAATTTAGTCCAAAAATCATCATCTAGGGTCCTGATTACCTGCCCAATTTTTTGTAATCCACTTCTATCTACGAGAATAGAGGTATACAGTGACAGTGAAGGTTGTCGGAGAATGTGCAATAGTTTGGGTGAGTTTATAGGAATAGGAAATCTTTCCTACAGTTGAAGGCTAAAACGGGAACAGTTAATAATAAAGTAAGACTTTCATAGATATCAAAGAATTTCCATTTTGCTTTATTAGTTTGTTCTATTTACTCTAGTTTGGGGTTTATATACAAAATACTTAGGCTTTAATATTTACATAATTTTTTAAAATAAAAGGAAGCCATTTTTAGTCTACAAACTGGAAGTGCATTATGACATTCAGTATATCATATTTATTCTAGCTCTGCACAGGACTGTGAGACTGGCCTCTTTCTGTAGTTGGAGTACAAGTTTTTTCCTCCCTTTCTAGATATCTCCCATTGCACCTAGCAACCAGTGCTTTCAAATATTTCACAAATTAAGTGGCCAATAAATGTTAAGGGCATGTTTTGTATGTGGGACGCTGCCACACCATGGCTTGATGAGCAGTGTGTAGGTCCATGCCTGGGATCTGAACCTGCAAACCCTGGGCTGCCTAAGTGGAGCATGCAAACTTAACTACTACGCCAGCAGGCCAGTGCCCCTGTTCTCTCTTTATGACAGGAGAAACTAACTTATTCCACACATAAGACTAAAAATTAATATCTTATTTTTATTGTATTTGCAGATCAATTAAATATTTGTGTATCTGTTTATAGAGTTGGCTTTCCACTCCCTGTTCCCCCACTTCCATCCCGATTATAAGGTCCATGAGCGCAGAAGTTGCTCATCTCTCTTCTTCATCCTTCTATCCTCAGCACCTGGTACAGTCTAAAACTGTACTTGGTACATAGTAGGCACACGATTTGTTAAATGAAAGTTGAGCCAACAAACACCTAAAAACTAATGTCATGCCTCCCACTTCACACCAATTAAAGTGATAAGGTTAAATACATGCTGTGTCCAAAATCCCAGTAACATGAGCAACAGTCCAAAAATACAGATATATCTCAAGTTGTAAAAGATCCAGGTCAACACCACGTGCTGACTCTACCTGTTACCATGGTTTCTTTGGGTGACACCTACAGGTAGACTCAGGATAACCTTGGAGTCCTTCACTTACCTGAGGTTGAGAGGGGCTGGCGGTGAAGTGAAAGGCAACATTCGTCCTGAGAAATGTAAGTGGGAGAGCAGAAAGGAGGAAAAGAGAGAGAAAAGCATAAGTTAGCATGTAAACAATATTTATTTATAAGAAAAGCATCTTGAACTAGACGCAAGGAGAGCCTTTCCCTTTGTGAAGGGAGTTCCGGTTCCATCAAACTGACAAAGTAAACTGCATGGGGACTTGGTGATTTCAGTTCTCAAGAATGATCAAATTGGGGAGGGGATCAATTTTATTCTTTGTATACCCATGAAGTCACACCTATAAAAGTAAGTACTTTGTTTACTTTTGTAGACACTTTTGCCTTTGGATTCACTTAAGATGTTACAGGGTTTAGTTGTCAGAAGTGGGCTAAAAGAGAGGAAAAGAAAGTTTGAGGTCCTTTTGGATATTGTAGGTAACAAATCAAAATGTTTGTTTGTTTGTTTGTTTTGCTGAGGAAGATTTGCCCTGAGCTTATATCTGTTGCCAATCTTCCTCTATTTTTTTTTAATGTGAGTCACTGCCACAGCACAGCCACTGACAGATGAGTGGTGTAGTTCCATGCCTGGGAACCGAACACAGGCCACTGCAGTGGAGCATGCTAAACTTAACTGCTAGGCCATTGAGGTTGGCCCTCAAAATAATTTTGATGTATCCATGGCAAAAGATCATTTTTTTAAAAACATGGTGAATAGATAATCACCATGGGAGGGTCCTTAGGGACAGGAGTATGCTCTTCCTGCCCCCAAGCACCTCCCCAATTGCCTGCCACACCAGCTGAAATTCTTCTCCAAGACTGTGTCCTCTTTGGGTTAGGCACTGCCTTCTAAGGGCCTCCATTAAAATGCAAATACCACCAAAAGAACAAAATAAGTTATTTTTTCTCCAATTAGTAATTTACTGTGAATTATTTATTAGATGTTTTTATCCTTCTGTGAAAGACAGCACGACCCAGCACTGAGGAAAGGACAGTGTGAGGAGCATGCAGGGAGCATCGGTTTGCAGCACAGAGTGCTGTCTGGAATGAACATATGTGAAACAGCCAGAGGCTGGAAAACACAAAGACAAATGTGGTCTTCTCTATGGGTTTCTAAGGACTCTTATGCTCCTTCTGGCTCATGCCTCATCTGTAGCTGTGAAGATCATTCATATAAGCCCACTGTGCTCTCAAGGTCCACACCTGGGAATGGCACGCCCCCACCCCTCCAATGTGGCTGCATTTCTGGGACCCTGAACCTGAACTTCTTCTCTGGTCTCTCCCCAGCTTCATCCTCTGGTGCTCTCTAAAGGGTCTTTCTCTCCACTCCTAATTTTCCTTTTATAAAAGTTAAGCAGTTTAAAAAATTTGTATTAAAAACTCCTTTGGAAAGGGCATGTCAGGACATTTAAGCAAGAAGTTTATAATTGGAGGTGTTGTTTAGAAGTCATAAAATTTGAGCACTATTTCTGAAGGTAATGACCAACAATTTAGGCTGTCGGTGGACTAGGTTCAGAATTTAGTAATGGATGTAATTTTTACATGTCCGCTCTCAACATAAATCATCCATCAGTGTCAGGGTTTGGCTCTGTTAAAGCACAGTTGAAAACTTGTGGCCTTAAGTCACCTAAAGAAGCTAAAGTCAGTGTCACACCCTGTTGTGTGTGTGCTCCTGAGATCCCACGGCCAGAGGCAGGCCCTGCGGTGCTGTGTGTGGCTGGGCAACACCCTCTCAGCAGTGTGGGGAGTGTCATCTGCTGTTACCAGGGCAACATGGGGCCTTCAATCCTGTTCGTTGCCAGGTCAGGGGAATGAAAAGGACACTGATTTTCTTGGCTAGCAACAGAAAGCATGAAATTTCCAGAAGCAACCAATTTTCTTTGGCCTGAAATTTGTTTTTTATTTCTCCCCTCTCATATAAATTCCAACTGTAACATTGAGTGTATGGACATCAATATGAATTTTCTGGGTTTTTTTTTCACCTTGTTCTTTATGTTTTCTTTACTAGCACAACACTTACAAACTTTGAAAACATATTGTTTTCTTTAGACTATCACATTAAGTCCTCTCTTTCTCATAGAGTCAACAGTGTGTGCAAAATAAACATTGTGTCTGTTACAAATGAAACTTAGTGCTTCCTTCCCCATAGGCCCTGACAGAGGTGGGGAAGGTTTATTTTATCAAGGGTCATTCACCAATAGAACATAGCGAATTAAGACTCACATACACGTTTAGTTTTAAAAAAAGCAGTAGAGGGCCAGCCTGGTGGCGCAGTGGTTAAGTGTGCACGTTCTGCTTTGGCGGCCCAGGGTTCGCTCGTTCAGATCCCGAGTGCGGATGTGGCATCACTTGGCAAGCCATGCTGTGGTAGGCATCCCACATATAAAGTAGAGGAAGATGGGCACGGATGTGAGCTCAGGGCTAATCTTCCTCAGCAAAAAGAGGAGGATTGGCAGCAGATGTTAGCTCAGGGCTAATCTTCCTCAAAAAAAAAAGTATAAAATTTCCAACTTATTTGTTTTTAAAAAATTAAACACAGGAAACAAATGTTTATTCAATAAATAAGAAAAACTAAAAACGGACTTTGTTTCCTTGTTTTGGCTAGTTTGAGGGAGAGAGGAAGAGAAAACGAACAGATGAAGTCAAGAGAGGTGGATGTGCAGATAGGGAGACAGAAGAAGAGGAGAAGAGGGGCCCCAAGGTAGAGAAAGGAGAAACACATACGGAGTAATCAAACAGAAGAAAAACAAAAAGGGGATGGGAAGAAAGGATAAGTGGGAAGAGAAGCAGGGACAAAAGCCAAGTCATTTTTGAGGTGAGTACCAGAGAGGACTGTGAGATTCATGACACCTTACTCATCTTGTGATACAAGCCCCTAGCCCAGAGCACAGGGGGCGGTCAAAACCTCCACTTGTTTGTTGAAGGAAATCATACCCTATTATTCATTTGTACTATGGACTTCAGAACAGCATTCCCTGTTATCTCCTTACTGCCATCTGTCATGAACACCATTCATGAATCCTCACCCTTCTACCAACCCTCTTGTCTCGGTAACCCATCACCTCATTGCTCTGGTCTAAGTATAAACTCTGCGCATGCGCTAAGTCCTATCCTTTCTTCCCTTCTCTGAGATTTTGCGTCTCCGAAATTCAACTCTCTTATAAATTATCTGCCTTTCTACCCCTTGGTTTATAAATACACTCTATTTGCAACCATTTTCAAAATAAATAACAAACAAAAACGCCCCAATAAAATTCCTCCCTTTTCAATGTATTTCCCTCCTTTGATGTCATTCTATATCCTCTCTCTCCTTCACAGACCAGCTGCTTAAAAGAGCCTTCTGCTCTCATCTCTCATTCTCTCTTTCCTCTCCCTACTGCTATCAGGAGTCTTTTCCCACCATCCCTCGGAAGTTGCCTTTGCTAAGGGTAACAGTCACCTCCTAACTGCTAAATCCCGTGACTTAATCCTCAACTTTCTTTATCTCTCTCTGACATCTGACACCGACAACCACTCCTTCTGTCTTGACATTCTTTCCTCCCTTGGGCTCTGTGGCACCCACCTTCCTGGGTTTCCTCCCACACACCTGGCTATGCCTTCTCAGCTTCTTTTGATAGGCCCCGTTTCTCAGACCATCCCTTACATGAGAATGTAACCCACGGTCCTGTTCTTGATCTCCTCGTTTTCCTAGGCCACATACATTTATATATATAAATATTGTATTCAATTGCCATGAAAATCCCAATTATGTGTATCTTCAGTTGTCCCCCAAACCCACAAAAATGCCAGTGAATCTCAAGTCTCCACGTCCAGCCCAGGCTCTCTGCTGAGCGCCAGCCACAGAAGAGTAGTTATCTGCTGGTCTTCTGCACTTGACTGTCCCTCAAACTCCACACAATCAAAATGGAAGGTACCATTATTGTCCTGATCCTGACCCACTGCTCTCTTTGTCAGTAAACCTCACTAGACTTCTGACATCAATGTCAGAGTCATCTTGGTCTCTTCCCTTTTTGTCAACTTCTGCATTTGACTGGTCACCAAGTCTCACTGATTCTTTTAGCGTAAAAGTACCCCTGGCACCTGCTCCGACCTGAAGCCACCTTTGCCCAATATAGCATCTAATAAGAAAAAAATTGGAAAGTAATGTAAGTCATTACTGTCATCTACCCCTAAATACCAAAGGGTGATTACATAGCGTGACACATGGTAAAATAGTCTAAAAGCCTCTTCACTCATCCATTTCCTCAAAAAATTGACCACTTTTCACAGCCTGGTAGCTAAGCTAGCTCACTCAAAACTCTGTCTCAAAACAAAGATTCAAGGTCCCCTGTTAGAGGGCTAGAGGAGGGTTGAAGGCTGCAAGCACTCCTGTAGGACTATATTTTTGATTCTGCTACATGTATTTTTCGAATTTGTGAAGTATCCCCACATGTATTACTTGACTCTGTTTCTCCCTTAAACTTTGCTGCTGCCATAATACATGATCAGGCCCTAACCATTTTTTATCCTTCTCTATTCAAATAACTTTACCTTTGACTATTTGCCTCTCCCCTCTCCTCTCTCCAGTTCATCTTCCACACTGCCACTAAAGTCACCTCTAAACATCAGATCTGCTCATGTTATTCTGTTACTTAAAATCCTTTAGTGGCTCCCATAACCTGAAAGGTGAAGTCTGAGCTCCCTGGTGCAGCGTACAAGATCTCAGAGATGGAGGATTGGGTCCCGCCTGGTCTTCCGCCCTATTTCCTGTAACTGTGCCTTGGGCACCATGCAGACCAGCCTTCTGAAGTGCTTCTACTCAGTCTGCTGTCTGTAACGCAGTCCTCTCTCCTGGGCATCATACAGGTATATATCCAACACTCCACTGGCCATCTGCACTTCAGGTTCAACATGGCCCAAAGTGAACTTATTATCTCTTCCCTCTCTCCTCAAAATTCTCCTTTTCTCTTAATGGTACTAGCATCTACGAGTTAGACGGTCATCCTTGACTCTCCCATTTCTCTTACTGCTCATATCCAATCGAGTTTTGTCAATTTCACCTTCATCAC